TCGTCGCCCGAAAATTAGGAAAATGCCATCCGAATACTAATTGGCCCAAATCAGTGCTTAATGGGCTTATCATCCCTGGAGAATAGGATGAATAGACTTTATTATAGTTGAAGAATAGCCTCAGGCCGAATCCGTAATATGTATCCTTCAATATCTAAAGAAAATGGTCTTTCGTCACCCAAAAAATTACGAAAATGTCATCCGAAAATAAGTTGGCCCAAACCGGTGCTTAATGGTCTTATCATCCCTCGAGAATAGGATGAATAGACTTCATTATCTGTGGAGAATAGCCACCGCCTGATTCCGTGATCTGTAGCCTCCATAATCGAAAGAAAATGGCATTTCGGAAAAATTGCCCGAAATGTGTGATGGTACCCCTATGGAATCTGCCAAAAATTGACGCGGAATAAATCCGGCCAAATCGGTGCTTAATGGACTTAATCTTCGTTAAAGAATAGCCTCAGGCCGAATCCGTGATTTGTAGCCTTCAATATCCAAAGAAAATGGCCTTTCGTCGCCCAAAAAATTACGAAAAAGCCATCCGAAAATAAGTTGGCTCAAATCGATGCTTAATTTGCTTATCATCCCTGGAGAATAGGATCAATAGAATTCATTATCGGTGGAGTATAGCATCAGCCTTATTCCGTGATGTGTAGCCTCCAGAAACGAAAGAAAATGGCATTTCAGAAAAATCGTCTGAAATCTGTGATGGTACCCCTTTTGAATATGCCAAAAATTGACAAAGAATAAATTCGCCCAAATCGGTGGTTAATGGACTTAATTATCGTTGAAGAATAGCCTCAGGCCGAATCCATGATCTGTAGCCTCCAATATCCAAAGAAAATGGCATTTCGTCGACCAAAAATTACGAAAATCTCATCCGAAAACAAATTGGCCCAAATCGGTGCTTAATGGGCTTATCATTCCTGGAGAATAGGATGAATAGACTTCATTATCGGTGGAGAATATCCTCGGCCTCCTTCAGTGATCTGTAGCCTCCAGTAACGAAAGAAAATTCGCATTTCGGAAAACGCCCGAAATTTGTGATGGTACCCCAACGGAATCGTCCAAAATTAACCCGGAATAAATCCGCCCAAATCGGTGCTAAATGGACTTAATCATCGTTGAAGAATAGCCTCGGGCCGAATCCGTGAACTGTAGCCTTCAATATCCAAAGAAAATGGCATTTCGTCGCCCAAAAATTACGAAAATGCCATCCAAAAACAAATTACCCCAAATCGGTGCTTAATGGACTTATCATCCCTGGAGAATAGGATGAATAGACTTCATTATAGGTGGAGAATAGCCTCGGCCTGATTCCGTGATCTGTGGCCTCCAGAATCGAAAGAAAATGGCATTTCGGAAAAATCGCATGAAATCTGTAATGGTACCCATTTTGAATCTGCCAAAAATTGACCCGGAATAAATCCGTCCAAATCGGTGCTTAATGGACTTAATCATCGTTGAAGAATAGCCTCAGGCCGAATCCGTGATCTGTAGCCATTATTATCCAAACAAAATGACATTTCATCGCACAAAAATTACGAAAATGCCATCCGAATACAAATACGACCAAATCGGTGCTTAATGGGCTTATCATCCCTGGAGAGTAGGATGAATAGACTTCATTATAGGTGGAGAATAGCATCGGCCTGATTCCGTCATCTGTAGCCTCCAGAATCAAAAGAAAATGGCATTTCAGAAAAATCGCCTGAAATCTGTGATAGTACCCCTTTGGAATCTGCCAAAAATTGACCTGTAATAAATCCGCCCAAATCGGTGATTAATGGACTTAATCATCGTTGAAGAATAGCCTCAGGCCGAATCCGTGATCTGTAGCCTTCGATATCTAAAGAAAATGGCCTTTCTTCTCCCAAAAAATTACGAAAATGCCATCAGAAAATAAATTGGCTCAAATCGGTGCTTAATTTTCTTATCATCCCTGGAGAATAGGATCAATAGACTTCATTATCGGTGGAGCATAGCCTCGGCCTGATTCGGTGATGTGTAGGCTCCAGAATCGAAAGAAAATGACATTTCGGAAAAATCGCCCGAAATCTATGATGGTACCCCTTTGGAATCTGCCAAAAATTGACCAGGAACAAATTCGCCCAAATCGGTGCTTAATGGACTTAATTATCGTTGAAGAATAGCCTCAGGCCGAATCCGTGATCTGTAGCCTTCATTATCCAAAGAAAATGGCATTTCGTCGCACAAAAATTACGAAAATGCGATCTGAATACAAATAGGACCAAATCAGTGCTTAATGGGCTTATCATCCCTGGAGAGTAGGATGAATAGACTTCATAATAAGTGGAGAATAGCCTCGGCCTGATTCCGTGATCTATAGCCTCCAGAATCGAGAGAAAATGGCACTTCGGAAAAATCGCCTGAAATCTGTGATGGTACCGCTTTGGAATCTGCCAAAATTGACCCGGAATAAATCCGCCCAAATCGGAGCTAAATGACTTAATCATCGTTGAAGAATAGCCTCAGGCCGAATCCGTGATCTGTAGCCTTCAATATCCAAATAAAATGGCATTTCGTCGCCCAAAAATTAGGAAAATGCCATCCGAAAACAAATTGGCCCAAATCAGTGCTTAATCGGCTTATCATCCCTAGAGAATAGGATGAATAGACTTTATTATAGTTGGAGAATAGCCTCGGCCTGATACCGTGATCTGTAGCCTCCATAATAGAAAGAAAATGGCATTTCGGAAAAATCGCCTGAAATTTGTGATGGTACACCCCTTTGGAATCTGCCAAAAATTGACCCGGAATAAATCCGCCCAAATCGGTTCTTAATGGACTTAATCATCGTTGAAGAATAGCCTCAGGCCGAATCCGTGAACTGTAGTCTTCAATATCCAAAGAAAATGGATTTTCGTCTCCCAAAAAATTACGAAAATGCCATCCGAAAATAAATTGGCTCAAATCGGTGCTTAATTTGCTTATCATCCCTGGAGAATAGGATCAATAGACTTCATTATCGGTAGAGTATAGCATCGGCCTGATTCGGTGATGTGTATCCTACAGAATCGAAAGAAAATGGCATTTCAGAAAAATCGTCTGAAATTTTTGATGGTACCCCTTTGGAATCTGTCAAAATTGACCCGGAATAAATCCGCCCAAATCGGAGCTAAATGGACTTAATCATCGTTGAAGAATAGCCTCAGGCCGAATCCGTGATCTGTAACCTTCAATATCCAAAGAAAATGGCATTTCGTCGCCCGAAAATTAGGAAAATGTCATCCGAAAACAAATTGACCCAAATCAGTGCTTAATGGGCTTATCATCCCTGGAGAATAGGATGAATAGACTTCATTATGGTGGAGAATAGCCTCGGCCTGATACCGTGATCTGTAGCCTCCACAATCGAAAGAAAATGACATTTCGGAAAAATTGCCTGAAATCGGTGATGGTACCCCTTTGGAATCTGCCAAAAATTGACCCGGAATAAATCCGCCCAAATCGGTGCTTAATGGACTTAATCATCGTTGAAGGATAGCCTCAAGCCGAATCCGTGATCTGTAGTCTTCAATATCCAAAGAAAATGGACTTTCGTCTCCAAAAAAATTACGAAAATGCAATCTGAAAATAAATTTGCTCAAATCAGTGCTTAATTTGCTTATCATCCCTGGAGAATAGGATCAATAGACTTCATTATCGATGGAGAATAGCCTCGGCCTGATTCCGTGATGTGTAGCCTCCAGAATCGAAAGAAAATGGCATTTCGGAAAAATCGCCCGAATTGTGTGATGGTACCCCTTTGGAATCTGCCAAAAATTGACCCGGAATAAATCCGCCCAAATCGTTGCTTAATGGACTTAATCATTGTTGAAGAATAGCCACAGGTCGAATCCGTGATCTGTATCCTTCAATATCTAAAGAAAATGGTCTTTCGTCACCCAAAAAATAACGAAAATGTCATCCGAAAATTAGTTGGCCCAAATATGTGCTTAATGGTCTTATCATCCCTCGAGAATAGGATGAATAGACTTCATTATCGGTGGAGAATAACCTTGGCCTCATTCAGTGATTTGTAGCCTCCAGTAACGAAAGAAAATGGCATTTCGGAAAAACGCCCGAAATCTGTGATGGTACCCCTTCGGAATCTGCCAAAATTGACCCAGAATAAATCCGCCCAAATCGGTGCTAAATGGACTTAATCATCGTTGAAGAATAGCCTCAGGCCGAATCCGTGATCTGTAGCCTTCAATATCCAAAGAAAATGGCATTTCGTCGCTCAAAAATTACGAAAATGCCATCCGAAAATAAATTGGCTCAAATAGGTGCTTAATGGGCTTATCATCCCTGGAGAATAGGATGAATAGACTTCATTATAGGTGGAGAATAGCCTTGGCCTGATTCAGTGATCTGTAGCCTCCAGAATCGAAATAAAATGGCATTTCAGAAAAATCGCATGAAATCTGTGATGGTACCCCTTTGGACTCTGCCAAAAATTGACCCGGAATAAATCCGCCCAAATCAGTGCTTAATGGACTTAATCATCATTGAAGAATAGCCTCAGGCCGAATCCGTGATCTGTAGCCATCATTATCCAAAGAAAATGACATTTCGTCGCACAAAAATTACGAAAATGTCATCCGAATACAAATATGACCAAATCGGTGCTTAATGGGCTTATCATCCCTGGAGAGTAGGATTAATGGACTTTATTATAGGTGGAGAATAGCCTCGGCCTGATTCCGTGATCTGTAGCATCCAGAATCGAAAGAAAATGGCATTTCGGAAAAATTGCCTGAAATCTGTGATGGTACCCCTTTCGAATCTGCCAAAAATTGACCTGTAATAAATCCGCCCAAATCGGTGATTAATGGACTTAATCATCGTTGAAGAATAGCCTCAGGCCGAATCCGTGATCTGTAGCCTTCAATATCCAAAGTAATGGCCTTTCGTCTCCAAAAAAATTACGAAAATGTCATCCGAAAATAAATTGGCTCAAATCGGTGCTTAATTTGCTTATCATCCCTGGATAATAGGATCAATAGACTTCATTATCGGTGGAGAATAGCCTCGGCCTGATTCCGTGATGTGTAGGCTCCAGAATCGAAAGAAAATGACATTTCGGAAAAATCGCCCGAAATCTGTGATGGTGCCCTTTTGGAATCTGCCAAAAATTGACCCGGAATAAATTCGCCCAAATCGGTGCTTAATAGACTTAATCATCGTTGAAGAATAGCCTCAGGCCGAATCCTTGATCTGTATCCTTCACTATCCAAAGAAAATGGTCTTTCGTCGACCAAAAAATTACGAAAATGTCATCCGAAAATAAGTTGGCCCAAATATGTGCTGAATGTTCTTATCATCCCTCGAGAAAATGATGAATAGACTTCATTATCTGTGGAGAATAGCCTCGGCCTGATTCCGTGATCTTTAGCCTCCAGAATCGAAAAAATTGGCATTTCGGAAAAATCGCCCGAAATGTGTGATGTTACCCCTTTGGAATCTGCCAAAAATTGACCCGGAATAAATCCGGCCAAATCGGTGCTAAATGGACTTAATCATCGTTGAAGAATAGCCTCAAGCCGAATCCGTGATCTGTAGCCTTCAATATCCAAAGAAAATGGCATTTTGTCGCCCAAAAATTACGAAAATGTTATCCGAAAATAAATTGGTCGAAATCTGTGCTTAATGGGCTTATCATCCCTGGAGAATAGGATGAATAGACTTCATTATTGGTGGAGAATAGCTTCGGCCTCATTCCGTGATGTGTAGCCTCCAGAATCAAAAGAAAGTGGCATTTCGGAAAATCGCCCGAAATCTGTGATGTACCCCTTTGAAATCTGGCAAAAATTGACCCGTAATAAATCCGCCCAAATCGGTGCTAAATGAACTTAATAATCGTTGAAGAATAGCCTCAGGCCGAATGTTATTAAAATGTGCAAATTGCAGTTACGAGTAGGAAGTAAGTTACTTAATGCGCTGAACCAAAAACCCGCAACCCACCTTACCCACAACCCGCCCTACCCGTAATCCGATTGACCCGTAACCCGGCTAACCCGATTGATCCGTAATCCGACTAACCCATAATCCGACTGACCCGCTACCTGACTAACCCGAACCCGAAGAACCCACAACCCAACGAACCCAAAATCCGACTAACCCGTAACCCGATTGAACCCGCCCAATTGACACCTAGAAGAACATCTGAATTTAGGTAAAGCCAGAAGACTGCACAAAATTTGAAAATGGTTTAATATAAAGACCCCCGAATTTGGAGTACTCCCTCCACTAAACAAAATGAAGTAATTTGTATGATGTGCAGCACAACAAACAAAATAGTTCTTAACCAGAAACTCTGTTGAGTTGGAAAAGGACTGGGGTCAAAGACGGATACTCAAACGACGAAGGCACTCTTCAGCTGGATTTCATGAAAAAATGAACTTGTGTACAAAAGTTACACTGGTGAGCAAACCTGGGTCCTTTAAATATCACTAGATTCATTATCAGCACGTTTGTCCACTGCGATAAATAGGCCTGAAAGTCCAGTTAATTCCCATTTTCAATGTCCCACCAAGAACTGGAAACCGAGATTTCTTTTGTACTAGGAAAAAGTCTTTGACAGCCTACTGCTGCATTTCAACACTAGCATCTCTGGGAACTGTACATTAGGAAGCATCCCACTCTGACTACCACCATCTCAAGATTTTCCATACCTAGAAGAATACCCCTGCAAAAAACGAAACAACATAAAACATTTAAATGGTAAGCACAGACGAATTCCTATCAGATGCATAAATTTTCCTCTAAAATACCCCGCCATTTCCCCAGAACACAGAGCTCACCTCCACAAGTTTTGCAATCTTTGTGCGTGAAAAATGAAGATAGTGTTTAATTGACTCCGGAGTAGTCGGGACCTGATTTGATTGCATGGTACTGATAACCTTCTCAACCGACTTTCTAACTATGGTGTTGTGTGCATCCTTACTTAGATGGCCTTCACGCCATGTTGGTTTCAGTAATTCTTTAACACAATCAATAAGAGCAGTACGGAAGTGTCTTGCGGATCTCGATTCTTTCTGCACTTCCTGATCCATCTTTCCACCATCATCCAAGTTATCCGCTGTAAAGTTGTTTTGGCATCTCGACCCATCACTTCTGGGCTTCTCATCAACATCTAACTGATTACTAACAGAGGCAATTTCTTCTTTCGGCATGGTGCCACTCTGATCATCTGCCAAACCGTCGTCAATGTCCATCACCGCTCCTCCAGTTTTGTTGAAGGTGTCTTTTTCAGGTGGACCGCCATTGTTAGCTGAGGAACTCCCGTGTAACCTGCTATCGAAAGGTGCAGAACTCCTGTCGCCATTCGGGAAGGAAGCACCATTTGTTGCTTGACGTGAAGCTTTCTGTGTGGAGAATCTGTTGCTGATAAAAGAGAACTTGAAGGATTTGGCTACCCCACTATGCAAGTCGTTGCTATCACGTAAAGGATCATATTTCCTTCCTGGGGATGATAGAACAGGTGTAATGATGAAAGATGGTTGGAAAGGCACAGATGGTTCCCATTCATCACACTGAACCTTCTGTTTATGTTCTGCAAAAGTGATAAGACACATAACATGCTTAAACTGTCATCTTTCCAGATAAGAGCAAGTTTGGGAATTCGTATAGTGAGAATTTGGGACTTACCACTACTAGAAGTAGTGCCAACACAATCATCATCCATGCAGCCACTACTTTTGCGTGTTGAATTGTCTAAATTGTTCATTGACAAATGTGAATCCTTGCTGTGGTAGGTTCTTGACTTCCCAGCCGAGCCACTTGAAGAACATCTATTTAGCAAGGAATCGTTAAGCAAAAAGGAACTTCCTCCATTAAAAGGAAATGCATGGCTTCCGTGGTCATTAGGAGGCCAGCCTCCAGTCAGATTTTCTGTTCTAACATCCTTAATGGCAGCAGAAAACACAGGAGCATCTTTTGATCGAAGAAACTGACGGGAATTGAGGGTGATGCCACCAGGTAAATCCTCTAACTGGATGGATGAGGAGGATATTGGTTTTCCTCCCATCTGGGCAGCCATTTGGCTATCGAAAGAAAAACGGGAAGTGATAGCACCTTTTCCGGTTAAACCAAATGGTGGTTCTTTGAGATCACGCAACCTTGTCCCAATGTTAGCGGCGCCTGTTCCAGAAGCATTTTCACATTAGATGCCATTCAATAGGAATGCGCTTCACTAGCAATACCCAATTAGGGAAGCCCTATTATACCTTCATTAACCTTTTCCCCACTTGTACTTGCCACAGCTGCATCTCCCTCGGCCTGTTTTCCTCCCGACTCGCTGGGTTTGCTCTTTACGTGAAGAAATCTACATGAGCTCCCTTTTATGCACCACCCTTTGGCGAAAAAGTCACATATGACTGCTTGGCGTTTGTTCACATTGTTCAATTCTGGAGATGGTGATACACTTCGATTCCTGGATCTGGAAAGACTGAGGTTAGTAAGAAGGGAAGTTTTCGGTAACACTCAGGAATAATAGGAGGCTTTGAGGGTGTATAAGGCAGATTGGTGCAAACATCATACATCTAATTCTATTAGAGAAAGCAAAATGCTACTATCCCTATACCTCAAAACTGACTGTTGGACCCCATTCTCTGAAGGCACTGGTGTATGCTGAACTTGTTCTGCAATCTTATCGACATTATCCCTCGCTCCTAGGAAGTTCGGCACATCTCTAATACATGATTCCTCAGAAGGCTTAGTAGCCATGACTTCCTCCTTACATACCTCATTCCTATCACCAGAAGCATTTGAACCCTTTCCATCTTCAAGATGCTTAGAATGCCCATTGTTCATAACTGAATTGGCACCTTGCATTGCCAGCGGTGCATGTGAAGGACCAGAAAATGTGGAATCACTGGCAATATGATCCACATGGTAAGGAAATGGAACCATGTTCGTGGAGCCTTGAGGTTTCGGTTGTGATTCAATCTCGTTGACCTTCATATCTCGACTGATATCTACATGAAAGAATAACTAGATCAAGAAAAGAAGAGCTCACATCCAACTCAAACCGCAAAACAACTCTTCCCCGAATTATGCAAATCAGAAGCAAATAGTCAAATCGAAAGAACCAGACAATCAGGCAACCGATGAACACGACTGGAAGCAGCGTAATTAGCCTACAGTTCAGATTGGTTGGAAGACAATCACCAATCTCAATTCTTATTCAGTTCACTACTAACCTTGCGATTCATCAACGGCTTCCTCGGACGATTCTATATCCATATCCACTTCCTCTTGTTCTTCAGCTTGCACAACTTGTTCTCCGCTTTCCGCAACTCCCTCTACCACCTTTTGTTCTTTGCTTCCCGCAACTTGTTCTTCGCCTTCCGCAATTCCTTCTACCACCTCTTGTTCTTCGTCTCCCGCAACTTGTTCTTCACCTTCCGCGACTCCTTCTGACACCTCTTGTTCTTCGTCTTCCGCAACTCCTTCTGCCACATCTTCTTCTTCCTCCTCTTCTACCACTTCGTCTTCTTCTACTACTTCTTCTTCTTCCTCTCCTTCTACCAATTCTTCTTCCTCTACCTCCTCTTCTACCTCTTCTTCCTCTACTTCCTCTTCTATCTCCTCATACTCTTCTACCTCCTCTTCTTCTTCATCCTCTCCGGGATCAATTTCGCATGCGTCAGGACCACTCACCTCTTCCTCCACTTCTTCTTCTTCGTACTCTTCCTCTTCTAATTCCGCACGGGAGACGCATTCATCAGGATCGGAATCAGGCAGGTCGGAGGCAATTGAGGTCGACGGCGCCATTGGGGGGGAATCGAAGAAGTAACGGAAGCACACGTGATCTCCGGTCAGCAATAAGTCCAGTGGGGAAAGAAGCGCGAGGGAATTGCGTGAGGATTGGAGAAGAGGAAAAGGTGTTTTGTTGGTGCTTTGCGCTTGCGGAGGGGAATTTGAGAAGAGGTGTTTCCTATTCCTCTGAGAAGAAATTCGGTGCTGGACCTGCTGGTAGCGGGTACGTTGGACCCATTTACATTTATATTAATTATTATCGGGTTTTTCCATTCTCCCCAACTGGATTGAATGCTGTGCGTTTGGGCTCGAAACATGGGCTTTTTCATCGTAAATAGACTGGGCTGAACGTGTTAAGTTGGGTGATTATTAACAGGTCTTCCCACGCCTTTCCCCATTTCTGAAAGCATGGCCCAATTCAGCCATGACACCTGCAAACTCCTTTTTCGATGAGGTGAGGTTATTTTCTTTCTTTGTATTTGATTGAGAAAGGACCGAGAAATGAAGAGTAGTGATTGGGCTTCGACCATCATCTAGTTGGGCTTGAAATGACATGGTGGGCTAGGACCCAAATCCAGTTGGGTTGCAGTTATGTGCGGTTCTTTTCGATTTCGGTTCGATTGTGCCGAAACATCAAAACCCGAAAATGCGATCTTAACACAATCCAGATAAAGATTGTTCTAATATTTGATTTTCGAATCTCGGCTACCCGCTAGTCTACGAAGCCAGTTACAGGGTGGTCCAAGCACCAAACCAACCCCGAACTTTCCACCCTAGAACCGGGTGAGCCACCAATGTGCAAAATTAATTGGGGGGTTACAAAATTGAAAAAATAAATTAATAAACTGGTCTTTGCATGAGTTGTCAAACGAAGGGGAAATCCGCCAGGTGAGAGACTGTACTGCCGGCAGGCGGCCCACACGTGTTACTGACGTAATAATTGGTGCACGGCCTCAAGGAAAAATAAAAGAGATTATGGTCAGCAAAAAAAAAAAAAATAGAGAATAAAAAGCGGTGAAAAAAACAAGACATCACGTGAACTGTGGGGGGAGCGTCAGTCAGTTTAGCAGCGAGTCTTCAGTCATACATATCCACCGCACCACCGAATCATTTCCTCCTTCTTATTTTTTTACAGCGTCGATGAGAAAATAAAGAAAATGGGAAACTGAAAAATTAATTTTAGCTAGGTTCAAAAACTGAGTCAAACACGCCATCTCTCTCTTCTCTCCAATCCAGAGATTCTATCTTTTCTGAGTTAATATTATTGTGATTTTAATTTATTTTTGGGGTGGACTGGGCTGGGCTTTTTGCTTTGCTTGTGGAGTCGGTCCTGTCTCCTGCAACTCAGACACCACAGACAGCCCTATGTCTCCCTCTAGTCTCACCCCAAACCAACAGCTAATTAGAAATGGACCAAATGATTTGTTTTCACGGTTTCGCATGGAATAAGATAATCATCGCGGTTTGAACTGTCTACTCATTCGTTGTTCTAATCACGAAAAGAATGAAGAAGCAGAAATATTTTGAATCAAACTAAGAACATCCAACCAAGTTGTTGATTTTTGTTTCTGCTTCCTTTCTTTGTTTTTCGGTCTCTTTGTCAGCTTCATACGTAATTGTTCTATCTACTACGGACTGCTACCCTAATTACTAACATGTGTTTAGTAGATTTTTTTATGATTTCTTTTGTGAGATTGATTTATAGTTTTTGGTGCAACATCATATCCGATTCCTAAACCCAAGGCGTCTAATGATGGCTAGCTAGGGCTATGCTTTGATGATTACTTCGAACACCTTTCAACTTCAACACACTTGGGCTTTTACTAATTAATAATTAATGTGAATCCTCTCTAATTGAATTCAAGCAATTATGATTTTTCCTTTTAATATAAATAGATTTAGTTTGAATATCGGTGGCAGCGACAGTTTCATAAATGGATGGAGTAAAAAGCTAGTTCCTTCCTTCCTGACATGGACGAACAATTTGGGGCACTTATAGCAAGCAACTGCACCATTTTTTTCACTGCCCAATACATAATAAAATTAAGTAGTAATTACTATGGCGCAAGAAAACAAAAGAGGCAGGCGCCGCTGCGCGCTGGGGCTGCGCAGCCGTACGACAGGAGGTGGGAAGATAGGGCTGACGCCATCATCATTCATCTTCTTCTTCTCCTTCTCCTGGAGGAGGAGACTGGTCCGGGTCTGGTTCTCGTTCTGGTCTTATGACCCGCACGCCTTCCCAAACCCCCCTATTCTATCTCTTGTCTAATCAGGCGGCTGCTGTTTTCGTATTTAAATCTCCCCCAATGCGTCGTGTATAGGGATAACAATTTTGACCTCACTTGTTTTACTTGATCTGTTTAGACTGTTTTGGTGCTGGTCTGACTCGCCTTGTAGGCGGGGCGAATATGAGTGCTGTTATCGACTCGACCTGCCATGACCCGCCCCATTCTTACCTAAATTACATGTAATCTTAGTCAAATACTTAGGATTTTTCTTTGATTACATCATAATTTAGCTATAATAAAGTTGTAAATTAGTGAAAACCTCAATTTTTCTTATAATTTAACTACATTTATCATAATATTGTTTGCTTTATTGCATATCCATTGGGTCGACCTGCCCCCGACCTGCGACCCGTGATAAATTACCCGACTTGTACTCGACCTGCCACGGAGCGGGTCTGGGACCAAGAGACTCGTCTCGGACCTGCCCCATTGTCATTCCTAGTCGTGTATTCTAATCAAACATTAACTATTTGACTGAATCAGACCGCAAATCGTATAAAACTTGACCAGTTTTATCCACATTTTGTAATGTTTTTTGTCGTGCAAAAATGGGATCAAACCTTAACCCAGGGGGCGAAGCTAGAATTTAATCAGGGGGATTTTCTTAATACGTTACATCAAAAGAGGAAAAACTAGTAATAAAAATTATTTTGAAAAATGTATTATTACTATTATTATTATTAGGGTTAATACCCTAGTTTGGCCCGAAGTTTAGCGTTAGTGACAGTTCTGACCCAATTTTTCAAATAAGACATTTATGGCTTACTTTTGAAACTATTGGACAAATTTGGTCCAAAATTTTCTTTGACCGTTTATTGACTGTCAAACACTATTCTGTTAGTGACTCAGCAAAAAACAACTGATGTGGCATGCCACGTCATTACATAAATTATTTTAATTTTGTAATTCATTTAAAATAAATACAAATTAAGAAAATTCCCTCTTATTAATCCCCAATTCCAATGCTAAATTAAATCAACATCATCATAAAAACCCCACAAAATCCCCACAAAATCCCCAAAGCCTCCTCCTTCTTCGACGACCACCACTATGCTGCCTCTCTTGTTCCTTCCCCAAACCCACAACTACTACAATTTCTTTTCTTCTTCCACCGATTCCTCCTACCCTTTAAGAGAGAAGCCATCCAAAAATCGAAGACATTTATTCCCATCCACCGATTCCCATGCCGGCGAGCTCTTTTCACCTGGCCGCCGACCCCGTCCATCGAGCATTGAGGAATCGGTTTGTTATGGTTGCAAACTCTTTTCACCTGCCCGTCGACCCCGCACCCAGCTTGAGGATTCGACTTCTGGGCTTGATTTTTTAGCTAATCGGGTGGCGTCGCGGTGGGATTTCCCCGGCAAGGAAGGGGAGAAGTAAAATGATTGGCCCCATCCCCATTCGTAGATGTCGGTGACGAGGTTGTAGAAAGTGTTGACGACGACGGGAACTTTCTCAGCACTTTCGATCTGGGAAGGGGTACGGAAGAAGGACCAATACTCGCTGCCTGCCATCGATCGCCACGAAAAGGCGTCGGTTGCGTGCTTAACTCCGATGTGGGTTGGATTTGATTTTAGAGGAGGTCGGGGACGGGAACGGTTGGGGTTCTCGCACGAGGAAGAAAGACGATGGAAGGGGATAAGGAAAGGGAAAGGTCTGTGTTGGTGGTGGTCCTCATGTCTCCTCTCCCCTTCTCCTTTTTTTTTTTTAAATTAGTAATGACATGGACAAGGCGAGTCAGCATCGAATGCTGAGTCAGTGACGGAGAAAACGGTTGACCGTCAATTATGACAGTCAACCCGTCCCATAGGCCAAATTTGTATAATAGTTTTAAAAGTAGGTCATAAATGTCTTATTTGAAAAATTGGACCAAAACTGTCATTAACGCTAAACTTTGTGCCAAACTAGGGTATTAACCCTTATTATTATTAAAACTCAAAATAAAACTTTTTTCACATTAAGTTCACTACAAATCATAAAAAATATAATGACAACAGTCGAATTAGCTAAATAACTAGCTTCCAAAAAAGAAAGGAGAAGGTTACTACTTACCAAAAATACAAAAAAAAATAGACAATATGCTCACCAATGGGTCCTTCTGCATTGCCAATTCCACTATTCCAATTCAGATTTCATGTTATAATCTGCACGCTTTTTAGTTTTATTCAATACTGTCTTGGTTATACGTATTATCCTAAACCGTTTACAGGTAAGTTCGAGATTCGGAGGGGAGGGGGCTTAGGGCCAACGTAGCTCCGCCCCTGCCGTAACCCAACCTTCCTATAGTTGGCCAACTAAATGTCCAAATCATACAATATTTTGTTGCCAACTTAGGATGTGTGTGAGACTGTGAGTCATTTAAATCTTCCATCTTCTGAAAAAATCACTTTAGAATTGGGTTCATTAGGTTTCATTATAGATAATTTCTCGTTTGTACTACATCTTATTCTTTTACCTTTGTTCATCGTCCAATCCTTTACACACGCGACGAGATGTTTACATGGAAGTTTACATTTAATTATTGGTCGAGTTTCAATCATTGTGTCTTACTTTGACTGAACTTCGACAGCATCTTAGCTCACTCGAGAATCCGAAACTCATCTTGCTACCAAACAGAGTAAAATTAGATCCGTCCGAGTTGATTCCAATTCAATTCATGACCGAATCGAGCCGTACAATTTAGATTATAGGTGTTATTCGGTAACTGGAAATTTTAAAATAAAATATTTCCCCACTGATCTAGATCAATGGACTCTCCCTCATTGGAGTTTGTATATAAGAAACGCGAAACACACTCGGAAGTCGGAACCAAGTCTCCCCGGTCGTGCCGTCCAGCCGACGATTACGGGTTTCTCTCAGTGGGACCCACTCTCTACTTCTTTTCACCTTCCTCGTCACTTTTTTTATTTTTAAACACCACTTCTCCTTTCCTTTCTTCCTCTGTTTCTCACTGTTGCCTCCAATGGCGTCCTCCTCCGCCACCGGATCAGAAGCCCACTACAGGGGCGTCAGGAAGCGGCCGTGGGGCCGCTACGCTGCCGAGATCCGCGACCCGTGGAAGAAGACCCGCGTCTGGCTCGGCACCTTCGACACCCCGGAAGAAGCCGCCCTCGCCTACGACGGCGCCGCCCGCTCCCTCCGGGGAACCAAAGCCAAGACCAACTTCCCCTCTTCCCCTTACCCCGCCGCCGCCTCTTCCTCCTCCATGACATCCATCTCCGCCGCCGCCCTTCCTTCCACCAGCCTGTCACTAGATCTCAACTCCACCAACAACCAGCACCACTTCATCCACCAGCACCGCCGCTGGACCACCGCCATCTCCGCCGGCCCCCGCTTCTCCGTTGGCCAGTTCCTCAAGACCGGCGTCCTCAAGGAGATCGCCGCCGAGAAACCCGTCACCGTCGCGGCACCTCATGCGGCGGGGATCAACCCCGCCGCTCCTCCACCGTCGGTTTTGGGGATCGTGAGGAGGCGCGGCCTGCCTGTCGATTTGAACGAGCCTCCGCCTTTGTGGCTGTGAATTTTTGTTCGGTGGGCTGCGGTAACTAATTAATTAATGTAATTTTTTTTCTCTTTTTGACTGGTTTAGGCTTTTTGACTTTACCCTTGCTTTTTTAACCTAAGTGCCCGCCTCTCCGTCTGTCTCTTTATTAGGTTTTTACTTTTTACCTTTACGGTGTAAATTATTATTGTTATGAGGTTAAGTTAAGCTTTCAGTTAGTACGTGATTATCCGCCGTCGATTCAGGGGTTTCTTTTTTGTCATTGTTTGCACCGGCTATTTGGCGCCGCCCCGTTGATTCCCAGACAGGGAGTTGCCGAAAGTTCGGCGGCCACGCGCTGGACACGTGAGGGTCGGCGATGAGTAAACTGTACTTATTGGCAAGCGTGTGGGCTTAGCATTGTTCGGTTTGGTACCCAATCTGGTGAAGGCTGCAGCCGAGCCGAAGAGTACGGATTTTTTTGGTTTAATCGAAAAGTAGGCACCGGAACTAATTTTTACTCCACTCGCTCCTTTGTGCGTGTATCTTCGGTTGAACACGAGCGGACCATAACTGGCCTTCCTGACTTTACTAATCGTGGGCCTAGCTATTTTTGAGTGGGCTTTATCCTGAATTTATGATACCTTTCGGCCCAAATTTATATACACAGCATTTCAATTATGATTGGGTTGTTCCTGCCAAATCCTCGGCTTTACACCTCAGCGAACAATTAGGTTCACTAACTGCCGTTCTCTATATCTAATTGTTCTTTTAATAGAAATTAGAAAGGAAGGTCCTGTTTGATTTACTTAATATCCACCAACAACAAGGGCACACACATTATTCTAAGTTATTACCAATTGGGCATGTGCTTTTTACTCTTTTTTTTTTAATCAATACGCACTTTCTTGCATTCGATATTAGACCTATGTCGTATATTATTCTTTGTCGAATCAAAGATTGCTTTCCTTCAATGATAGTGAGGCAAGACAATGTAGTGAATGTACTGTTGTTTTTAATGTCCCTTTGCTCCTACTATATCCAAATACATTGGCTTATTTCAATTTTGGCACAACGATCTTGTTTTCTTCCACACCTAAATAGATGACCTTTCTAAATTCCAACACACACAAAGGAAGCATGGGGAAATAAATGAGCCGAGGCCCAATGTCCAGGCCCAGCGATGGAGTCTGTAAATAATAGTAAATCATAATAGAAAAAAGAGGAATAAACAAAGAAATTACAGTTAAAAAAAAAGTAGAGGCTGCTGAGGAATCATTAAATTTGGTTTAATTGTCTGAAACTTAAAAAAATTGAACCAAATCATCTTGTTTCGTAAGAATTAAACGGTAATGCAACAATTAAGCTGAGACGAGTTCAATTTCTTTAGCTTGCTTCAATTTGAATAGATAGGATCAGTGATTAAGTATTTCGAAATGATACACCAATTACGAGATACGATCATTTCAAGTCAATTTATTCAAATGAACTAATTTCTAAATAAATCATCCAAACTACCCTTATATGATCTTGGGTGGCGAATCATCACTTGCATAAGTTGCATTGCATCCTAATCAACCACAAACTAATCGCTAAGCAATACCAAGAGCCGCGCCTTCGCCGCCGGGTAGCTCCGCCGGCTCAGACCAAGCCGACCACCAGCCGGCCGGTCATTTCATACCCACCTCCCCTTTATGGCACAGAACGACCGATTTGACCGCCTCCCACCTCTCCCGCCATTTTCCTTCCGGTAGGTCCCTAATCTAATCATATCCTATCCTCATCATCAACACTCCTCAAAATCCAGATTCTGCTCGGAGACAGAGAGAGAGAGAGAGGGGAAAGAGATGGCGACTTTAATTTTGCGTAGTGGGGCGTGGGCTGGCTCTGTCACGTGGCAGCGCCGCACGGTTGCCGGAAATTAAATTCCACCAGAAACCACCGGGGCCCTCCCTCCTCCTCTCTCCCACCGTCGCCAGTTCGCCACCGTATCCCCTTCTCTGATCTGCCAGCTCACCTCGTTAAACCCAGAATACAAGAATTAGAAAGAAAAAAAGAAATTCCCAGATCCATCGCGGCGGTGTTTTGTCTCCAACCACCGCTATTTCTCTCGAAACGAAATTCGAACTTCCTGTCAGAGCAGCGGGATGGGCATGTGGGTGTTTCTCACGCTGTCAATCCCCCGTGTCGGCACCGCCGCGATGGCAGGCGGCGGCCCGGGCGTTAACTGTACTTTGTCGTTTTCCTACCTTAATCAGATTCAAATGGGAGAGCATAATGAAAACTTTAATTTATGTGTAGATGTTTTATAATCCACACAACGAGCGAGGAAACTAAAGAAATGAATCTCGGAAACTCCAAAACAACTAAATAACACCGTCAGAAATATATTTAGTTCCAAATCCAGAACCCAAATTATTATTATAAATTGTAATTGATCGTGGTACGAATAAAATCAAACGTGACCTTAGTTACAACCGCCGTGGTGGCAACTGTGAAATTGAAAATAGGTCTGTTAATAAAATTTATCCCTCCACACACTTTGTGGGCATTGGGGAATGGTAAAATCATATGCTAATAAAGGTTTAATCAAATATGGTCAATCATATGTGAAAAATGAAAATGATTGTTGAGGGTTTTGCGTACGTGGATGCTGCCAATACCGTTCTCCAAAATCCAGTGGGCCGATTGGGATAATGATCTTGATATGTATATTTGGTGCTTCCCAGGAATGGACAAATTTTCAAACACCTTAAAAAGAAGAAGACGCGTGTTTAATTCGTGGAAACAGTGGGCCGTCCCCATCATCCAGCAGCCAGCCGTCTGTGGACTTTAGATGGACTGGACTGTGGGCCCAATGATAATGGCTGATGAGTCGCCTATGGGCCCCCAACATTTGCCGGCAAGCTACATCACATAACACGCTTTCCCATTATTATCTGGAATATATAAGGAATATCCCCATTTTAGATTATCATCATACTTGGATTATTACTATAATTTTTTCCTAACGCAGTATGGGTTTGATTTTTCATAGATGTTACTTAAAAAGGTTCGAAACTGAAATATTCATATTGAAGATCAATGATTAGAGGTGGCAAATGGATTGGATTGGTGGATTCGATTGGTGGATCCATGGATCAAATGGATTGGATCAAATGGATTGGTGGATTATCCATGAATCCAAATGACATCCTCAACCAAGGACCAATATGTAAAATGTAAAAAGTTTAGGTACTCAAATGTCATAATGAAAAATTTTAGGTACCAAAACGTAATTTTCCAATGATATTTTTCGTAAAAAAAATTAAATTTTAGGTACCAAAATGTAAAAAATAAAAATTATAGGTACTAAACCGTAATTTGCCAATCCAATTGGATTTGGATAAAATGGATTGGATTAGGTGGATATTTTTAATAGATTGATGGATTGGATTGGTGGATTGGATTGAAATTGCCACCTCTATCAATGATATTATCACAATGACTCGTAATTAAAGCTCCAAATTGAAAATCAGTGGTATTATCGCTAGACCGAGTGTTAATTTGTAACGATAAAAGAAAATGCTAGATTATTGCGAGGGATTGGGACCCCTAAGTTGGGTGAGCAATTACTTTAGCAGCGCCCTATAGTAAGGGCCTAAAGGGATTGGGATGAAAGGTTTGACCCCAAATCATGGGGCAACTGACCAAAGGGGTCCGACCCACTATCATATCACAAATCTGATCCACAAAACTGATCCAACATTGTCCTTTAGGATTTAATACATCCATCCAACCAAACTATACTTATTCTATATTCCTTTATATAATATCACTCCCATCTTTTGTTTCTTTAGCTCAATAATTCATGGTGATGGTGGCATTCCAATGTCCAACCACATTTGCCAACCGGTTTTTTTTTATTATCATTTTCTTCACTCCAAAGCATTGTTAACAAATGGGGCTTCCGCAGGAATTCCAGCCAGAGATTGATTGCAACCATTGCCGGTGGAGCTGTTTATGAGACATACATGAAAGGCGAATTCGAGCCGGAGATTGATCGATACAACCACCATGGGGGAGTAAGGTTGGAAATACGTTCTCGGTTTTTACGCGGCTGAATCGAAACCTAAATCAAATGAGTAGTGTATGGCTAACCAAAAACCATTCTCCAACTTTCACAAGCAGTTTCGCTCCTTGCTTCGAGACCATTCTCAATGTTCGATTAAGCTGAGACATCGAATTGCCTATAACCGCTGGAGGAATCGAGCATGAAGGGATGATGAGGGAACTCTCTCGATTGAGGATTACAGTAAGTACCCAAAAAGGAAAGGAACATTCAAAACCGAAAAGAGAAGTTACACTGATGCTGCTGATGCCGGAATGTGGTTTCATAAGTTTAGATTGTAGTATCATCTTACTTCTATTGACCATTTCCACTAAATTATTAGGGTTTTCAAGGGTCAGACGATGGCTGCACATAGTAGTGGCTGGCCCTAGAACCCAACTGTTCAAACAAACAGGAGACCTTAACATACAACATCTTAAGGGGAAGAACTTGTTTATGTCGGCATGAAGCATGATTGTTAACAAAACTTTCTATACTACTACCAGTCGTGTCACTAGTTGTTATGTGGTTACTGGATTCTGCAGCATAGCAGATTAATTACCTCATGAGTTGTCCGGATCGCTGGAACCACCACGACCACCATCGAGACTCAATTCCTCCATTACCTCCTCGGCTATTCTCCACCTGATCGTATTTATCAGCTCAGCATCAGTGTTGTATACGGTATACCATAATGCTAGAGGACTGTGGGAGGGGGGGAACAGAGAACTTTACCTCTCAAGAACAAACTTCCCTTCCTTGTACTTCTGGTTCTTATCATGCGCAGCTACCTGCATTCGCAATACAAACGCAAACCGTGTTTGAATCCCGTTCACTACATGCACTGAAAAACCTTTAGCTCAATCTCAAATATTGATTCTTGTTCGACGAGATTGGACTTACATAAGTCCACCCGAGAATTTCTCCACAGCGGCAGCAGAAGACGTCTTCCACTGTATGGGTACCCGAAAGCATCACCCTTTCCTCAGCCATTCCGACTGTTACATTCACTCTAACAAGAATTTCAGGACAGAACAAAAAGGATAACATTAGTAACCATGGGAGAGAACCAAAGAAGAATAGCTCTGCTGGCTGCTGTTCAACAATTATGGGGGTTAAAGCCAAGGGTTACTACACTCACACATTGCTGAACATGTACGCCCTCCCTTGTCTACAATTGAACGTCTGCCCACCAAAAACAGAGGATGAATACTGATTCAATTCGAAGAATTGACTTACTGGGTCGTCACAAAATCAAACATAGAAATGAAAAGCTGATGACTTTGTTCTTTCCTATTCCTGCTAATTTTACACATAGAAATCGGCAAGGTAAACTAACTGGAGCTGAGTAAGGATGATTTACAGTTCAATTCATAGATAGATAAAGCATCCCAAGTCGCTAATCGAATCCGAGATCCTGCGGCTAGTTAGGGTTCCGAATTGCACGGGGAAAGGGAGGAATTAGGGATTGAAAATTGGTTGTACCCGGGAGATAACGTCGTCGGCAAGAGCAAGAGGGGTGTCGCAGAATCTGCAGCGGTAACACCTGCCATCCAGTTCCACCACAAACAGTCGTCCCATCTTCTGAACTCCGCCACCGCCGCCGCCGTCGCTCCGACCACTCGGTTTTTTTTTTTATCTTCCAACTCTCGCACCACCAGAACTTTTGGACTGATCCAGATTCCAGGCATCCAGCTGGGGGCTTCGCGTGAATTCTCCATTAAAAAAAAAAAACTTCTAATACTAACGTTTTCACCGCAGAATTCCATTAATTAGAAACTTTTTAATTGTTTTTTTGTTTAGGCTGAGAGTTCTACTTAATCCCCTAACTTAAATTTTGCATGTTGATGTTTAACTAGCCAAGTTTTATTGGTGTGAAATTTGGTAAATGATATCACCGTGTTTCGAACAAGCGAAATGTACTTTATTTGATTGATTCGTAACATGGCAATATAATAAATTTTCATTATTGATCTCAGAAGAAATTTCATTTGTACAAAATGATTATGAGAGACATTACTTCTTCTGATGCTCAAACAAATCGAAACCAGAGATACATTTAGGTTATTCTGGCACACAAAAGCTTGTTATTGTAAGTATTACTATAAACAGGTCATTTGTTAGCTTACGATTGTACCCATCTTTTTTTAGCTTTGATTATGAGATGTTTTCACTTCCCGTAGTACTCATTACTCAATTGAACCCGAAATAGCAGAGTCATTTGGATTGTTTCCTAAACACAAGAAATGCTGAATCACCATCGCTAAATAAAAGTTCAGCAGTAAAACGTTGAACACTTCTATTATGCTTTAAAATATTTGTGCTTTAAAGTACAAGTTAAAGTTGTACCATAACGTTAAAAGTAAAAACTGAAGTTGTACAATAACATAAAGATACAACTTTAGTTTATATCATAAACGAATTTTACAAAAAAGTACAAGTACAATCCAAAATTGTACCATAAGCGCAAAAACTAATGTATCAACTTACTCGTAAAACGCTATGTACACATACAAAGAATGTCTTCTTCGCTGTGGGATCGACCCGAGGCAATCTCCACGGAATTCGATCCAACAACTGAGCTCAATCATCACTTACGTAGTGTCCCAATTCGTGGTTGTGGCAAGAGTGGATTCAGGGGAACATGTTGACATTGTGGTTTGGTTTCTACTTTCTGGAATTGGAGATGCTAAGGTTGTATAGTGTAGTGTTGTTTAGTGCGCCACCGATGAGGGAACAGCAAAAGTTGTCATCTCCAGCGGGCAACACAAGTCCACTGAGTGAGAAAGAACATTATTTGCCATTAACAAACAAATTAAAAGCATTTTAGCCGCCGCCCCCACAAAACAAAACAAAACAAAACAAGCTCCACGCCCGCACCTAATCCTCCACCAAAAAAACTGTTATCCTTTTTGTATCAGACTATCAGTGGGATATCTGCAATGGCCAACCAACTACTCATGCTTTGAGAAATTTATCTATTTCCTACAAAATTAATCACTACGCACTTCCAATCAAAATTGGACGAATTTAAGTTGAGAAAAAAGGTATTTTAAGGTTTGTAAACGGAATAGCACATAGATTTTAGTGTCAACTAGGTTTGATTCGGCCCAAATGTCCACCTAAATATAAGGATGGAAATATGGAATGCAAAGCCGATATAATAAGGGGGAAATGGATGTGGGCATCTAATCTCGTCTCCAACACATTTCTACCGTTTCCTGTACAGGTAATTTATATAGTTATGTCACTTTTTTTTCCCATTAGAAACTCGTATTACCGAGAAACAAAAGGTACAAAGTCTAAAACAATTCAGAGTGACCGAAGCTAAGCACAAAATCGAAACCCACCAACAATGGTAGACTCAACGAAAGGGCTTTCCTTGGCACTAGATGGTGCAGTTCAGCGCGACTCGCATGGAGCTGGTGGATGGGTAACTTCAGGATGCGGCAGGATCGCTGGTGGCTAGTGCTGCGCGACAATACTCTGGTGTTTGTCAGTCGTTTCTGGTTGAGTTGCTAGCTTTGCGGGATGCTTTTCGTTGGTGTGCTGATAGAGGGTGGACTTCGGTCGTCTTTCGTGGAGATGCACATGTGGTGTTTAAGAAGATTATGGATGGTGAGGTGCATGATGCAGTGGGAGGAGCTCTTCTTAATGAAATTCAGATACTCCGCTCGACGTTCCAGCACTTCAACTGTGTTTTCATTGGTCGTACTAGAAACATGATATACCTATGACACATTATGAGTCGTGAATAAATTTATCATCTATGAGCAGGAAAAGATTTAATCAAATTAATACCCCTAATATACTTCCCCAAATGAACGACACAGCTGTCACTTTAATTATATATATATACTCCTCCGGCATCCCTCATGTACGTTTAAAAATAAAAATATGAATTTCAAAAATTAATTAAAGCGGCCCGCCACTGGGCCCAATATTTAAAATAAATAAAAAAGGAGTTTATTTTATTTTTATTGCCTAGTGAGCCAAAAAAAAGGTGGGTAAACGTGGCGTATCAGAACCCGGGATCTGCCGTCGCGGTGGGGGAAAGTGGAGAATGGGCCCCGCCGTCAAAAAAAAGCAGAGGCTGGTGGTGGTGGTAGCCAGGGAAACACGACGACCCACCGCCGGCTAGCTCAACTGCCTGTCGCTATCCGACGGACACGTCGCCACCTCACGACTTCTTCTTTCTTCTTCGCCGCCGTTACTTTCCTCAACAATATAATAATAATCCCCTCCAAAAAGAAAAGAGATTGCTTGGTGTTTGGGTATATGTCATGTACTTTGTCGCTAATATGGGAATCTTCTTCTTCCCCGTCGCTGTTCCCTCTCTGCCCAGTCGATTTTCGAGGGGTTCAACATACAATTCAGGAAAAAGATTAGTCAATTCGAAAAAAATTGGCTCGTCTGTTAACGAGTCGGGTTTGATCTTGAGCTAATAATAGTCTTTGTTCAGCTAGCGAGACTTGTAAGTCGGTTCGATTTGGTGGCTTTTCGATCTCAACTCGTGAATTGTCTCGTTCCGAGCTCATGAGATGTTCTCGCAACATTGTGAATAGCAAGTCAGCTCTCACCTACCTGCTTATGAGAAAATCGACTGGTACCTTCATAAGTTAATTGAGTTCGAGGTGAACCCGGTATCTTAATGATGAGCCAACTTTTTTTTACTGATGAGTTAGTTCGAGCTTGATCTCGACACAATGTGTTGATAAACAAGCAAAATTTGAATAAATTGACTAATCTCATAAGCTACCACCCCCTGAGAAGTGTTCACACTTTAATTTCAATTTCTTAAGTTCACTTCAAAAGTTAGAAGAAAATTTCCTTGTAACAAACTCTGCTTTCTCAATATCAGGCGATACAAAAACAGACAAATGGGAAACCGGAAATTAGGCGTAGAAAAAGAAACGGCAAGGAGGACGACGACAAAAAAAAAACGCCAGCGAGTGGGGCCCACGGGAAACAAAAAGCGGCAGCCGCGCTTTCTTTCAGTCCGCCGGCCCCCCACTTTCAGCGCCAGCAGTCTACGTGGGGCCCGCCGTCTCATCCGCCACCGCTCCATAATCCATAAATTAATGAAATGAAATATATCATTTATTTAATAGCAGACGTGATCGAACGGTCAGTCAACACGTGCGATGCTGACACGAATCTCCAGATGGAGCGGTCAACAAGATAGAGCTCGTTCCTTTTACAGCAACCGCACCGCCGTGTAATTTTTTTTTTAACTTCCCACCGTCTCCCACGCGCCTCCCGTGACGGCGGCAAATATTCAAGTGTCCCTTTGTTGCCGAGGAATTTACCTTTTTACTGTTTATTTATCGTTAATGGTAATTTGAGGTGGGTGAGGATCCCATATGGATGGCTAACTTAACCAACAAACTCTTTAGGCTAAAGTTGTGATTTGTTCGAGTCGTCGAAGATGGATAAATTAATCAAATCAATGAGGATAAATTATATAGTTGCAGATCCCGATGAAGCATGAGGTTGTCAACACGATCATGCGATGATGTCATTGACCTGACAAAAAGGATCGTCGACTCGACAATAAGCCAATAACATACAAGCATCATACTAATTCCTTGACACCACACAATTGAGTAGTCTTTTAACTTTCGAAAAAACGTAATATGTCAATAATAAGAAAATTATAATTAATGCTCGGTAACAATCATTCGTCGCATCCAATAAACAAATTATAAGACCATATCACAACTAGATCTTCCTTATTCCCAACCCAAACCATAAGCTCGAATCATCATTGGCAGGAATCATGAACCAATCAACATGTGACCCCCATTCTGCAAAAGAATCATCAAGAATTATACATTTATTTTCTACAATACGAATACTCTTGAGTAACCCGTACAAAACCGAAGACAATATCATGATAAACCTCAAAGACACGGCCCTACAACTATGCCCCATTTCCACCGCCACACGCTGCCGTTTCTTTAGCCGACGAGGGAAACCAGTACAATACTACTCTACTATGCTAGTTAGGGCTGGCAATTTGATCCAGGACTGTTTGGTTTTACCCGAACCGATCGTATAATACGGATTGGGACCGGATAGCAAACAATCCAATCTCATATTCGGGATTAGATTTGAGGTAAAAAACTTTGATAAAGACAGGATAAGAGACCCCAACACTCAAATCCCCACCAGCTCAATCTAAAATCAAAATCAAATTGGGACCGGACCGGGTCACGACCGGACCGGATCACGACCAAAGTGTATCCAATCCAATCTTTGGTCCTTATATTCCCGAAAAAACCGGACTGGGACCGGATCAATTTGATCCATTTTAACCGGACCGCACCGTATAGCCACCTTAATGCCAGTGAAACCAATCAATTAATTCTGTGTAATTAAAACCAAAATGTAAAAATAAATAAATTCCAGGGGTAACGGAAACGGAACGGAGAAAAAGAATCGGAAGCAAAGCTGTAACGACGTCATAACGACACCTGTCTGTCACCGAATTCCCCCACAGTCAAAAAAGCCGAAAGCTCCTACCAATTACCATGCCAACACCGACTACTAGTATGGGGCGCATTTTGCCTGACATCATTTTCGACAAACGCCTCCTTTCCCCATTATTAATTAATTAATTTCTTAATCACCAAAATTAAATATATCAATAAATTAATTAAAAACAAAACGCACAAATCCACTGTCCATGGACCGTACTAGTCACGTAGCCGGCAGCCGGCGCCCTCTACTCCCCTCCAAACAAACACCAATTTTTTCTCCCTTGTCCGTACAAATCCCGGCGCCGGCGAAACGATCGAGAGAACGAACTCAGAATTGGCGTTTCATTTCCAATTTTCCGTTCCTCTTCTTAAACATACACTGTCGCCGGCGTAAACATCAGAAACGACAGATGAAACTGATTACACAGATTGAAATGGATGAGAGAACAGAGAAGAGCTGAGAACTGCGATTTCATTTCCGATTTTCCATACATCCAAAAACAAGGAAGGGGGACTAGTTATGAACAACGAGGGAGATCCTCTCGTCGCAAAAAAACGGGAGAGCGAAATCAATCGATCCATCGGGCTTTTTACTAACTTATACACATCGGAGCCGGCGGGATTTTGGCTTTCTTTTTTTCCTTCTCCCGATCTCAGATCGATGAACTACCGGCGGCTCGCCGGAGTACTACATTCAGCTCATTCTTTCTATGTTTTCTGGGGAATACAATTTTTTGGGGTTGTTGTTTCCTTTGCTAATTCTATTTGGATCCCTAATTCTGAAAGGGGACGGTAAACAAAACAAAAAAGAGGGAACTATGACGGGGGAAAAAAACAGGCAGATTAGGTTGATTCCAGATCACCGGCCGACGAGGGGGGAAAAGTGATCAGGCGGTCTCAGCCGGCGGAGGGAAATTTAGATCCAGATCCAGAGATCTGGTCGTCGTCGTTGTCGTCGACGTCGGGTTCGGATCGCTGGTCTGCTGATGGTTCAAATCGACGACGGAGGACGAATCTGAATCGCTCTGGACCCCGCCGCTAAACATGGCCTGGGGGCGATGGCGGTGATGGAGATATTGCTGTTGCTGCTGCTGGTGATCGAACATCATCCGCTGGTACTGCGCACTCTTCATCATCGCATCGTAATAAAACACGTGATGCGGATGGTGGTTACCGGCCGCCACCACCGCCGCCTGCTGCGGCACCATCGGCTGAAACGGAAATCGGACGACGGCGGAGCTGCCGCCGCCCATGGGCCCCAGATTCAGATCTAGTCGGGGCGACGAGTCCATCGTCGTCATCACCGGGGCCGGAGCTTCCCGACTGGACGACTCCACCGTGCTGCTCTGGCTCGGGCTCCGATTGTTGCTCTTGGCCGACGCCGGGGCAAAATGATTCGCCGCGACCACGATCCCCTTCTTGTTCATGGGAAGGGGAGAAATGAACGAATCGGCGCCGGGGAAAGGGAAATTGGTCTTGGCCTTGGCCCCGCGGAACTCCCGGGCGGCGGCGTCGTAGGCGCGGGCGGCTTCCTCCGCCGTGTCGAAGGTTCCCAGCCACACGCGGCTCTTCTTCCCGGGATCCCTGATCTCGGCGGCGTACCTCCCCCACGGCCTCTTCCTCACTCCGCGAAAGTGCGCCTCCTTTCCTTCCGCCGCACCTCCGCCGCCGCCGCTCGTTTTTACGGCGGTGGTGGTTTTGTCTCTGGGAGCCATTCCTTTTTGTTTTTCTGTTTGGAGAGAGAGAATTGGAAATTCGTGAAAAAAAGGGGTTAATTTTTACAGCGGACGGGAGGGAGGAGGGATTGAAGGGGAAAGGGGAATGGTTGGTTATATAGCGAGGAAGGTGCCGACGTGGAATTTATGAGAGAGAGAGAAAAAAAAAAGGTGGGAGTCAACGGCGGGTTTGACTGAGGAAGAGGGGCGGCGGAGCGGGGGGCAGTGGTGCCCGGAATTCGTGGCATGTGGGATGTCGACCGAGCAGCAGGACCATCTATTGAATTTTTTGCAAGGGTATTTTGGGTATTACAATTCCCCTCCTTTTGCCGTTCCCGGGAATTTATTTATTAATAATTAAAATTGGTTTTAAATCCTACGGCTGCGATCGTACTGCAGATTGCGTGCGGTGGATCTTTGTCCACCCTTCCCACACTCCCCACCGCCGGCGCGTCGGATCCAACCTCTCTTTAATCTCCTTTCCAGCCGCTAATTATATGCTGTCCCCCGCTTGTTTTTAGTTATCGAAATCAGTTATAAAAACAAAAATTACTGATTAAAACAAACCAGTGATCGCGCGAAGCTCATAATCCACCGGTATTAAGTTCGAGATCCGTCTTAGGTGTTGTATGTTAAGAGTTTCGACGACTCTCTGTAAATGCTTTATTCTTCCCATTTTTAAGGTTATCGTAATTTTTTACTTAGCATGTGCTGACACCTTCGGATTATGAACCTACGATTTTCATAAATTGATAATGGTGTCACGTCATCATCACTATCAAACTTATTGAGCCGATATATTAATTTCGGCACATTTTTTCTTTTTTAAAGATGGGGCTAGAATGAGGCAGCCCTGTCTCCTAAAATTTCTCGGTGTGTGCGACCGTATTTTGCGGTGGGGGAGAGGTGTGATTAGGAGTGTGTTAAATAAAGATTAGGACGGGAATTAAGGAGGGGTGGCGCGTGGTGGCGAGGGGAGAAAGGGGAAAGACGGGAGTTTGAACAAGTTGTCGGCATGTTCTGCTATCTCGCCGCGTGACTTGGATCCATATATTTTTTTCCCCCCGTGATGGGCCGCCTTTTTATTAATAGCCTTTTTTTTATTTTTTAATAATTGGGAGGGGAAGGAGCCAACCATTTTGTAGTAGAGCCCCACGCCTTTATCCCTTTGAACCGCTCGTGTGGACCATGAGAGAGAGAAGGATGCGGAAGCGGCACCCAATGGTGACCCGACGCGTGTCTACTGTTGTTTTTCTGTAGGAAGAAGAAGAAGAAGAAGAAGAAGAAGTTAAGCCACCGCCTAAATTTAAGAAGAAGTCGTCGTCCCTACGGCTGCGCAAGACACTGCACTGCTGTGCTGGCCTCTATCTTCCTGACAATTTCCCCCCCAACTGCCCGCACACCGCCACCTTTTCCCTTTATTTCTTTTCTTCACACACGCTCTTTCCTCGCCCGGTTCTTCTACCAACCCACGGGGGTTGGCGGCCGGCATCGGCTCGATTCGGGTTCTATATACGGGATGGACCGGTGCACAAACGAATCGATATGGTTTCGATCGATTTCAAGCTGTTTTTTCGGGTGAAAAAAATGAGTAAATATGATAAAATAGTTAGTTGTGAATAAAACGAGCGTGCGATTGATTGAGAATGGCATATTGACAGGTCTTGTGTTCAATCTCGGTTGTCCATTTGTTAAGTACACGGTATTCAGATATGAGTAAAAACGAAACCCAGTGTAGATTTGGGGGATGTCTTTTGAGGGGGGCGTGATAGTAGGTGATATGTGATTCATTAGTGAACTTCTCATAACAACAGCTCAAGTTATTGATACTATAAACGGTTATCAAGAACGACATTCGAAAGCAAACGACTGACTAACTTATGAAATGATTAATTGTTACAGAGAAAGTGGTATTTTTTATACTTTTTCATATGCTAATGTATTTTAATTTATAAAATTTTTTGCCAAATAAAAAAGTATATCAATGATGATTAGAAAATTAATTTATCATGTATTTTTTTTCCTGAATGAATCCATGCCGAACAAAATTTTGGCTAACATTGTGACGGGCGCCTGTTTATAGTCACGAGGATATGCATGGCGAACGAAGGATCCGAGTGGTTGTTCGAACGAGTCATGTTACCAGTGTCATCCCCTGCGCACAGTGCTGCAACTAGGGATCGCAATGGGTAGGGTCGGGTGCGGGTTTATCCTATACCAACTCCTAACTCGTCGGGTAGAGCTTTCTAAAATACCCGACCAAATAACCACCGGGTATGAAAATTATATAACCATACCCTACCCACCGGGTAACCACGGGTATTCGGGTAACCATGGGTACGAATGCTAAACTATGAACTTATACACATATATGCACATACATACTATTGTCCATTAAAAATTCTCAATACTTGTAACTGTTATAGTTTCAACAATCCACACAAATAAAAACAGCAAACACATAATAATTGTCTACATCTTCATCATCAATATGGTAGCTAAACTCAATTTCTCAAGCTAAAATAAATTTCTCAAGGGAAATTGACCCTTTGGTTAGCGGGACCGGTATAATGGGGCGGGTATTATCGATTACCATACCCGTACCCTACCCTTTATTTTGAAACCTGGTATTATCCGTACCCGCCCCTTAACCCGTCAAAATGGGTAATTACCCTCGTTGACCGATTACGATCGGGTAGGGTACCTATGATTATGGATTGGATTGACATCCCTAGCTGCAACCAAGCCGAACAAATCAAAGCAGAGTGGTTGGCCAAACCCATCAACCACTCCCTACCCAACAATGAACCGAATCAGAAGAAGGCGAATAGGTTTGGTAGAACTTATGATCCTGCCGCCCAACCCATACCGCCACTTATTATTACTGCGGCGGTTTGATACTTTTTATTGGTAAAGGGAAAGTGATTATGGTTGGGCAAATGTGAGCATGATCATCATGACCGAATTCCCAACCCATAATATGCCTACAATGTACAAACCTATTCCTATCTAATTCTTTAATTTTTAATTAAACGGAGGTAGTGATTGCAATTTGAACCCATCCTGCTGGTATTACCTGATCTGTCCGCAACGAGGTGAGTATTATTTTATCCGCAGTAGTGTGAGGGCGGGGCATGTGTATCTACTTCTGACCCGTCCTGCTTTGTCCCGCCATGTTCTTTGTCCATTCAATCTCAATTTTTACCGCAATATATACATATTTCTCCTATTTTGATTTTTTTTAAACTAGTAAGAGTCAGACTCAATTATCCATTTTATTATTATTATTTTCATTCATAAAGTGTTTTTTCATTCATTTTATCGTAAAAAAGTAATATTTGCGTGTATTTTTTTCATATAACATGTAAGAGTGGCTGACCCGCCCACCCCGTACCTGCTCGGGTTTTACCCGCCATGACATGTAGTAGCGTAGTGTGGGACGGGGCATGGGTATTGAGGTACCCGCCCCGTCCCGCCCCATTGGCATCACTAAACGGAGGTGACAATTTGATTGGATTGGTGGATTTTTAGATTGCATTAAATCCTCCATGATTTCACGAATTTGAGTGACATTTAAATTATGGACGATTATCATATTTAAATACTATTAAAAAATGTTTGGTACCAAAATGTAATTTATCAAGGATATTTTGCATAAAATTTAATTTATAGGTATGAAATCCTAAAAAAATAATATTATTACTAAATTATAGTTTTTCAATAATCCATGAATCCACAATTAAATTGATTTTGAATTAAATAAATTCAAAATTTTGGATATTTTAGAGTGAATTGAATTAAATTGGTAGATTGATTTAATTTATCACTTCTATTTACAATATTATTAATAATTTATAAATAGCATATTTTATCTTCTAATGAGAGCACTTGTTGGCCATAATATACCTTTTTTTTTTAATTTACGCACTGGCATGCATCTGCTAATAATTAGTAATTAATTGAGGAGTAATTTTGTATATTACAAAGCAATGTGTTGGGAAAAGTTTGTAAAACGAGGGTCTCTACCTCTCTCGATCGATTCAAGTTTTGTCAAGGCGTATATAATAATAATACAACTTTATTTTTTTAATAATTTTCTTTGTAAATTTTAGAATGTCTTTTAATAATTTTTGTTTTGTTTTTTGGAGTGAGTCTTTTAATAAATTCAAATGCGCATTCGGCATTCCAAGGACTCCCTTAATAATAATAATAATAATAATAATATATTTATTATAGTTAATTAAATTATTAATAAAAAAAATTTAGTAATTCAATCTACCATACAAGTAGAAAACGTCAATTCCAGTATCAACTTTTTATTAGTCAAAATGTGCTGGCCTTCCCATATAGAAATCCAAAGGAAAAACATAAACTTCAGCCGGTTTTCCTTCGTATTAAAAACCAGGCATATATCCCTCATTGGTTGCATAAATTAAATTTTCCATAAAATCGAGCTACAATTTCACTATATAAGGACAAAAAATAGCTATCCAGTTTGTGATTAACTGGCGACGACCATAACAAAGAGTGGACTTAGAAAATGAGGAGAGAGCCGTATTTATGCTGGTATTCGAATCCGGATGTTTATGGCCAAATAACTTTAATCAATTAATTATAGTTATTGTGTTTCCATATAACAACCTGCCTCCAGAAGATAACATAATCTTGATTAATTAATTTTTTTTAATTTTATTACATTACGTGCCTAATTTATTGGCGGCCGGACATAGCCCGCGCCGCCCCCGATACTTTATCTGCCCGAAAAGTTCCACGCGTCAATGTCGGGATTTATTTGCTTTTAACGTCTTTTAATTGATTATTACTTTTAATAATAATGGGATTTACACGTCTTTTAATTGTCCTGATTTCTGTCGTCGTTCGTTCGGCGAACCTGGTGGATTGGACGGCGCCGTTTGCCTCCAGGCACGGACAAGAAGTATACGTGTCAATCGGCGGGGCAACCGGTGGCCGTGATTGCCGGGGAATTGGGGCATCGAGCTGGCTTATTTATGCAGTAATGAATGATATATGCAACGAACCGGTTTAGATCGATCACAATTAAGAGACCTATGTTTTTTTTTTTTTTTTTTCATTTTAGGATTAACTATCGGACCAACAATGCTATTCAGTCTAATTTGATTTGGTTTAACTGCCAATTCAGTCTATTTTTCTTAAGTATATAATTCATTAAATAAAATACCAGATATATTCATTTTAATATGTTCGCATCAATTGGGCCGATGCCAGATCATATTATATTCCCTTGTGCTTACGATTTGTACAGGTTGAACCCTTGTGCTGTCAAATCACGAGGCTTTAGTTTGCACAGGTTGGACATACCATCCCTTGTGCTAAACAAATGGCTGAAAATGAGGGTCGTCATGAGGATTTGAAACTATGACCTTTTGGTTCTAGGCTCTGATATCATGTTAGCGAACTAACAACTTGATCCCAATAACTCGAGTTGTTAAGAAATGGATAGTTAAACCTTTTTATTATTTATTTAGTTATGCATTAATGTAAACATACGTACATAGCAGCCACAAAACACCAGCTATGCACGGCAGGGCAGCACTAGTTTCAGTTGTCGTCGTCTGCGGACGGCACATCTCCTTCGGCTTTGTTTCCTTGGAAACTTCTTCCCAAATCAATTAAATACATAATCCTTCCTCCATAGATAGATGCACTCCTTAATTTTGTTGAATTAATTAACTGAAAGTGGGATTAGTTGTATATATACTCACGCCCAAGTATATAACTATACCTATTATGTACGTGAATATGAATTAATGAATTGATGGGTAATCTCTTTCAAGCTTCTTTCATAATATTTTGTTCCGTCGGCCTGATGTTCTGTACTTAACTAGATTCTCTTTTATATTTACTAGAATTACTCCTATCTTATCTTAATATACAACAATAATTTTACTTCACTAATCGTGATATTTATTTTTGTTTGTGGTGCCTAACTAATGGGTTAATCTAACTCTACCTATGACCCGAGTAAAAATTCTCAAATCAATTTGTTGAAAGTTGAATCTGGACACCCTACATCGGTATGATATTTGTACTTTTTGAGTCAAACTCGAACCAATCTAAAACATATTTCCAAAAATTTCTTACCAATAAAATTGGATAAAAAAACCAATATACAAGAATATTTTTCCTTGTGGTTACTTGAATTGCAAACCAACACAACCAAATAAAATATACATGGAAATTATGAGTATTTGGATAGATACACCACCCAGTTCACTCCGACGTTTTTGTTTCGAGCCTCGGAGTCAACCAAGAGCCATGCTAGAACTCCAATTGGGTCACCAACAACAATAAGATTCAAGTAAAAGGTAAAATAGTAACTTATTTAAAACAATAATTTGTCACTCTATTATGTGATCAGCATTCAGCAGTGAACGAGGTAAATGAAGATTAATCAACCTTGGATTATTGATTAGATGGGTCTAATCGTAATTAGCCACCTCGAGGTCTTGTGTGAATACGAACGAAACTATGAAGAAAGAGTGGGGAACATGCATGCCGCGTATTGGTGAAGAAAACACGCCGAGAAGGGAAGGAAGGTAGGAGAGAAGGAGACAGAGAAGGAAACGAGTAAGAGCGAAATCAAGTCAGTTTGGGTGGACTTGGACTTCCTCACAACAGTACTGAAAGATGTTACTTATTATTTTAGTTCTTCTAAAATGGTAGAAGAATACACATGTTACATGCGCTACAAGAGTATTATTATACATCAATTGTATAAACACCAGAAAAATGCAGAGAGCCCATATCATTCACCAGTAATCTCCACAGGAACACAGACCATCTTTGAAGTGATGGAACCTGCTGACATCCCTGACGATGATTTCCCTCGAAGCGATCTTCGAGACCAACTTGATTGCAGTATGGCAGTCCAAGCAAATCCGCAAGTTCTTCTTCACCCTAATGGGAGCTCCAGGAGGGGTGGCGATCAGTCCGAAAGCCACTGCGAGTTTCTCGCTGTGGTGGTACAACAACTTCGCCTTTTCCCTTTCTTCGACATCGTGAAGATCAGTTTCAACCATGGGAACATAGCCTGCTTTTCTCAAAGGCTCACTGAGCTCCTCGAGCTTATCATAGATTTCTTTGCTTCTAGGATGGCTTCTGTCACCAACTATAAAGGCGTGGACTTTGTCCTTTATCTCCATCCAACTCATTCCAGGCTCCTTCTTCACATTACTATCTTTCATAACTTTCCTTACCTTTGCTACCCCATCCCACATCCCAGCTGATGCATAAATATTAGCAAGAAGAATGTGGGTGCCTGATTTTTCGGGTTCAACATTGATAAGCATCTCAGCAGCTTTACTCCCGAGGTCAACATTCTTGTGTATTCTAGCAGCACCAAGAAGAGCACCCCATACTGCAGCATTGGCTTCGTAAGGCATTGTGTCTACAAGCTCCATTGCCTCATCGAGCTTCCCAGCTCTCCCGAGAATATCAATCATACATGCATAGTGCTCTTCCATGGGTCGAACACCGAATAGCTCCTCCATTGATGAGAAATATCTCTTGGCGTCGGATACCAAGCCTGCGTGATTGCAAGCACAAAGGACACTTACAAGAGTTATGTGATTGGGAGCAATGCCATCTTTCAGCATTTGATCGAATAGTTGGAGGGCCAGTCTCCCGTGCCCATGTTGAGCCATTCCTCCAATCATTGCAGACCATGAGACTATACTTCTCTCTGGTATTTCACGAAAAGCACGTTCTGCGTCATCTATGCTCCCACATTTGGCATAACTATTGACAAGAGAATTCCCAGCAAAGATATCGGTTATAAAACCTAGCTTCAGCACTTGGACGTGAACTTGTTTTGCTTGTTCATATGCAGACAAACTTGCACAAGCGTTTAAGAGGGAACTGTAGACAAATGCATCTGGCTTGATACCTTGACTCTGCATTTCCAAATAGAGCTTGAGAGCCTCTTCACCTTGCCCATCTTGAGAATAAGCTGTTATCATAGAAGTGAAAGCCAACAAATCTGAAGTTTGACTTTCTCTAAAGACCTTAGATGCATCTTCTGTCCGTCCACATTTCCCATAAGCATCAATGAAACTGTTCACTATATAATTATCAGATTCAAACCCAGATTTCAGAGAAAGTGCATGTATTTGCCTGCAAATCCAGTTAGCCTGCAAGCTAGCTGTGGATTTGAGAACAGTTGATAAAGTTGTCCGGTTGACTCCTACTCCTTCCCCGTACATCAAAGGGAAAAGAGAAACAGCTTCTACATCTTCTCCGTTCTGTGAATGTCCAGAGATGACAGCATTCCAAGAAATCAAGTCTTTTTCAGGAATTAAGTTAAAAACTAACCTTGCATCAACCATGTAGCCACTCTTTGAATATAAATCCACAAGCCCAACACCTAAAAATGCATCTGATCCTAAATCCCTCCTTATCAAATAGGCATGCAATTGTCTTCCAAGTTCTCTATTTCCAGCTCCAGCGCAAGCTTTGAGAGCGCTAGACAAAGTAAATGTATTTGGGGAAATACCAGACTCGTTGTTCATCTGCCTAAACAACTCCAAGGCACAATCGTGAGACTCAAGAAGCACACAACCAGCAATAACAGCATTCCATGAAACAATGTCAGGTTTTGCTGTTCCATTGAAGACACTCAAGGAATCTTTTAAAGATCCTAGTTTTGCATACATGTCAACAAGAGCATTTGCAGAGAATAAATCCAGGTCATAACCAAGCTTTATCAAGTACCCGTGAATTTTCCTTCCGTGCCTACCGTCCTCCAGGCCAGTGCAGGCGTTTATCATAGCCGACAATGTGAACTCGTTAGGCCGCGTTTGGGTCACAATCATGTCCTGAAACAACTCCACCGCCTCCCCAAACGAATCACGCTGCACATAGCAGTTGAGCAAAGCATTCCAAGAGACAACAGTCCTGCGTGGGATTGCATCAAAGATCCTCGCCGAGTCCGCAATCTCCCCACATTTTGCATACAGAACAACCATGCTGTTCAAAACGAACTCTTCGTTCTCAAACCCTGTAACGACCACAGTCGCATGAACCTGCATCCCTAGGCCAAAATCATTGGTCAAAGTACAAGCCTTGAACACACTGGGGAAAGCGAACTCGTTACACTTAACCCCCAGCGAATGCATCTCCCGGAAGGCCGAAATCGCCTCCCGGCCTAACCCATTCTGCGAATACCCTGAAATCAAGGCGGACCAGGATACTAAGTCTGGTTCAGGACTTTCGTCGAGCAGCTTGCGCGCGTAGCCGAAGCACCTGCACTTTGAGTAGACGTTAACCACGAGGTTTCTCAGCCTTGCGTCTTGATGGAGGCCGAATTTGATCAAATGGGTGTGAACTTCCATGGCAGGGGCTAACGACTTTGAAGCAGTACATAGCGATAGAAGTCTGGAGCAGCGCTCGGAGATGGATGAGAGAGAGAGTCCAGGAGGGAAGGATGTGAATTTTTGCGGGTACTGGCTGATCGCTGTTGCCGTGTGTGAAAAGTTTACAACTTTAGGAATGGAGATAGAGGGGAGACTGAGATAAAAGGGGTTAGAAGCCAGGGAAGAACGCCGGTGAAGGGATTTCCGTCGGAGGTAACGGAGGAGGCAGAAGTTCATCGTCCATCTTGGCGACGGGAAAGCGGGCTCCTATTTTTATAGTTGGGCTAGGAAAGCCCAAAAGAACCACACTGTAAAGAGGCCTAGTCCAATCTCATCGGTCCACAACACGGCCCGTCTTTCACTCGGAAGCCAGCACGTGAAACGGCGTCGTACGAAGTGTGGAAAACGCAGTTAAAATTGGAGTGAGCGAGAAATGGCAGCGAAACCTACACGAGTTTGTTGCCGGGGAGGGAGCACCGGATTTGGGAAGAGAGTGTGAGAGATAGAGAACCCGAAGCTCAATCGCCACCTTCCCTCCGTCTAGGGTTTTCGATTCCTCCCACGGGGATCTATGGCGACGGCGAACTCGAATCGGCAGCAGAAGCAGAGACAGCCGGCGGCGGCGGTGGTGAAGCGGAAGCCGGTGTTCGTGAAAGTCGACCACCTGAAGCCAGGGACTAAAAACCACAACCTGATCGTCAAGGTCTTGTCCTTCGACACCGTCCTCGAGAAGGGTCCCCGGCCAGCGGCGGTAGCAGCGTCTCAGCGCCTCCGCAACACTCGCATCGCCGAGTGCCTCGTCGGCGACGAGACGGGAACTATCCTCCTCACAGCTCGCAATGAGCAAGGTCTGTTGTCCCCTCTTTTATTCTTTCTGTTCGTTTGATATTCGGAATTGTGGGGATTTCTTTCATTAGGGGCTTTGAGACTCTGATGAAAGGTGAATTGAATTTCTCATTATGGGAATTTTTTTATGTTCTAACGATTGATGATATTCATTCCTTGATGGTGATGAGTGTCCATTCCTTGTGAGTTCTATTTAAGTGGCTGGGAAAAATTGGGCATTCTACATAGCCTCGTCTTCTGTAATTCATGGCCTGCTGAAATTTTAGGGTTTAGGTGAGACAATTTCCAGATTCTAGGCTTAAAAGTGTATTTCTTTCTGCACATTACCTAATCACAGTGACTGTAGTTGCTTTTTTTGGGAGAAAAAGTGACTGTAGTTGCTAGACCGTTGGAATCTAATAAACTACTGCTTGTTCCCTCATACTCGCATTTCACTTTCTCATCAATCTTTGTATTGTTTTGGTTCTGACTTCTGACCCTCCAGCTGTAGCCTTTATTGCCCAAAGATTCATCTCTTGATTGTTTATTCCTTACAAATTGTGTCTTTGCTTTGGTGTTCCTGCTGCACAGTTGACTTGGTGAAGCCTGGTACCACGATCATAATCCGGAACGCAAAGATCGACATGTTCAAGGGATCCATGAGGCTGGCTGTAGACATATGGGGTCGCATCCAAGTCACGGAACCTGCTAACTTCGCGGTAAAAGAGGACAACAACCTGTCGCTCGTGGAGTACGAACTCGTGACTGTTGCTGCAGATGAGTAGAGCGGATTGTTTTCACGGTGGTGGCGATGTTCATCTTAGGGTGGGGTTATATCAAATCTCTAGTGGCAGGATCAATAGTTTTTTTGGGTTCTCTCTTTCATTTGTTGTCCTGAGGTGGTAAATGCTATTGGGAGTGTATCGATCTTGTTTCGGAGCATGGTTTTGGTATTCTGGACCTCCCTAATGCTGGTTTCAGCATCTGGTAAATTTAACTAGCTGAGCTTAAGCCTCTTTGGTGTTAAAGCTGTTGATAGTAAGAATGCTCTGTGTTCAGTTGATCGCCTAAGTGACTATGTCCTCCAGTTTTGAAACATGAACAACAAACGGGTCGTGTCATTCATCACGCAGATACGGCACCGTTTTACGTAGTAATGCCACCACTTAAAACGACGACGTAGGATAGTTGGAAGGGCAGTTAAAATTGGAAAATGGAAACTCAAGAAATTGGGAGCGAAACGCACGGGTTGGTGCCAGAAGAGTAGCATCGAATTTGGGAAGGAAGAGAGAGAGAGAGAGAGAGGAGAGAGAAATACCAATCGGCAGAAAAACTCTGCCATCTCATCTTCCTTCCATCCATCTAGGGTTTTCCTTTCCTTTCCCAAAAGGCGACACTTCTTCGCTTGCTGGCTAGCTAGCTTCGTGTTCCCGGATAGCGAAGAACCTCCGAATCAATCGCACATCGAATCAAATGGCGACAGTTGCGAGCTCGAATCAGCAGCAGAGCGCGGGGGTGGTGGTGGAGAAGAAGAAGCCGGTGTTCGTGAAAGTCGACCAGCTGAAGCCGGGGACCCAGAACAACAACCTGATCGTCAAGGTCTTGTCGTCGAACACCGTCTTGCAGAAGGGTCGGGCCGCGTCTCAGCGCCTCCGCAACACTCGCATCGCCGAGTGCCTCGTCGGCGACGAGACAGGGACTATCCTCCTCACCGCTCGTAATGAGCAAGGTCTGTCTTTTCCCTCCCTTTTCCTCTCGTCTTTGATGGTATTCGGAATGATTGGAGGTTGGTTTTGGGGATCTGTTTGCTGAAGGGAGTTTCTAGGTCCTGAAATGTTGGTTGGCCTGGCTATTGATGTTCATTCCTATTATGTTGTTTGTGGTGACCTCTCTCTTCCGATGAGCTGAGCTCCCATGGCTCATTAATCATTACTGATGCCAGTTTCTGTTTTTAAGTTGTTGAGGAATGTTGGTTTTGCAGTTTAAATGTGTGTTAATGGGGATATGAGGCGTACTTTAGGTTTGAGGTTAGATAATTGGCAGACTTGAGGCATTATTTAATTTCTCATTGCTTTCCCTATGTGCACTATGTTGGTCTGTGTGTATCATTGCTGCTAGAGACTAGCATCTTACGAATTACTGCCTCTTTCGCTGTAAATTTGTTACCAAGCAATGAAGTATAACGGTTGGATTCTTGCCTTTTTTTTTTACCAATCTGAATAGCATGTTTCTCTATCGGTCTGTTTGAGATTCTAGGGTGGCGAGTTCATTCTTGATTTTGCTCTTCTAGCTATTGGATGCTTTTGTTATTGATGTCCCGATTTGCAGTCTCATTTCACTAACTGATCTCTGCTTTGGGTTCCTGCTGCAGTCGACTTGGTGAAGCCTGAAACCACTATCATAATCCGAAACTCGAAGATTGACATGTTCAAGGGTTCCATGAGGCTAGCTGTTGACAAGTGGGGTCGCATCGAAGTCACTGAGCCTGCTAATTTCGTGGTAAAAGAGGATAACAATATGTCGCTGGTGGAATATGAACTGGTGACGGTTGCTGCAGATGCGGTTGCTGCAGATGAGTAGAGCGGATGCTTTTGTGGTGGTGGTGTTTGTAAGGGTCGGAGTTTTTTTTTTTTTTTTTCTTCTGGGGGGTATTGCTTAAATGGAGTTATGCAAGTCTTCAGAGTCCATCAAAGTTTTGTGGTTTTCTTACATTGTGTCGTGGGATGGTAATGCTACGACTCTTTACGGGTTTGGTATATGGAACCTCCCTGAAATTGGTTCAGTCTCTCTGCTATCTCAAGCTTAACCTCTTCTTCTTTTTCTTTTTCTAGGGTGTTCTTGTTGGACCTTATTTCAGCATCACTGAGATGGTTTGTTTGTGTAAGTGACTATTCACTTGCTTTCTCATGTCCAGCCATTGTCTTGGAGCTCGAAGCATTTGGTGTTAGAACTGTTAATAGTAGATTCATCTATTGATTAGCTGATCATCTCTGGCGTTCTACGATTGAAGTAGCTGTGTAACTGTTTCTGGTATTTTGTATTTTTTCTCTCTGTTGCACAGCCTTCTTATCGTGTGCATCGTAGTAGTACTCATCATCGTTCCATTAGAATAGTGCTTGTAACCGAAACTTCGATTCACTTGTTATAAATAGGATCATCATCCAGCTGAAATCGAAGTACTGTGTAGTGATGTGATCAAATCCGAATTGAATAACATCTTGGCTCGGTCATGAACCAACGGAAGTATTTTTCAGATCGGTTAAGTTTCTTTGAACAACCTGAATTGCAGCGTCCTACAGTCTCCAAACTAGTGTTAGCAAAGTCGCTAAACCGAGAGTGCAAAAGGGGTGGGTCGAGTCGATAATAATGGAGTCGAGAGAAAGACTGCCCAGCTAAGAGCAAAAGAAAGGGACCGGCATAGTCGTTGTGGGAGATAAGCATGGGAAACTTGACAGAAGACAAGTCACATGCTGTGCAAATATGAAAACTAGGCTTGCAGTTCCCAGAACTGCAGGAAGACATAAGTCATGGACGTATAGCTAGCACAGTGGCTTGTTCTATAATGCCTCGACACGAGGACGAGTAAAACGTAATTCCGAGAATGAATACAAGCAGTCCAAGTTTCATCATCAGCACGTATAAAAACTTTTAGTTGCTCCAAAACTCCAATTCTAGTTGGAAAAGCAATAGTGAAACGTAGAAATGTATGAACTTCGAATAATTGAATTTGGTCATTCAATGCCTGAAATGTCTTCAACAACAACTCATTACACCCATCGGAAAGTTAATGATGTCGGTATTACCGGAGTCTCTATCCCGTTGAGCTAATCATCCATCTGCAGAAAAGAACACAGACACAAGGCATCAGTATCGACCTGCTATGTATCTATTATCTAAAATGAAGGCCACATGTAATGCAGGCACAAAAACCCCAATGGATTGCTCTGCAATTTCAGTGTAGCTCAGCAAGAACCCCTAATTGTCAAGAAGCACATACAAACATAGAAACACAGACATCTAATCCATCCAATCCATCACAAGAATCTCGACACGAGGCAATGGCGATCTTACTCTTGAGCAAAATGGTAACCAATAGAAGATCAATTGCCTATGAGGCACGATATACATTGTTGCATGCTGTACAATGCCCTCATTTACAGAACCGCCACGATATCGAGATCGCAAAAGGATTGTTGCAATAAGGCATACGCCAAAACATTTCACTGAGAACTCTGGAAACTGCAGACTATGGAAACCCTAGACTCGAACTTTCATGGATAGGCTAGCATTCAGCTGTCCTTCTATACGCAAACATCAATCAATCAATCAAATTACCAGTTCATAGCCAAGTAACTCTAGGGTTCTAATTCTCAAGCAAAAAATGGGAAGACTTCATTACCATCGAGAGTCCATACATAAGCGCAGCAAGAGACGGAGAGCTTCGAATTGATCAATGCGGATGCGTTGGCGGAGTGATACGGAAGCAACGTGTCAACCAAACAGCTCATCGACCTAAGTTGAGAAAGTTCATCAATTCACCAGAAAACTGACTCACATAACAATCGGAGTCCGACGGCGAGAAGAATATCTTATCAATCAAATTACCTGGAAATACGAAGAGAAGGAGGAGGGATTCTCCTCTCGGTGGGGACATCGAAGAACGCCGGCCTAGTTTTGGAGGGCAATCGCCGTGCGGTGGCTGGCCTGACGGCGGAGAAACGGAGGACTGACCTGGCGGCTGCGGTGGCGGACATGGCGATTTCAAAGGTTTTAGGTTTTGGAAAACAGAGGCCAGACTCTTTTGAGTGGTTTAAGGTGAATGTCCCAAAACGACGGCGTTTCAGTTTTGCCGTGGTTGAATGATAAGGGATCGATGAGAATTGAGATTGGGTCAGAAAGAAATGTGAATAAGAAATCCGAAATGCAAATGGATTTACATCTTCTCCTTCAACTAGGGATCGCATTACCAGCAGCAACCATGGCGATTCTCTAGCGGATTTCTTCTCAATGTAAATCGAATCATTTTAATCTCAGACCATTTATGGTGCCAATGGAATCAATCAAAACTCATACACCCTTCAGTTCTTTTCCACAACAGCACGAACAGACCACAAAGCATGAACAAAGAACAAGAAATCAACTAACTCGGCCTCTCTCCTTGGATCTTCTGATCTTCTCAATAGTACTTAGTATCAAAGGAATGCAGATCCCTCCTTTTCCCTCCGCCGCCGCCGACATAATTCCTACTCTCCCATCTCCTCTTGATCCTTCTCCACACCCATCTCCCGCCCCCCTCGTCGTCGCCGCCGCAGCTACTACGGTCCTTCTTGGGACAGCTTGCCGGAACCCAATTAGCCTCCCCAGGGACACGCTGTTGTCTTGGAAGAAAGACGCCGTAGACTGCACCAGAAGAAGGACAAATGAAATGACCAGATCAGTGGTAAAATCCAATGCAACCATGAGAGAGCACCCATGGACTCGATTCGATTTTGTTTTTTGGTACCTCGGTGTCGAGATTTGAGGAAGACAGAGAGGAGAAGCTGGACGACGGCGGAAGACGACGGCTGGTCTGATTTCTGCTGATCTCCGTCACTCGAAGTCTCAAGTTCATGATTTGCAGCCCAAGTGGCCACCCACTCGAGCTCCATGATTGCTCGTTGCCCTATCAATTGGGGGGGAACATAAAAGGACATGCAGAGGAAATCAATCTCATGAGCAGAGTAGAGCACACGAATCCGTATGCACAACGGATTCTCGCCAACAGGGGGAAAAAGGCAACCATTTTTCACTGAAATCACACAAGCGAAGGATTTTCCAGACAAGACCCAGAAATGAAATCCAGCTAAAGTTTCTAACTTTGCTTCTGTTTGGAAGAAAGAAGAAGCAGGGGAGGGGGAAAAAGGTAATTAGCTAGTTTTACCTCTGTTACTGGGCGCGCCATTGATGGGCAGAGGAGGGTCGCATTCGCGTGAAATGTTGAAGAGGGGAGATGGTGGCGTGATGTTTATCTTATCCCAAGAAGAAGAAGGTATTGAAATTTGTCTCAGGGAATTGAAATTTGAATCGTCGCTGGCCAGCAAGAATCTTTAATTTCCTCTGTTTTGGAGAAGGTACGTTTTTCAGATGGTTCGTCTAATTCATACCTTAAACACGAGACTAGACAATCAATCAATGGAGCTTGCAGGCTAGAAAGGGCAAGCCAGGTCCCACTTGGAGGTTCATATTTTCAAATCAAACCCATTCCCCTGTCGGGTTTGGTTCGATTCTGACTGCAACGGTTCGATTCCATCCAGTTTGGGAAAACTTCCACATCAGACGACGGTTTTTTTTTACCGGTTGTTGTTACTGTCAAACATTCTGAGGACAATCAGAGCAGCAAGTAGTATAAAATAAAGGGTTCTTATTGTGGGGTTAAGGTGTCATTGTAGTACTGAATTAGCCCTTTAAACTACCAGTTGGCGCCTTCATTATCATCTTTGCATTCGTCACCAATGAATGCATTTATATCAGAGGCAGCATCAATCAGAAGAAGCAAAACCCCTGATTAATTTTCATTTGTCGATGAAGATTCATTTCTGTTTCCATCAATGAATGAATTTGAAGAAACATTTGGGAGAGAAGTGATACATAAAACATTTACTGTTTCGTGTATAGATTTGTAATTTGCTTTGATCCGACTGTTTTTTCCGTGTATTATGTTCCGGTAATCCATCAGCTTAACGATTAGGTTAATGGTGCAAGGTATAGTTACAAGACAGACAATAGCATTGTGATAATAAAAAAAAAAATCTTATTTGTTTGGTTATTCTACACCTAGTAATACGATACAATATTACAAGCACTTATTATACGTTTTACTTTTCACTGCGTCACCGGTACTTACCTCTGGTGCAACATGTGCTTGTAGTTTGCTTTGCTTGCTTTCATGGTCACTACTAATTCACTATATCTAAAGAAGAGGAGAAAAAGTTTAAGATTGGCAAGGAATGGATAAGACTTGAACTCATTATTATCGTATAATAATTGCTCTATCGTCGTTATATTGTTTGATTACAATTAATCGGCGTAACATTTATGAATCATCTATAAACGGGAAAGAGGTATCAATCTGAATTTCAATAATTTTTCGGATTTACATGGTATCAGAGCTGAGCTACGATTTCCTTTAACCTTTCTATCTCTTCTTAATTTTCTCACATCAACATCTTTGTTCACCATCTCTTTCAAGTTTCAGCTGGAAACAAAGTAGGGGTCAACCACCGTAACATGTAATTCCTGCTGTCGCGCCGAGGGAAAAGTTTTCAACTAACAAAACAGTACTGCTCGAAATCGATAAACGAACAGGACAAAGACATTGCATGTGCACATTGCACAATCCCCTGTTTTTTTTTTCCCTGAAGTTTTACAGAGCACTGTAATAAATTGGGTGGTGATAACGGTCATGGATCTCTAACACCCTGTTTTTTCCCCCATTTATGGGTTACAGCCATTGAATGCTGGATGATGCTCTCCATCCATTGCAATTTACCACCTTTTACTATGAATGGTAAGTTTTGGCCTTTGGGGGATCAGTGTCAGCAGTGAGCAGTAGCTCCTCAGTAAAAAACTGTAGAAGACGGGGTCGATCAGTTACATAAAAGTGCTCTGTTCTGCAGCTAATTTCCCAGTGGCCGCAAAGTTGTTAATTTCCCTATGAACATGAAAGAACATGGGTCAACCCGCTGGCATCATTTCCCAAACTGTGAAACTCGAGGGCAGTTAAGGATGTGTGATAATGGTGATTGTATAAGTTGAATAGTCCCAATAAAATGGTGTGGCGTGTAAATGTGGCAACAGAACCAGTGGGATGGAAAAATGAAAAATGGTTGCTGTGGTTTGTTCAGCGGCCAGCTTTCCGTACTTCAGATATATTGAGTCCGACCTACTGCTGGAGATGGCCGGATTGGAGTAGATGGCTCCTCAGCGTCAGCGACACGAGCACTAACTCATTTTCAATTGCTTGATAATAATAGGTGTTCTTACTTTGAATACTTGCCATTATTACACCACCATTTGGGGACATGAGAGTTCTTTAAGAACATGGGACCACAACTCTCACGTTTGTCACAGTTAGAGCTAAATTTTTGAAATACACAAAATAGCCATTTCTGTCCATCCCCTTAACGGTGCCACTTAACAACATGACTGTACCGACGTAAATGCTGAATTGGCGGGAAAAAAACAGGACAGTGTTGGGGAGAGTGTTGTTCTGAACTCAACAATCTTATTGCTGAATTATATATGACCTTGAAGAAGCTTGGGTCCCAAGTCTCCAGTCTTAAGAAAACAACAGGACAAAGGAATTGCTGCTGCCCGTCATAGCACCATCAGAAGCTAAGCTTAGGATATTTGGAACACGAAGACTGCAGAGAAATGAGAAACCCACTCACTATCTCAAATAAAAAAGAGGAGTTGCAGGAAGAGAAGAGCCTTTCAAATGTAGCAAATGACATTGTAACGAGTAACGAGTACCTGGACGAAGCTGCTGCAGATGCTGGAGAAATTGGTACCTCTATTCAAACAATCGGTTTCCAGGAAACGTTGGTACCGGGAGTGACAGTGGAAAGGCGCATTAGTGTCGGGTAGTCAAGGGAGAAAACATTTCTGGAATAGGTTGCAGGTCATCCTTGCAAAGCAATTTCGTAACAGCCTGCTGCAGGTTCATACAGAAAAAAAAAGAAATGCAGTTTATAATCATTCTAACTATGCTTCCATACTATGAGGAAAGATGATCCAAAGAAAGGTAATGAGTTCAAGAAAAGGGATAACTGCAAGCAAAATACCTTGAGAGTAGGGTGTGTGAGGATGCTTCTTCTTCTTCTTGTTGGTGTTGTTCTCCTTTTTCTTCTTCCATTCCCAAATAACAACTTTGGTGGTGTTCTTCTTGCTGGTGTTGTTCTCCTTCTCTTTCTTCCTCTTCCTCTTCCTCTTCTTTCATTCCCAAATAGCGGCTGTCCTGTTGGACAGCTATACCATCAACTTCGATGTTTGGGATGTGAGAAACGATGGGCCAGTCCTCATCTGTGATGCTTCTACATCTCCCAGATAGAATACCACAAAACCGTACTTGCAAAGACTCCAAGGCGGTTAGCTTAGTGAGCCAACCTGGTACGCACTTGAGCTTGTTACACCATAGTAGCTCCAGCTGATGCAAATTTGAGGAATGCTGAATCCACTTCGGTAGAGTCACCAAATCAACTTCCTCGAAAACCAAGCGACGGAGACTTGGAAGGACACACGGCGGTGGCATGTTGTCGTGCTCATCATCCCGTTCATCACCACCGCCACAATCGTAGTCCTCCAGTTCCAAAACTTCACAATTTGCAATACAGAGCTCCTGGAGGGAATGGAGTTGTCGAAAAATTGATAGAGATAGAGTAGGTCCTGCAAACAACCTTTGATCTTTCATCAAGATGAGATGCAACTCATGAAACCTAGAGCGCGGTGGAGAGATTAGAGAGGCAACAAATGCACTCAACAACTCACTGCTCATAGCCGTCAACTCAACCTTCTCGAAGTTTACCCGAAAACGCGGGACGGATACCATTTGCGGGCACGATATGATCTGCAGGTTGGAAACCCGAGGTAGCAGAGGCGACTCTTCTGTATTTGTGGGAGACCATCCTACTAGGTTTTTGCAATTTGTGATCACGAGATACTTGAGTGAGGGCAGAATTTCCAAGTGATTGTTTGAAGGTACATAAGAAGTAGAAGGTGATGATGCTACAGTCTCGGTCTGTACGTACTCCAAGCTCTCTAACCACTGCAAGTCTAATTCTTCAAGAGAAACAAAAGGATCCAAGCATGGCAGACTTCGCAGTTCCGTACACCCATAAAGCTTGATACTGACCAGATTCCTGAGAGAAGAGAACCAACAGCTTCTTGTTGAGATACTCGCCCCACCGTAATACGATAACTGTATTTCCTTTAAATTCGGATGTGGCTGTAAGGCCTCCAATACTGACCAATCAACATCTGATATTCTAGCACTATCATTGTCATCTCTTGCTCTGGCAGTCATACCTTCACCCCACATTAGATGCAACCGTCGAAGTCTCGATTTCTCTTTCAGATTGGCTGTCTCTGCTTCGGATTTATCCTTCACCCGATCCAGCCGTTCAATAATCAACGCACCAGTTAGGTTGTTCAACCTCTTCAGTTCACCAAGATCAACTGCTCGCGAGGAGCCGCCTACAGCAGCTTTCGTCTCTTCTGATACACGAAATTCTCTAAGGAAGGAGAGGTTCCCGATCCCGGCTGGTATGCCTGTCAAATTCCTGCAGCCAAAAAGTTCAAGATACACAAGGTTGTACAACTTCCCGATGTCTGTCGGTAGTAGCCGAAGGTTTGCACAATAAAACAGATTGAGCACTTGCAAGTGTACCAATCTTGAAATTTCATTTGGAAGTACCTCCATTTTGTGCCCGGAACAGTCAAGGTACCTAAGATGTTTCAATTCATGGACAATAGACGAGAGAATCTCCATTGTCACATTTTTTAGACCGAGCACTCTAAGCCTGATCATCTTTGGAAATATTTTCCCACAACTTCTCTCGAAAGTTCCAACAAACAATACATTTATGATGAGAAATGTTCGCAGTCTTGTTGCTTTAGCTAAGAGAGTTGGAACTTGACATACTTCATTGTACAGTCCCCCACCAAAATCGACGGATAGGTGACGAATTCTTTCAAGGTTGACGTTGCCACGCTTGAGAAAGTCATCCGTGAAGTTTGAAGCATGCAAGCAAATGGTCTCCTCTCCTGCAACTTTGACAGCAAGATCGTGCATTAGATCATGCATTTTACACGACTCCATATTTCCATATGCATCCTTTGTCACCTCCTGAAAGAAGGACCTCCACAACAATGTCTTAAAATATTCCATTCCAACTTCTTCAAGTAGTGAAGATTGATTGGACTTGGTCACGTAGCCTTGGGCCATCCAAAGCTGTACCAACATTTTTACCTCGATTTCTTGATCTTTTGGAAACAAGCAGCAGTACGCGAAACACCGCTTCAAATGACAAGGCAAATGATCATAACTCAACTTAAGAGTAGTTGTCAAAATGTCGCCCTCTAGGTTCAACAATTGCCTGTCTCTTACTGCTTCCCACTCCGACTCGGTATCCTTGAAGAACAGAACTCCTCCCATCGATCTTAAGGCTAGAGGCACTCCCCGGCATTTCCTCACAATCCCTTCCCCTATCTCCACATATCGTAGACCTGACGCTACCCCTCCTTTAAAAGCCATCTTCTCGAACAAAGACCAAGACTCAGGCTCGGACAAACCTTTCAACTCATATGGCACAATCGTCCCGGTTGCTGTCATCTCTGCGACGATTCGGAGACGTGTGGTTACTATGATTCTGCTACCTTGTGCTGCACCACTTGTAAATAAATCCTTGAAGTGAATCCACTTCTCCCGGTCCTCATTCCAAACATCATCCAAAACCAACAATACCGGCTTGTTCTTGATTTTCTCATGAAAAACATCCTTTAGTCGGTTCAAGGAAAGTTCTTCCACCGTTTCCTTGGTTATGGACTCCAAAACATCTTTAATCAAGATTTTAGGTTGGAAAGTTTCGGAAACGCAAATCCAGGATGTGCAATCGAAATGAGATTTGATTTTGTCGTCGTTGTAAATGAGCTGGGCTAATGTTGTCTTCCCCAAGCCCCCGATCCCAACAATGGGAACCACTGCAACTTTCTCCTTGTAACTAGAAGACAATAACATGTCTATTATAATCTGCTTATCTTCTTCTCTCCCAACAACAACTTCAGGGACGGAGGAGTGAGTTTGCCTCCATTCCTGACTACCAACAACCGCCTCCTTAAAATTGAACTGCTTCCTATTCTGATCGATCTCATCTAACTTGCTCCGGATAGTCTTAATTTGATTAGAAATTCTCAATCCATAAGCAACTTGGTTGGACGGAGAGAAGAAGCGGCATACCTCATTAACAAAGCCATTGCCGTCGTCCATTTGTCGCCTCTGGAGAATCTCTGTAGCGAAATCGTCCAACAAGTCTTCAGCATCATAAAGGACTTCTTCCAGTCCTCGCAACCACAGCCGGACCTGATGACTCTTGCTAGACTGATCCTCTGCGTCCAGCAGCACAGCTTGGATGCTGGAAACCGTGCTTTCAAGTTTCTGAATCTCGCTTTTGAGACCAAAAAGGAGGATTGCTTGATCAGCGGCTAACGAACCCAACTTCTTGAGGACCAATTCAGCGAGAGCAGCTGCCATTTTTCCCGTCCCAAGGGATAGGATCGGGTATTTTCTGTGGAGGAAAAGGGCGCCTCTGAGAGAAGAAGGCAATACTAGAACGTAGAAGATATATGTCAACAATCATATGATTGAGAATATAAAACACAAATACAATAGCCAAGTCAAAGATCCAACAACCTAACGCGGCTTTTTTTTAACAGAAGGGCATGTTTGATGTAAAAAATAATTGATGGACATGTTTGATAAATCTTCGTAGTAGATGACATATTTTTACCTATAACCCTTTTCCTTTATGTCATTTCCAGTGTATGTTTCACGGTTCCAGCTCCAACTTCCTTCATGTTCGTTTTGCAGTGTTGCTGTAGCCTGTACTTGCTTTTATGTCATTTCCAGTGTTCGTTTTTCCTCTTTCTTTGATGGATGAAGGAGCTGCTTCAATATGGAAGATTTAATGGTGGGATAATCAGTTGATTAAGTGATTACCTTAGTCACCAGAGCCGGGAGCGAGCTTAACAGCTAGTCGTACATCAAACTACAAACACCAATTTTACATAGGAAAAACGAACACTGGAAATGACATAAAGCTTAACAACTTATACAAATTGGGCATACAAATTGGGCACACGATAAAGCTAAAGGATCAACTCAACACACAATCCTGAATTATGACATTGAAGAAGCTTGGGTCCCAACCTCCAGTCTTAAAGAAACAACAGGACAGGCATTATATTGCTGCTTCCTGTCACAGTCATATCACCAACATAGGCTAAGGATATTTGGAGCTTGAAAACTGCATAGGAACGAGAACCCATTCACTATCTCAATTCAAAGGAACATATGAGCCTTTCAAATGTAGCAAATGGCATTGTAACGTTTAATGAGTACCTGGACAAAGCTGCTGCAGATGCTGGATAAATGAGTGCCCCTCTTCGAACGATCAGTTTTGAGGAAAAGTTAATACTCGGGTTGACAATGTATAGGCGCATTAGTGTCAGGTAGTTAAGGGAGAAAACATCTCTGGAATAGGTTGCAGGTCATACTTGCAAAGCAATTTTGTAACAGGCTGCTGCAGGTTCATATAGAAAAAAGAAAAGCAATTTGTAATCATTCGAACTGTGCTTCCAAACTACAAGGAAAGATTGTTCAAAGAAAGGTAATGAACTAAAGAAAAGGGATAACTGCACGCACCATAACTTGACTAGTTAAAGCAAAATACCTTGAGATCAGGGTGTGCGAGGATGCTTCTTCTTCTTGTTGGTGCTGCTGTTGTTGGTGTAGTTCTTCATCAATTCCCAAATAGCACCCGTTCTGCTGGACAACTATAAAATCAACTTCGATGTTTGGGATGTGAGAAACGATGGGCCAGTCCTCAGCTGTGTTGCTTCTGCATCTCCCAGATAGAATACCACATCTCCTTACATTCAAAGACTTCAAGGCGGTTAGCTTTGTGAGCCAACTTGGTAAACACTTGAGCTCGTCACACCGTATTATCTCCAGCTGTTGCAAATTTGAGGAATGCTGAACCCACTTTGGCAGAGTCACCAACTCATCACGGTCGACAATCAAACAACGGAGGCTTGGAAGGACACACGGTGGTGCCATGTTGTTGTGGTCATCATCACAATCGTCATAATAATAGTCATCCAGTTCCAGAAACTTACAATCTCGAATATGGAACTCCTGGAGGGAAGGGAGTTGCCGAAGAATAGATGGAGATAAAGTAGTATGGTATATGCGTAACCTCTTGAGGGAAGTAAGTTGTGCAACCAACCTTTGCGGCAGTTCATTCACGCTTTCTAGACACAACCAATGAAACCTAGAGCGTGGTGGAGAGATCAGAGAGGCACCGAATGCACTCAACAAGTCACTGCTCACAGCTGTTAACTCAACCCTCTCGAAGTTGACCCGAAAACGCGGGAGCAATACAATTTTCGGGCAATATGTGATCTCCAGGGTGGAAACCCGAGGTAGCAGAGGCGAATCTTCTGTATTTTTAGGAGACCATCCTACTAGGTTTCTGCAAAACGTGATTGCGAGACACTTGAGTGAGGGTAGAAATTCCAAGTCATTGTTTGGAGTCATTGTCTCGCTCTGTACATACTCTAAGCTGCATAAACCCTGCAGCTCTAATTCTTCAAGAGAAACAAAAGGAACCAAGTTTGGCAGACTTCGCAGTTTCCTACACCCATAAAGTTTGATTTGAACCAGATTCCTGAGAGAAGAGAACCAACAGTTTCTTGTTGGGATACTTGTCCCGCAATAAAATGACAGTCGTATCTCCTTTAAATTCGAATGTGGTTGCAACGCTTCCAATACTGACCAATCAAGATCCGATCTTCTAGCCATATCGTCATCACTCGCTTTGAAAATTCTTGCATCACCCCACCATAGTTGCAACCGTCGAAGTCTCGATTTTTCATTTAAATTGGCTGTCTCTGCTTCAGATTTATCCTTCACCCATTCCAGCCCTTTAATAGTCAACTCTCCACTTAGGTTGTTCAATTTCTTCAGCTCACCAAGACCAGCAGCTGGCGAGGTGCCATCTGCGGCTGCTTCTGTTACTACGAATTTAGTCAATTCTCTAAGGAAGGAGAGGTTCCCGATCCCGGCTGGTACGCCAGTCAAACTCGAATCATCCAGGTCAAGATATATAAGGTTGTGCAGCTTCTCTATCTTTGTCGGTAGTAGCGAAAGATATACACAACCACGCAGATTGAACACTTGCAAGTTTACCAATCTTGAAATTTCATTTGAAAGTACCTCCATCTCATTCTCAGAAAAATCAAGGTACCTAAGATGTTTCAATTCATGGACAGTAGACGTGAGAATCCTCGTTGTCACTTTTCTTAGACCAAGCACCCTCAGCCTAATCATCTTTGGAAAAATTTTCTCACAACCTCCCTCGAACTTGGCTTTGTATATTACATTTATGATAAGAAACGTTCGAAGTCTTGTTGCTTTAGCCAAGAGAGTTGGAACTTGCCATAATTCATCAAACGATCTTTCACCAAAATCAATGGACAGGTGCCGAATCCTTTCAAGGTTGATATTGCCACTGCTGAGAAGGCTATTTGTGAGATTTGAAGCATTCAAGCAAATGGTCTCCTCTCCTGCAATTGAGACAGCAAGATCGTGCATTAAATCATGCATTTTACATGACTTCATGTTTCCATATGCATCCTTTGTCACCTCCTGAAAGAAGGACCTCCACAACAGATTCTTAAAATGTTCCATTCCAACTTCTTCAAGTACTGAAGATTGATTGGACTTGGTCACATAGCCTTGGGCCATCCAAAGCTGTATCAACATTTTCACCTCGATTTCATGATCTTTTGGAAACAATTTGCAGTAGGCAAAACAACGCTTCAAATGAGAAGGCAAGTTATCATAACTCAACTTAAGAGTAGTAGCCAAAATGTCACCCTCTAAGCTCAACAAGTGCCTGTCTCTCACTGTTTCCCACTCAGACTCAGTATCCTTGAAAAATAGAACTCCCCCCATCGATCTCAAGGCTAACGGTACTCCCCGACATTTCATCACAACCTCTTTCCCTAACTCCACATATCGTCGACCTGACGCTACCCCTCCTTTAAAAGCCATCTTCTCAAACAAGGACCAGGACTCAGGCTCAGACAAACCTTTCAACTCATGCGGCACAATCGTCTCGGTAGCTATCATCTCCGCGACAATTCGGAGACGTGTGGTTATCACCATTCTGCTACCTTCTGCTGCAGCACTAGTAAATAAACCCTTGAAGCGAATCCACTTCTCCCTGTCCTCATTCCAAACATCATCCAAAACCAACAATACCAGCTTGTTATTTATCTCCTCATGGAGAAGATCCTTCAATACGTTCAAGGGAAGGTCTTCCACTTTCTTCTTGGTCATGGACTCCAAAATACTTTTAACCAAGACTTTAGGCTCGAAAGTTTCAGAAACACAAACCCAGGATCTGCAATCGAAACGAGATTTGATTTTGTCATCGTTGTAAATGAGTTGTGCCAATGTTGTCTTCCCCAAGCCCCCCATCCCAACAATGGGAACTACTGCAACTTTCTCCTTGTAACTAGGAGATAATAACATGCTTATTATTTCCTGCTTATCTTCTTCTCTCCCAACAACAATTTCAGGGATAGTGGACTCAGTTTGCCTCTCATGCTGGCTAGCCACAGGACACGTCTGAAAATTGAACTGCTTCCTATTCTGATCAATCTCATCTAACTTGCTCCGGATGGCCTTAATTTGATTAGCAATTTTCAGTCCATAAGCAACTTGGTTGGATGGAGAGAAGAAGCGGCATACCTCATTCACAAAGCCATTGCCATCCATTTGTTTCCTCTGGAGAACCTCTGTGGAAAAATCGTCCAACAAGTCTTCAGCATCATAAAGGGCTTCTTCCAATCCTCGCAGCCATAGCTGGACCTGATGACTCTTACTAGATTGCTCCTCTGCATCCAGAAGTACAGCTTGGATGCTGGAAACCGTGCTTTCAAGTCTCTGAATCTCGCTTTTGAGACCCCAAAGGAGGCTTGCTTGATCAGCAGCTAGCGAACCCAACTTCTTGAGGACCAACTCACCCAGAGCAGCTGCCATTTTTGTTTGCTGTGTAGAAAACGAAGCCTCTGTGATTAGAAGGCAATGTCTAGATGCGGATCAATAATCCAACATTAACGCGCCATTCTTTTTTCTTTGATCCAGTGCCAAGTTGACTTGAGAAAACCTACCGACAACGCACCATGTGGAAACAGTGCCTTCCTTTTTTATTATATAAGAAAATATGGCACCCTTGCTTGCTTCTCCTCGTTGGGGCGAATGGCAAGTGGAAGATGCCAATGCTGTATGAAAGAAACATTAAATGAGAGCATAGGGCAGGGAAAAGATAAAGGAGTATAATGATGAACAAACCTGCACTGCAGGCATAGGGTTTTTCACCGGCGGTTGTTTCCCAATTAACCAGACCCAAAGAAAGCTTTGCTAAATTCACCCGCCGCAGCGGCAGAACTTCAGGCGCCAAGCCTCGATATCCTTCCTCCATCCTGATCGCCCCTAACTGCCGCCAGCCAGAGAAGCTTCTCGTCGCCGGATACGGGTCAGATTGCATAGTCGGCGACCTTGATATCACCTGTGGTTCTGGCTCGGCAGCAGAATCTGCCGTCGAAGGAGAAGAACGGGAAAGGGGTTTTGTTGCCGTTTTGGTGAGAGATAGAATAGAAGGGGAAGCAGATTCAAGTGGCATTAATGGGCCAGGCTATAAATTTGTAAAGATTGGGCTTCCACACTGTAAATTGTTTGGTTTTGATGACGGGCCATGAGCCCAATCGTGAATTGACGGCCACTCACCGCCGTTCCCACTTCCCCACCGGTGGCTCGCCGGCGCGAAGAATGGCGTGTACATCTGTATTAGTTAAACAATGGCTACCACCCTTCAATTCCATCCCCACCTAACCTTTTCATTGCCTCTCTTGTATTTCAATAACAGGGATGAAGTTCCCCATTTTTATGTTCAGTGAAGAATTTCGGAAACCTTAAAAGAGATGACTATCCTTCCTTTCCTTGTTCTTCTCGGTTGATTGCACTGAATTAATGACAACGCATCTACGAAGAGCAGATGTTCTTTGTCCAGAAGTGAGAGGAGGTGTGTTGTGTTCGTATTCCGAAAATGGGCACACCAATGGCGGACAGTATCGTTGTTATGATACTTGAACCATGACATCTTGGGTCGTGGGTTCGAGCATTGGTAAAGGGGTCGTTTGGAAATGGATTGGTGATAGTGGTGATGATGATGATGATCATGTTACCCAGTAAAAATTGAGGTATTCTAAAATACCTTCTCTTTTGTTAACTTCAGACAACAATACGCTCATTTTTTTTGTCACTGCATAGTTCGGTTGTTTCGATACAATTTCAGACAACAATACGCTCATTTTTTTTGTCACTGCATAGTTCGGTTGTTTCGATACAATTTCAAATAAGTTTCAGTCATTCGAATTCAATATAAAAATTAAAAAAAAAAACCAATTTCACTTTTTCATGAAATCATAGACTCATTGTAAGAACGTATTTTATTTATAGGCCACCAATTCAGTCCAACTCTAATCAAATACATTATAAATCACAAAACCCTCACCATCTCAAATCTCTCAAAATCTTCATGCAAGACGTCTGAGTATCAAAATGTACAGTCGGGTGTGCACACAGACCCAAAGACGTTGGGGCTCTTACCAGTTAGCACTTACCAATGAGCACTTCTATTATGCTATATAGTATTGGTGCTTTAATGTACAATTTAAAGTTGTACCATAACATTAAATGTATAAGTTTATAGTGTACCATAAAGCAATTTGTATCATTATATGTTATGGTATAACTTTACAACTTGAAGTTGTACCATCACATAAAGGTACAAGTTCAAGTTGTACCATAAAAAAATTTGTACCAAAAGTATAGGTACAATATGAAGTTGTACCGTAACGTAAATGTACAATTTTAAGTTGTACCATAAAGGCAAAAATCTATAGCACCAATACTATATAGCATTGTAAAATTTTTCATTATCAATCGGCTGCTTGATCCATTTACTAAAAAAAAAAAAAAGCCCAGGTACTCTTTCGATTTAAACATGGGCCTTAGCCCAATCGGTTGAGAATACTGCTTACAAAGAGATAGAAAGAGTTGGGCAGTTTATAACTATTCTGAGCAAACTTGGAGCACCAAGCTTCCCTTGGCTGTTGTGGCTTGTGTGTTCTTCCACACAGCCACATGGTCCCTGGTTCAAAGCTTCGGTACTCTCTTTCTCTCTCTCTCCTTGCCAACTGCAACTCGATCCAACCAAACGATCCCTTCCTAAGTTTCTCTTCCCGGGTATGGATCAGTACTCGGGTCGGGTTCTTGCAGCATAAGAGGTATTACAAAATAAGATGTTTTCAGCATCTGCAAAATGTGCAGCAAGTCAAACGATTTGGTTAGAGAAAACAGAGTCCTCTCCTCGCCATTGTTGACTTCTTCCCACTGTTCTTGAAATCGAATTAGGGCAAAGATTATGATTAAGTCAGACCCCACCCACCATTCACGGAAGTGTACCGAACCTTATTAGTACAATTTTTTTGGTAGGAGCTACTCGTAACAACGAACTTTGCGGGCTACTCAAGCAGTGGGAAGCGTGCTAACTGAATAACTACTACGCCTTTGCATATTGTACCAAACGTCATTAGTCCGATCTTCTGTAGAAGATACCCGTAATAACGAACTTGCGGGTTTCTCGATGTTGCTAGCTAGCTCTGGTTTCTACGCATGTGGGTGGGGTGGGGGAGTGATTGGTGTATGCATGTTCTCCACCTTTCTCTTAGGGGTCGTTTGGAAGTTGCGATTGTTTTGTTGAGATTGTCATTATGCATGTATTGTTTACAATGCATCGTTTTTTGTTTTTGTTTTTTAGCAGAAACAATATATGGATTGTTTCTGTGATGTGACAGAAACTATCACTCATTTTGAGTGATTGTTATATCTCAACTTTTAGTTGTGATTGTTGAGATTGTTGAGTTGAGATTGTTTTGTCTCAGCTTTTAGCTGATGCGACATACACAATCACACATACCAAACATTGTATTCTACAATGTATCAAATTTGACAATACATGTATAATATTATATATGCATTCTCAACAATACATCTATTTAACAATCACAACTTCCAAACGAACCCTAAAAAGTTAGTGTACAAGTCGTGTAATTAGGTGAAAGAACAGAGCAGCGGCAGAGGTGGACATTTTTATGGGAATTCTATGTTGAATGGATATGGGAAGGAGGATTGGGACTGCCATCTCGAAACAGAGGTTAGAGTGTCGAGAATAGTACTGTTGATTTGTCCAACTAGAGTGCAGAAATTTGAGGGAAAATGGAGTGAGATTCGGACCACAGACCAGTAGTCGTGTATAGGAAGACATTAAGGTTTACGTACTGTGCATATGTCGGCACTCTGTTTAAGGTAGAGTTTGGAAGTTTAAGTGATCTTAGAGGGAGGAGAAGTGAAAAGAGTGCATGCAGAGATAATGTAATGGTAGTTTTCCATACTATTTACCGACTATGGCGGTGTACACTTATTTGCAATCTGTGTTAGGAGATAGGCTAAACTTTTGTCAGAGTTCGTGTTGCAGTGCACACGAAACTAATTTTCGATGTGTTATACTCCGTGAATTTTTCCTAAGGTACTGTATCAGAATTGGCATGGTATTTTTCTTGTCTAGATATACTCCAAACAAATATGTCCGAGTATATCTATGTTATTGAGTGTCTGGCATGTCTATTTGATGTAGCCTCTTATTCAGATTTAAGATCAATTTTAACAAGCTCGAAAACTACTAATTACATCGACATCATCACAAAACACATCCAACCAATTACCCAACCCTTTGCTCTAAATAGAATTGGTTAATGAGTTAATGGATGGTCTCAGTGTTTGTTAAGAAACTGAGAAGGGAATGGTTTTCTCTCCACAACCAGAAACCAAGTGGGAATTGGGTAGTTTTCATTAATGGTGAAAACGAAGACAGCACATGGCCTTATACATTAGTGGTTGCCTCATAATCCCTCTTTCCCCCTCTGCACTTACTGATCCTATTCCCTTCCCCAACACAGCAAAATCCCACAGAGAGCAATGTCAATCGGGCAACTCTCTCTAGTAGTTGTACCCTTTACTAGGGATAAGGGCAATGTCACCCTCATCAAATAAATGGTACACAATCATGATGCTATATTCAATTCTCCAATCTGTTTAGTTTCAGCTTCATCATCACTTTGTATAAGTATAGTAGTGGAAAATTGGGAGCCTGATCTAGAGAGATTTCCCAAATTGAGATCAATGTATGGAACTACATACCCTTTGGAAAAGGACAAGTTCTCCTCCATGTATCCCATCCTTTTGCCATCCTATTTAGGGAAAAGCTATGTAGCTAGCTAGCTCTCATGGTATGGGCCAAAAGATGAAAACAAGTTGAGGGTCATTGTCTTATATTTAAGGGTCTTTTGGGTTGTTTTTGGGGAGGTAGGTAAAGTTGGAGGACTTGATGGACCCTATTGATGTTTTAACAAGATTGGGAGATAGGGATGTGTTGTGACTTTTGAAGTGGGTTGGAGAAATTGGAACTTCCAATTGTGATGGGTATGGTGGAGTTGATGATTATAAATTTATAATAGTGGGATGGATTGTAGGGCACATGGCCTTTGTTCCCACCCTTCTTTTCTTCCATTGCTTTACATTAGCCTTTCACTTTTCATTAGCGATCATTACATCAAAGTCATATTATGTGTCATCATCATTTTAATCTTGAGGTAACTTCAATTTTTTGACTTTTACCCACAAGCTTCTAAATCAAGGTTTATAATCCTCTCAATAACACAAAGCTATAACTTCTTGAGTTACATAGTTGAGTCTCTATCTAATTGTTAAATCCACATAAGTAGTGTAACTGTAATTTACAATGTAAAAAGGGTTTAATCGACTATATATAGACTCATTTTTACGAAGGAGAGAATGTTACAGAGACTGAAATATTGATCGATAGAATCGGTATTCGACAACCTATATCTGAATCAGTTGTTCACCCCTGTGTGTGGAAGTTACTAAATCAATAATCAAACAGATAATGTGTGGCACCAATAATTACCTTAGTCACTTTCTTTTACTCATATAGCTGGATGTAGCTGGCAAATTTTAAATTTTCCAGCACAATAATTAAACAAGGACAACTCAAGTGAAATGAATTGATTACAGTTGGTTTGCCCTCCAAAACAGGGCAATTCGAGGGTACGCCAAATTCATTCCCAGCCTCTTATTATTCTCTGCAACTCTACGTGCAATGGAGTTACTAAAACTCAACCCCCACACCACTCTGTTCTTGCTGCAACAGAGAAGCTACCTAGTACCACGAACAACAATGTCGTAACTTCAAGGTGCTGGATTCGACGCGATAGCATAGTTAATTAGCGACACAAATCGTTCGAAACAGAACAATCATACTAATACCCATGTCACAAAAGGGATCAAACACCACAATCCAAATAACATAACCTCCATCATTATATGCATTCAGCTTCATTCCTTTCTTACTGATAACTTGCAGTAATTTGATCTCTCAAACTTTGCTAATGAACATGCTTAATTAACTTAAATTAAGAAACCATAACAACACTCTAATCAACAATGATCATCATGGCACGTACTGCTGGTTCTGGTAGTTGTTCCCCTGGAAGTACTCTGGCTGCTGGTTCTGGTTCCTGTTGTTCATGCGATTGGCATAATACTCGTACGAGCCGCCGTGGTCGCCATTGATTCCGTTGCTATAGTAACCATTCTGATCATTCTTCACATTGTTGTTGTAATTGAAATCATTTCTGCTGCCGCTCATCCCTTGGTATTGATTCGGGTTCTTCGCTTCCACGTAGTACTTCCCGCCTTCCAGGTACCTCGTGTCGCTCATCCCCTGCCTCTCAACCCCGTCACCATTGTTTTCGTTGTCGTAGTTATAACCTTTAGCGACGGCAGAGTTCTCGAACCCGCCGTTTCGAAACTCCCTGCCGGAATTCGCCGCCGCGGCGGCCGTCTCGTAGCCGGTGTTATCACCCTGCTGTTGCAGGCTAGTCTCTCCAAACTGCCCCTGCTGCTTGCCGTTGTTGTTGTTATAATTGTACCCTTTAGCGACGAGGGAGTTTTCGTAACCACGATTTCCAAACTCCCTGCCGGAATTAGCGACGGACTTCTCGTAGCCGAACTTTTCCTGCTCCTCGTCGGCGAACTCGTCGTTGTTGTTGTCGCCGTTGTAGCCGCTCTCGCCGTAGTACCGGTCGTTGTTGTAGTACTTCTCGTTGTTGTTGTTGTTGTTGTTGTTGTTAGCATTTCCGTAGCGGAAAGTCTCGTCGCTATTGGTCTGTTGGTTATAGGGACGGAAGTTTTTGGTCGGGGAAGAGGTGAGCTTGGTGGTGGCCGCGGTTTGATCGAACGACGCCGTTTCTTCGGGGGCCTGGTGGCCGTAGATGCCGTAGCCGTTGTTTTCCGTTTCCTGGACGAAGGAAGGCTGCTGCTGCTGCTGTTGGTATTGCTGGCCGTTGGTGACGGCGTTAGGATCTACGTTGTTGGCGGCGGCGGGGGTTTTGGAGTCGGGAGAAACGGTGACGGTGGTGGGAGTGGGGTTGGTGTTGGCAGCGACTCTGCTGAAGAAGTGGCTCTCACGGCCGTGAGCGGCGGTGGAGAAGAGGGCGATGAGGAGGAGGAGGAAGAGAGCGGCGGCGACGTTTGGAGAGGAAGCCATTGGAGAAGAGGTAAAGAGAGAGTGAAGTGTGATGAAGGAGAAGGGGAAGGGGAAAGGTGGGGATTTATATATTATAAGTGAAGTCGGATTTTTTGGACTTTCCATATTCTTGTTTTTAATATAATACTTAAATTCAGGATTTTCAGTTTCCAACTTTCCATTTGTATGTTTTTTTTTTTTTGAAAATAAGCTGGTTAATTATATTAGCTTCCTAATGGTGGAAATTTCTTTCATTATTTCATGATGATGGTATTAAAGTGTTTGAATTTGTATTTCCGATTCTCTATTATTTATGTTGGTCGTTTTAAGTGATGAACGAGTTTTTGTGTTTATGTTGCTCTTCGGATTATCCAAAATTTTTTTTGTTAGGATATGACGATGTAAAAGGATGATCTGTTGACTCAATATTATTAGTCATATTTGTTTAGGATATACACGAATTAACAATGCAATCAAACATGATCTGCGGATTCTGTAGTATTATAAAGTGTTTGAAATTGTATCCCTGCTTCCTATTCTTTTTGATCGTTCGTTTTTAAGTGATGAACAAGTCTTTCTCTTTATGTTGATTTTCAGATTATTCACAAATTTTTTAGTTAGAATATGTCAACGTAAAGGATGATATGGGGACCTATATTAATAGTCATGTTTTGTTGAGTTATACACAAAATAACAACCTGATATCAAACATGTGCAATCCTCTAGGACATAGAAGTCTAAACTCTAAAGATATTGTACAACTATGAATAAGGTGATTATCCGCTACGACATAATATAAATGTTGTCATATTCGTATGAGCGACTTGCTAAATGCGCAAGATCATAACAATAAATATGTTTATAGAACTACCCTCTTGAGGTGTATTGTTTAGATTAAATTTCTTAATCTATGATTTCTCTACTAATGGGTCTTTTTCTATTGTTTTGGTTATTCTAATCATAGAAGGTGTAAAATGGGAATGGGGCTAATGAGTAGAAATGATCGCCGTACATGGTCCCTCTGGATTTGATTAATTTTGGGGAAGCTTTCCTTGTAATCTCCGGAATAGATGAAGAAATTTAATGATGATAGTGAAGATCCCACTATTCTCTTTGGGCCACGTTTCTTCCTAATTTAATATGTTTCTTTTTTCAAACACCATAACAAAAAGAAAGAAGAAAAAGGTTCGATAACTAATTATTTTCCTACTCATATTGTTCTCTATAAAAAAGTAAAATATTCCCGTAGTGTAGTGGGAAGCTGGGAGTGTGCAACGGTTTGGACCGGTCTGGACCGTACTAATTTCACGTGAATCGTGGCTCATTTGTAAGGATCAAGGACCGAATCATTATTGTGTTCGATCTATTTGGTTCGATTCTGTCTGGTCCAAATATCAATTCGATTTTTCATTTCTTTAGTAATTATAAAATTCAAGTGGATCAAGGACCGAACCACATTAATTATACTCGGTACGGTGGGATCCGATCCAAACTTCGGTTTAGTTCAATGTGATCCAGTCTCAAACGGGCCGGACCATTACACACCCCTACTAGTGGGAAGACAAAAACAGCAGTCCCTTTTTCAAACCCGGCGTATAATAATAGAGAGAAAATATGGTGAATGTGGATTTGGTAGCGTGAGATAGGCTCAATGGGTAATGTGAAGATAACCAATTTAGGGTATGATATCTCGTTATTCTCAAATGGGTTGATTTAAAACGTCTTTTAGCACTTCGACTATAGGGTTAAGTAGATCTTTGAAATTTTGAGATGGGAATGATTGAGTAATAGCAATTCATAATTACTACACAACTAGAAAATACATGAATCAAAAATATATATGTACTAATTAACTAAGTGGCATGTAAACATTTTCATAGATGTTAGGGATGACATCGTGTATTTTTATCATCAGACCTTGCCTAACTGATAATCCATTACATGGCTCATTCTTCGACGATCACTCAATTGTCTTTCTTTTGATTGGGAATGCAAGTCCTGGAGATCAAATCCAAATTGATATTAAAAAAATTACAGAATTTATGCATCCGACTGTTCCTTTCTATTTGACACATAAACAACCTAATAAAGAAGTATCATGATTCATTCCTAGTTGCTCCGCCATACAACCATAAGAAGAAGAAGAGGAAGAAGAAAGAGTACAGAGTCCAGACATTATGGCATGTTATAAACGCGCTGCTACGGATCGGGAAATTGTCGGAATCGATAAAGTAAGAATACGAAAGCGAGAATCGAAAAACACATACACACGATTTATGTGGTTCACTAACACGATGTGTGTTAGCTACGTCCACGGGCGAGAGAGAGCCAGTTTCACTATATCGAGGAGATTACAGATTACAGAGGAATATGAGAAATATTTATAGTACTTCTCCATGTGGGTCTAAACCTAATCCAATCTGGCAAAGGAAACGGTTACAGACCAGACCCCCGATTACCAGTCGTAGCGGCTGATAATCCGATTCAAATCACATCAACATGACACTTATAATAATAGTGTAATCCAACTCTCCTTGTGGCCCCCTCTTTCCCCACCAATTCCTCTCAACTCGTCGCTAAAGATCAGACTATTCTATTCTACTCCCTAGTCCCCCGCCCCTACTCTGCCCCTTCAAATTATTTCGCTTTGTTTTGCCATTTTTGTTCATTGGTAGTAGTTTGGTCCAAACGCACCCACCATTCCCACCTCCCAATTCATAAATTCCCCACACATACATTACATAATTAGGGCTGGATGTTCGGGTTTGAGGGTTCAACGAGTTAACCAAAAATTAAACCGAATTTGCAATGCGTCATTTTTTTTATGACATATAGTATGTAGATTGTTTTTTTTCCCTAACTGGAACCATCATTCATTATGAACAATTGTACAATTTCATAGTTGAGATTGTTTCCTTTTCTTTCTTCTGGTTTTGTCCCTTATTGTTTGCTCTATATGTTATAAATAAGGGGTAAAAAAGGCATTGCCATGAAAAAAATGACTTCATCCTATTAAAATACACAAGTACAAACAAATGGATCAAAGAATGTAGTCTTACAATACACTTATTTTATCAATACATGCATTCATCGGTTCCGCTCTACTGTGTTCATGCCCTTGGGTCAGGTTACAGTGAACAACATACTTACTATCGAGGGTGAGGATGAAGACGACACATCAGAATGAAATAGGAAGAAAGAAAATAGAATAAGCTGCTAGGTTAAGCAGCCGAAGAAGAACGAATTACGGATCAATCGTTAGAGTGAGCTATCTGCTCACTCTTCCTTTTATATTTTTCTGAAAAACCAGAATTCATCTCCAATAAAAACTACAAATAACTGCAAGTTTAAAAGTAAACTGTAAATAGCCGACACGTGGCTTTCATTCAATTCTGTCCAACTAACGGCTACGTCACCAACTTGCACAACGCTGTCGTTTCACTTTCTCTGCTTCTGGCATTCGTCTGCAACTAAGAACTCTGCATCTTATTCTTCTCTACTGCTGCATTCATCAATCTGGTCTGTTAGGGGAAGAATTCGTAACCACTATTTCCGAAATCCCAACCGGACTTCTGGTAGCCGGTGGTATCCTGTTGTTTCAGGCTAGTCTCACCGAACTTTTCCTGCTCGTCGTGGTTGTTGTCGCCGTTGTACCCGCTCTCGCCGGAATACCTGTCGTTGTTGAAGTATTTCTCGTTATTTTTTGTGTTTTCGTTGTGGAAATTCTCATCACTATTGGTCTGTTGGTTATAGGGACGGTAGTTGTTGGTCGGGGAAGAGGTGAGCTTGGTGTTAGTGGCGGTCTGGTAGAACGACGTCGTTTCTTCGGGGATCTGGTGGTCGTAGATGGCGTAGCCGTTGTTTTCCGTTTCCTGGACGAAGGAAGGTTGGCCGTTATTGACGACGTTAGGATCGACATTGTTGGTATTGACGGCGACTTTGGAGTCGGGAGAAACGGAGACGGTGGTGGTGGGGGTTGGGTTGGTGTTGGCGGTGACCCTGCTGAAGAAGTGGCTCTCGCGGCCGTGGGCGGTGGTGGAGAAGAGGGCGAGGAAGAAGAGGAAGAGAGCGGCGGCGACGTTTGGAGAGGAAGCCATTGGAGAAGAGAGAGTGAAGTGTGTATAGTGGGGAAGTATGATGGATGAGAAGGGGAAATGTGGGATTTATATATTAAATTGTTTGAATCTGTATTTCTGATTCCCTATTATTTCTATTGTTCGTTTTAAGTGAAGAACAAGTCTTTTTGATTATGTTGCTCTTCATATTATCTATTGTTTTTTTTGTTAGAATATGACGACATAAAAGGATGATATGTTGACTTAATATTATTAATCATATTTGTTTGGGATGTATACATGAATTAACAATCCAATCAAATATGACATGCGGATTCTCTGGTATTAAAAAGTGTTTGAATTTGTATCTCCACCTCCTACTATTCCTGATTGTTCGTTTTAAGTGATGAACATGTCTTTGTCTTTTAAGTTGATTTTCAAATTATCCACAATTCTTTTAAGTTAGAATATATCAGCGTAAAGGATGATCTGCGGACTTACATTATTAGTCATAATTTGTTGTGTTAAAGATCAGACTCGTCTCCCCCCCACCACTCTCCAATTTGTCGCTAAAGATCAGACTGTTCTATTCTAGGTAAATGTCACATTTGGTCATTGAGATTACTAAATCATATGATGTTTAGTCACTAGAAAAATTAATATTAATTTTGGTCACTTGAATTACTGAAGCATGTCACATTTAGTCACTCTCTGTTAGCCTCCGTCCAACCCCATTGACACATGTCACATTTAGTCACTCTCTGTTAGTAATGGAGTTGGACGGAGGCTAACAAAGAGTGACTAAATGTGACATGTTTCAGTAATTCAAGTGACCATGGAGTTGGACGAAGGCTAACGGGAGAGTAACTAAATGTGACATGTTTTAGTAATTCGAGTGACCAAAATTAATATTAATTTTTTCTAGTGACTAAATATAACATGATTTAATAATCTCAATCACCAAATATGACATTTACCCATTCTACTCCCCACGCCTGACGCCCCCTACTCTGCCCTTCTATTTATTTGGCTTTGGATTGCCATTTTTGTTCATTGGTAGTTTGGTCCATACGCACCCACCAATCCCACCTCCCAATTCTTAATACCCCGTAGTACATACATATACGTAATTACGGGCTGGATATTCGGTTCAGTGAGTTAATCGAAACTAAAGTCAGAATTTGCTGGTGAACGGTAATCAAGAATCGAAATTAAATCAATGGAACGATTCCGGTTGTGGGTTTAGATTATCTTTTGGGTTTTGGTTAGAAAATAATCGAATATATCCAAAAATCCAATCGAATTTGGGCTTGACCCACCATGTCATTCCATCTCCAAGGTCCGAACGGATTATGGACCAAGCCCAATGGGTCATCAAATTCAATGAGGGTAACCAAAGTATACCAGGAAAAACCGAGACATTCAGTTTTCAGGTAACCGAAAACGACATCGATGACGGTTATGGTTGCTAAATTAATGGAGCCGATTCAGGTTCGAGTAACAAACCAATTCGGTTTGGTTAGCCGAACTCCAACCCTATACATAATCAATGATTTGTGCAATGGTGGGGTTTGGGATTAATGGGCACTTTCTAGTTTTCTAGTTAGTGTGGTAGGCTGGTAGCTCTTATTAATTTCGTTTACCCATAACAACGACATAGCTTAATAGTTTTATAATCAATGACTAGTTTACCCAAAAGCCTAGCCCCATCCATATAATCAACAACATTAAACTTGTTCAACCAAAGGGGAAATGTAACCAACCTCCCAATCACTCTCGAAATTAGGGCACACGAGGTCCCCCTAGCTATAGCTCACAATTGCACGTGTTAGTTGAGTTCATTGATATGTGTTTGGAGTTTGGACCTTAAAATAGTACTTACTCATTCTCAAGTCGTGATGAAATCAACCATACATCTGACTAGCTAGACTCGATCGTTTTAATTCATAAATAATTATCGTAGTGCAATCGTGAGTTTTTCTATATTGAAATTTCAAACTCGTGCACTTTCCATAATGTACAATATCAAACTAGTAATAATTACTTGTCATTCGCATTATTAATAGTATCTGTCAATGACTTCAAGCTATGTTTACCGACATCAAAGTTGATCTGGCTCACGTTGTTACTTGTTTTGCTTTTTTGGATCTGGAACTTGTACGAGGGACTTAGCATGTCTTGTTCAGTGACAGACACGGTAATGGTGGTGGGAGAAAGCATATGCATCATTGAATGGAAAAAAGACGGCAAAAGATAAAGGAAGCTGCTGCCCTCAGTAAATGGCTTGCTTCATTTATATGTGTGACATTGCCATGAAAAAAAATGACTTCATCCTATTAAAATACGTAGTTACAAACAAATAGATCAAATGATGTAGTCTTACAATACACTTATTTTATTAATACGTGCATTCATCCGTTCCACTCTATTGTGGTCATACCCTTGGCTCAGGTTACGGTGAACATGCTACTAACTATTGAGGATGAGGATGAAGACGGCGCGCATCAGAATGAAATAGGAAGGAAGAAAATAGAAGCAGTTGAAGAAGAACGAATTGTGGATCAATCGTTAGAGTGAGCTATCTGCTCTACTCTTCCTTTTATACTTTCTGAAAACCAGAATTCATCTACAATAAAAACTACAAATAACGGCAAGTTTTTAAGTAAATTGAAAATAGCCGACATGTAGCTTTCATTCAATTATGTCCAACTAACGGCTACATCACCACCTTTGCACAATGTTGACGTTTCACTTTCTCTGCTTCTGGGATTCGTCTGCAACTAAGAACTCTGCATCTTCTTATTCTCTACTGTTGCATTCATCAATCTGGTTTGTTAGGGGAAGAATTCGTAACCACTGTTTCCGAAATCCCAACCGGACTTTTGGTAGCCGGTGGTATCCTGCTGTTTCAGGCTAGCCTCGCCGAACTTTTCCTGCTCCTTGTCGGCGAACTCGCCGTGGTTGTTGTTGCCGTTGTACCCGCTCTCGCCGTAATACCTGTCGTTGTTGTAGTATTTATCGTTGTTGTTAGCATTTCCCTTCTGGAAAGTGTCGTCGCTATTGGTCTGGGCGTTATAGGGACGGAAGCTTTTGGTTGGGAACGAGGTGAGCTTGGTGTTGATGGCGGTCTGGTCGAACGACGCCGTTTCTTCAGGGTTCTGTTGGTCGTAGATGCCATAGCCGTTGTTTTCCGTTTCCTGGACGAAGGAAGGTTGGCCATTGTTGATGCCGTTAGGATCTACGTTGTTGGTATTGGCGGCGGGTTTGGAGTCGGGAGAAACAGAGATTGTGGTGGATGTTGTGGCGGGGGTGGGGTTGGTGTTGGAGGCGACTCTGCTGAAGAAGTGGCTCTCACGGCCGTGGGCGGCAGTGGAGAAGAGGGCGAGGAAGAGGAGGAAGAGAGCGGCGGCGACGTTTGAAGAGGAAGCCATTGGAGAAGAGAGAGTGAAGAGTGTCTAGTGGGGAAGAGTGATGAGGGAGAAGGGGAAAGGGAAAGGTGGGATTTATATATTAATTCTCCCCGAAATAAGCTGGTTTATTGAATTTGTATTTCTGATTCCCTATTATTTCTATTGTTTGTTTTAAGTGATGAACAAGTCTTTGTAATTATGTTTCTCTTCAGATTATCCACCGTTTTTTTTTGTTAGAATATGACGACGTAAAAGGATGATATGTTTCCACAATATTATTAGTCATATTTGTTTGGGATATACACGAATTAACAATCCAATCAAACATGATTTGCGAATTCTGTGTTATTAAAAAGTGTTTGAATTTGTATCTCCGCCTCCTCTTATTTCTTATTGTTCGTTTTAAGTGATGAACAAGTCTTTCTCTTTGTGTTGATTTCATATTATCCACAATTTTTTTAAGTTAGAATATGTAAGCGTAAAGGATGGTGATCCGCGGACCTACATTATTATTTATTAGTCATAAGTTGTTGAGTTATACACGAATTAGCACCTAATCAAACATGTGTTGTCCTCTAGAACATGGAAATCTAAACTCTAAAAGTATTGTATAACTGTACATAAGGTGACCATCCGCTACGACATAATACAAACGTTGTCATATCTATATGACCGCGATTTGCTAAATGCACAGGATCATAACAATACATATGTTCTTAGAACTACTCTCTTTGAGGTGTATTTTTATATTAAATTTCTTAATCTCTGGTTTCTCTTCTAATTAATGGGTGTCTTCCCTTGTATTACCGATGTGGTACTTGGATTGTCACATAACAATCCTCCCCTCCAAACAAGGACCACGAACTTTGTGTCCTCACCTTAGGTATTATCTTGATCCGCCAGACAAACGTAGGCCTCCCTCGATCCGCCAGATCACAAATCCTGAGGTCACCGAATGAGGGTCCACTCTGATGTCCACCGCCCCGAACCGAACCAGGCTCTGATATCACTTGTCGAACCGGGGTGCTCAATTAGTACGATATTGTCCGCTTTGGGCCAAACCTGCACGGATTTACTCTTGGGTGTCCTCTCCAAAAAGCCTCGTACGGATGAGCTTGGTGGACACTAATATACAAAGATTACTTTCCTTGTATTACCGATGTGGTACTTTGATTGTAATAATCCGATAATGAGTAGAAATGATCGCCGTACATGGTCCCTCTGGATTGATTAATTTTGGGGAAGCTTTACTTACAGTTACAGCCCCCCGAATAGATGAAGCAATTAATGAGATCCACCAGGCCCGGCCCAAACCCTGTGCTGGCCTGATCTACAGCACAGGGCCTCAAAATATATGGGGCCTCAGCCCGGCTCGTATATAGGATATGTATATTAAAAAAAGTTAACCTGATGGCAAACGGATCGGACGGCTCTTCTCAATCTAATGGGCCGGCCCTGCCATGGAGTTAGAGAAGCAATGGACTATCGAGCCGGGCTGAAATGAAAATGGGATGTACGGGTGGTTATTGGCTAATTGGATTAGTGCTTCGAAATTTGTTTATTTTTTGTGACAGTGGTTTTGCTTGGGCCGGCTCTTCATACTCTTTTTATTGTTTGTTTTTTTTTGGTAGGGTGGAATCATTGGATTAGTCATTACCGAGGGGAAGCATTAAATTCTAAACATAATAATACAATAGAAAATGCACAATAAATTATCTTTGTCTCTAAATCTAATTAATAAAAACCACAAGACACCAAACGCACAAATTTAATGATTCTTTTTAACAATTTTACACATCACCACCAGGATATTCAGTATCCATGTCTCCATCATGACATTAGGTTACTCTTTTACTGAAACAAAAATCTACCACCACGTACAAATAATTTTGTGCAAGAAAACGTGCACAAAATTAGATTTAGAGACCATGACTATTTTGTGATTGATATATGATTTTATAATATAAAGTTGGACATTATATTGTTCAATATTATTATTCTTGTTAAAGAAGCAGATGGTTGAGTTCTTTTGGGGCCATGTATAAGCGTAAAAAGAAGCGGATGGTTAAGTTGTTTACTCAATCTGTTGATGTTAATGATGTTTTGGATACTAATGTTAATGTTGCTCATATTGCTGTTGAAAATTCTTATGCAAATGTTGATTGTATTGAAACTCCTAATTTTGATTTGGTGGATCAAACTAATTTCTTATGATGGTTTTGAAAAAAAAAATGATATTTTAAATAAATTTACGGAAAAAAAAATTTTAGAACCACATTTTTAATTTTCGAACAGGGCCTCCGAATCTCATGGGCCGGCCCTGAGATCCACTGTTATCTTTGGGTCACGTTTCTTCCTAATTTAATATGTTTATTTTCCTACTTATATTTGTTTTATAAAAAAGCAAAAATATTCGCGTAGTGTAGTGGGAAGACAAAAACAGCAGTTCCTTTTTAAAACCCTAGGTATAATAATAGAGAAAATATGGTGCTTGTGGATTTGGTGGCGTGAGATAGGCTCAATGGGTAATGCTATTTGATAATCAATTTAGGGTATGATATCTCGTTCTTCATATGGGTTGATTTAAATGGTATTTTAGCAATTCGACTATAGGGTTAAAGTAGATCAATAACAAATTTGACATGGGAATCAATGAGTAATAGCAATTACTAATTACTACCCAATTAGAAAATAAATGAATCAAATATATATGCGTACTAACTAAGTGGCATGTAAACAAATTGACCATCACTCAAGTCTTTCTTTTGATTGGGCATGCACATCTTAGAGATCGAATCCATATTGATATTCAATCACATTATTTATCCATCCGGTCAATAGAATGGATCGAACAGTTAGGGGTTTCTTTCTATTTGATATAAACAACTCAATGAAGAAGTATCATATTCATTCCTAGTTGCTCTGCCATTATCTTTACTAATTTTGTATGTCTATTATTTCCTCTCATTTTCCTAATGATATCCGAACTCATCTAACTACAACCATGAATTACGAGTACAATTGCTAGTTCATTTGAAGTCATTTGATTTCGTAATATCATAACTCTGTCTCCCTCTCGACTTTCAAATGTATGCATGGATATACAGTTCATGGTATGAATCACATATATAAAAAATCATTTGACCATTCAACCGAACCAAACCATCTATCGAACCCACCCACCCTACCACCATCCATCCACCCCACCCAATGACCTACCATGGGTCAACCCATATATACCAATAGATCAAACATCATGCCCATTCCCCACTCCTAGTAATAGCATACATATGACCACAAGGCCCAAACCCAACATTATGGCACTTATAATAATAGTTTACCTCCAACTCTCCTTGTGGACCCCGTCTTTCCCCACCACTCGTAGGAAGACTGACGTGGAATAGGTTAGTTTCTAAAATCTCTTTAATATATTTTAAGATTGGGTGTAAGAGATGAACCAAATGATTTTTTAATGTTGGACATTGAACCAGATGAATTATCTTTGATTTGACTGGCTCAATGACTCACTCTTGTAGCTGCTCTTTTGCTTTGTTTAGAATGTGCTTTTTTTCTTCTTATTGGGTTGAGTCTTTTCCGTGACTAGCGGAAGGAATTATGGCCCCCCCTAAGCCTTCTCTATTCAAAAATCATATGTATCACATATGCTATATAAATGAATTTTCGATCTTAATGATGTGTCAAGATTTAATAAATGAGTCGGCTCGTGTTCGACACGAGCCGAACATGAACAAGGCAAAACTTGACTCGGCTCGACTCATTAGCAGCCCTACAAACGACATTTGAAAGTAGACTTTCTCAAAATTCAAATTTGAATATTGTTATTATTTTGAAACGAATCAAAAGGACAATAACACTAAAACAAAAAATGGCATAGTGTGCATCCATCAAAGCGAGTTCATTAGAACACATACCTATAATGTTTGTTTAGGGGTCATTTGGAGGTTGTGATTCTTTGAATTTAGAGTTATAGGTATAATATGCCCCTCTACTATGTCGTTTTATCAAACATGCCCCTCTACTATTTTTTACATCAAACATGCCCCTATACTTTGATAAAACGACATAGTAGAGGGGCATATTATACCTTTAACCCTTGAATTTATGAATTATATCAATCTATGAATTCTAAATTGATGTTTTATTTGAATGACTATATTTGAAAAATCTATTGTTTGGAGGTATAGATTGTGCTTGTCACATATCTAAAAATCTAAAAGTGTAATATACTTTTTCGATTTAATGACATATTTTCCCTTCATTAGTTCTTTTGTCCAAGGAGAAAACAACAATGGATGAGACTAATGTTGGAATAAACAAAAAATAGAAAAGACAAAAGGGAACTAAAAGATAAAAAGACAATAATTTATTTACAATATCAGATTTACCTAGATATTGTCAATCCTTTATTTTGAAAAATTAGAGGTAAGTTTTTAAAAAGTAAATACAAACTCAATTTAAACAAAAAACGAGTGAATCTCCACATTACATGCACCTCTTCAAATCACAACCTACCCCTAGTAATACAAATTTCAATGGGCTTGTTACTACGTGAAGCCCAGCCCTCGAATCAAGCCCAGCCCAACAGGAAGTGTATAGTACATTTTTTTTCCTTCTCTAACCCGACCAATCACAAATTTCACAAACTACTATTACAACCGGAAAAAAATCCCGACATCAAAACACGACTACGATTCTCCGTTCATCATCTACCATTCTTCATCGGGAAATGGGTTCCAGAGCAAGAACGACAGCAGACACAAATTGGGAACAACAGCAGGAATCAGAGGGTGAATGTTATTGAAAAGCTTCTTCCTCCGCAGCCTCTTCCTGAAATACTCCCTCTTCTCCTCGTCGCCCCACCGCGCCTCCTCCAACCCTCTCGCCAGAACCAGCGGCGGCGGCTGCTGGTAGGGGCACTTGCTCCGCCACGAGGTCTCCGGGAGCCCGAATCGCGAGGCCCTTTTCAGGAACTGGGAGAATCCCCACCGCTGGAGGAGCGAAGGGAAGCTTCGGCCGGCGGTGTCGACGTCGTGGTGGCGGCAGAGGATTGGAGGGTAGTCCCAGTTGAGGTAGCAGGGGAACTGCTGGGCGATGAGGAATTGGGAGTGGAGCGGCGGCGCGGTGGTCGGGCTGGTTAGGATGTGGGTTATGGTGTGGTGGAGCCTCTCATCCCACGGTGGTGGTGGCTCTTCCATTTTGAGGTTCATCGGATTGAGCTGGCGGGGTTCTCCGGCGAGGTGGCTGAGGATGAGAAACGATCTGGCATTTTCTATGGTGTGGTGTGAGATGTGGAAACGGGAAAGATTGGGGGATAAGATGCCCCACGTTGGACTATCCACTATGGGCCTGGCCCAATCATACTTTCTTCCTTTTTGGGCCTCACCCATACAAATGATTAATGGCATTAAAAAGTAAAAACTATCAAATTCAACTCCTGAAGCATGGATACCAAAGATTATAAGCTAATAGCAGAAGCAAAATGTTGACTAAATGGGAAAAATAAGACAGATCAACGATAACAAGAGCAGAAAAGTAGGGTATCAAAGATATTATTACAGGCATATAACATGTCTCAGTAAACGAAAAAGAAAAGTCAACCGAACTAGAAAAATGAGATAGTTCAACCGTAGTACGTGTACAAAAGTTCGAAACATTCGAAGTACGCATGACATGTATTATATGTGCTTTTAACTACGTATAGAGTCACAGAATTCCTTTACAGTTGAGTTGAAGCCACTGATGACTTGCTACCTACGTTCCATCAGATGAGGCAGTGATTCTATAGTGTAGTACAAGATTGAAAGCTCCAAAATTCAGAAGCCGTAGGCTGGCTGTGCACAAAAGGATCTTCAAGTTTTACTCTAGCCTGGAACATCTCTACATGGCAAAATTAGTCCACAAGTATGAGTTCTCTCCTAAAGTGTAGAAGGGAGTAGTAGTAGTCCTTACCAGACTCTACAGTAGGTGAGCAGATAGGAAGATCCATGCACCTATTACAGGAATCACGAGCAAAACAGAAGCCTGCAAATTTCCCACCAATTGCCATCATTAGCAGTTGCAGAAAAAGGGAACATGCGATTTGTATTAAGTTTCCAAACCAGGAAAAGCGAACATAGTTAGAGCAAGCTTACCAGGAAAAACACTACCTCGTCGTTGGCAATGGACTTGGTGAATTCATAGTGTTCCATTATTTGTCTGACAAAACTCTGCAACTGCAATTGAAATGACGGCTTAACTTGTAAGAAGAGCTAGGCGGGATCGATATTTCAGCGATTAATTGAATGATTATGCAAACCTCGAAGTGGAACTCTTTGACTGTTGAGTAGAGTCTCTTCAACTGCTCGAGCATGGAGGATATGTAGGAACTTAAGCCAGATTCTGCACCAAATCGCTTCGCTTTCGAAATATTTCCATTCGGGTCATTCATGTACTGCAATTTCCACATATATCATGAACAAACTCACCTCCAAACATACTGAAAATAGTAAATGTGGCACTATGAAAGCTCTGCATCGACGTCAAGAGTGAAACGGAAAAGTTAAAGTAGAGAACTATCTACCTTCAAGAATGGGGACCTTGAATAGTTTGCTTGTGTTTGAGCTTCCATTAGCCTCATCTGCCAGAAACAAATGAGTAAAGCCATGGATAAGAACTCAACTGGCAATAGTGACTTCTTTTACAGTCTTCAGCGTGCGTGAAGAGTACATCAATGAGTTGAAGAGCCTGCTCAAACTGATGAATCAAGATCCAGCGTTCTGCAAGGAGATCTTCTGCCTGGCAAGCAAGCCACAAGGGAAAACCAACAAAATCACTAACACGAAAAACAAATGCTTCTCTCAAATCCAAAACACCATTTCTATCATGTCAAAGAGTTTTTGTGTTAGTGAGTAAGAATGTTTAACCTTCTTAAGGTGTAAAGCAACTGTATCCGGAGACGTATCAGATTCTTTAGCTTTCAATATCAAGACCTGGATATCGAACTCGTTCTTCCTCAACTTATCCCACAGATCTCGTATCTAGGCATTGGTCAAGCAACCAACTAATGAATGAAACTTAAACGATCGAATTAACATATTGACAGAGGGGAATCATGAATTTCCTGAACAACTAACTCCATAGAGTAAGAAAAGATTGAGGCAACAAAACTGCCTTACCTCTTTCTCCAGCGTAATAACGACACTATCTCCAGCTAATAGTTCATCCTAGAACGAGAAATGGACCAAGAAAACGCCATCAAAGCCTTGAAAAGGTAAAAATCGCACAATGCTAAGCTACAAAAAGACGGAAGGAATCGGCGACGGTCAATGAGCTCGGTTCTGCAACTAAAAAGGAAAATTTGCAAATGCTACGCTACGAAGATGAGACGAACTAACCTTGAGGTTCGTGAGAATAGCCATAAGATGAGCGAACTCCTTTTCCATCTCCTCGATTTCTTTCCCGTTCTCCTCAAGTCTACGGTCTCGAGCTTCGACATGCTCGAAATCAGATCCTGCAGATCAACGGTGATTGTTCAAATTTCACTGACGCTAAGCTAATCTAGGGTTTCGTTCTTGCATTTCGATTGGAAGAAAAAAGGACTAATAGACTCACTCACTCACCTAGTCGCGCGAGCTTGAGCTTGGCTTCTTGCAATTGACGGATCAAGCTACTGCTGTTGTCGTCGGCGAGTAGCTCAGCTTGAGAAGTAACAGCCAAGAGAGATGCCAGAGTGGAAGCGAACAGAAAAAGATAGGCCGGTGCTGCTACCGCCATTGTTCTGGAGCTAGACGAAGGAAGTGGGGGAGGGAGAAAGACGAACTCGCGGCGGGAACTCAAAATCACCGGACGATTTGACCGCGTATGCCGGAGAAATGGCGCGTCTTGGAAACGGACAACTGGCCTTTCAGGCTTTTATACAATGGATTCAAAGTTTCTTGTTTTATGGGTTTAGGCCCAATGGGCGGAAGATTGGGCCAGGCATCAAGTTCCCGTCGAGGTTGATTGCTGATCAGAAATCTGGAATCAAGATTCAAGAGGCTGTTGGGTACTTGGGTTCATCATATTAAGCTACACTGCTGGTTGTATGTTGTTTGTGTATAGTGTTGATGTGACTTGAATTGGACTATTAAGTCGTTACGATTGATAGTTGGGGGTCTCGCTGCCCGGTCAGCGAGTGGGATCTAGGGGCAACGCCTCCTGTCTGCGGTGCATGGGCTCAATGTTATTTGGGTTCGAGTTCTGGGCCTGGTCTGTAATCGTTTCCTTTGTCAGATTGGATTAGGTTAAGACTCACATGGAGAAGTATAAATACTTTTCATCTCCTCTGGTAATCTGTAATCTTCTCGATATAGTGAAACTGGCTCTCTCTTGCCCGTGGACTAGCTAACACACATCATGTTAGTGAACCACGTAAATTGTGTATATATGTTTTTCGATTGACGCTTTCGTATTCTTGCTTTATCGATTCCGACGATTTCCCGATTCCAGTGATTTCCCGATCAGTAGCGGCGCATTCATAACATATATAGAAAAAAGAGGGTTGCCATTTTCAATTCAGTAGAACACAAACTAAGAACAATTGAATACAAAATGGGCAAAAGCCTAAATCTAGCAAAACCTTTACTCTCTACGTTGCTAACTTGTATGCTATATTTGAGCTGTTTGGGATTCTCTTCTTTTGTCACAGCTGCAACCTTTAAAAACTAGCATGCAGCCTCACGAAAAGGGCAAAACTGCTTCTCACCAATTCACTCAATCGCTGCTATAATCCTCAGAATCCGATCCATCTGACTCACCGTCACCTTCTTCTACGTCTTCTTCTTCTTCTTCAACATCGTTCCTCTCCACAGCTTTATCATCGTCGACCACTCGCTCTTCGTCCGACCCATCACTCATTCCTGCATTCTCAGAATCCCGGTAGACTGGCACGCCATCGTCTTCGATCATATTTTCGTTTTCCTCCCCCGATGCATATGCAAAGGAGTCCCCATTTCCACGCCCAGGATCGTCATCATCATCACCATAAGCATCTCCATCTCGATCTTCTTCATCTTCACTTGTTCCATCACTACCGGGCATGGTGGGCCGGGGATCTTCATCGTCACTATTGGGGCTGCCATCTTCCATCAGGTCGTCTTTCCAACCATTGGAGGAAGGGCCTGCATCATCAAACCCTCGGTTGTTCCAACCTCCTTGCTCATACTCCTCTGCAGGATTGTCATCCTCGGACTCTTCCGAGCTGCTGACATCACTATTGTTGTTGTTGTTGTTGTTGCTGTTGTTGTCGCTGTCATCGTCACTCGAGTCATCGACTTCCATCCCATCGTCCTCGATCTCATAACTTCCACTGTACCTGCCAGCCTTGGCAGGCGGCGGAACCTTACTCTCGGACATGCTGCCGAGCAGTAGTTGGTCTCCAGTAATCACGTTCTCGACTCTCCTCTTCCGGACTGTTCGTGGGCCCCGACTGGTTCCTTGAATGTTCACCTCGTGTCCATGCTGCTGTCTCGATCCTCCCACCCCTTGGTTGAAGTTGCTCACCGCCGGCTTCGAACTGTTCCACTTTGCTGCCTGAGTAGGTGTTTTTCTCAGCACTTTGGGCCGACGTCCTTGATCATGGTTCCTACGTCGAGGTTTAGCCATGTTACGCTTATTGCTCCGTGGGTTGATGGCGACTTCATTGAAGTAGTCTTCTTTCCGTTCCGTGAGTTCAACCTCTTTGTTCTTCACTGAAGTGTATCCTGAATGAAGCTTCTGCATGTATTTACAATGGAGATAAGTTACTACATTTGATTCATGTACCTCTCGTCCTCTACAAAACGAAAAAAATAGTAGGGGGGGATATGTTACCGTTACAGCGTTGGCAGAGTTGTAGTCGGAAGATGCAGACTTCTCCTGTTGTACGTAAACTATAGAAGCATCAAGTTCGAAAAGCCTCAGCGCCACGGCTGCCATGGTTTTGGGTATCCAAGGAAGCACAGGAACTGAGCTGAGATCGGTTTTGTCATAGTATGCTGTAGGTGTCCCTAGTAATTCTTTTGTAGACTCGTAATTAGGCAACAAGAAGTCTGGTTTTATAGCACTCTCGAACACTGTCAGCATCTGCAATGTAAGCACGCTGAATAAGAAATCCGTATTTAGATAAGTTGGAATCGACATATCATACTACCACGCAATGACTAACTAACAAAGCATGATTTTTCCTGGAATCAGACATATCATATTAAAAACCTGCAGAAGTCCTTCTATTGAAGACGATTTTGCCAATTTTTTGCTCCAAGTCTTTCTACGGCTCTCTGTCCACAATGGTTCGAGAGCTTCTGCTGGGACAGATGCCTGCCATCACATATCACATTTGAGCTACTTATCAATTGGGAATCTATAGAACAATAGAATAAGGTGCTTCTTCTTCATGTTTCAGCCTAAGAAAAGCAATAAGGCTGCAAAATGTAAAATAAATTCACCTCAATCGTAGCTAACAGAGTCTTGAGCAGTCTGATTCCCACCGGCAAGGATGAATTACTTCCATGGTCGTCCCTAGAGTCCAGCTTCTTGTTGCCACTGCTCTTCAAAGAATAGGATGAATTACTTCCATTGCATTTAGTTTTGTGTTCTTCAAAGCTAAACATCCTGTTGCCACTGTCAAATGTCTGGTGGCAAGAAAGACAGTGGTGGTCTTCAAATAAGTACGAGTCCAGACAAAGATCACAGGCATCCAACAGTTGTCTAGACCTATTCTTGCCATGCTTCATTGCACATGACGCCGTTGAACTGAGGCACTCTTTCCACATCCAAATCTGCGAATCCTCATACCTTCTCAATACACCCTTATTCTCTCTTTCATTTCTCCCGAGCTCAATTTGGAAGAACGAAAATATATCCTGTGTATCAGAGTTTGAAGCACAAAGCAAACTGCTAGGGCTATCAATACCGACTAAGCCATTAGGACTGGAGTCTCTTTCAGAAGCTTCGTTTTCAATGATTGGACGTGCAACATTGTCGAATGACAAGCTCTTCCTGACAGTATCTTTAAATGACGCTTCGATCTTCTGCATCATTATACGCAAATGGGATTCCCTGACCCCACGACTATCCAAGGATGACAAAAGGGCATCAAATTCCTATGAGAAAACCGAATCACAAAAAAAAATCATGAAATCAGATGAAATACACATAGAATGGATAATTAAATATCCACAGAGGATATGGCAACTAGAGTATTTACCTTTTCAGAATCAATAACCCTCCATTTCCCACTTTGTAGTTCCACAAAGATCTTGCCAGAAAAAGGATCACTCACAGAAGCAGAGGCAACAAACAGCCAATAACGATTACGTCTGCGATCTTGACCGAGTGCCAGTGACCTATATATATAGGTATCTTCAGCTATATGGGCCGTATAAGCTTTTAGTTGTGATCTGAACCTTTTGGAACTAGAAGATTGTTGATTTGGGAAGTGCTCTAAACTCAAGGAGGGATCATGAACCGCCACATTTCTGTCTGTGGCATGAGCATTGTCATTCTGTACATGCTCAGATGCAAGCAGTGACTTTTGTTCTTCTACCAGGCTTTGAGAAGCCTCCTTAAAGCCATCAGCTTGACGGCCTGGACTTTGGATGATGCTGTCAGTTGCATACCCACTAACTTGGGCATCAAATTTACCCGATAGCAAGTCCAACTTCCCCATAACATCTTCCCTCAAACGACTCTTGTCTAATTGTGCCTCAGCCCACATCTGCTTTTTAAGAGCATTTGCAGCTTCCAAACGGTCCTGCGGACATCCAGGTCAATATCATCCTTGGAAACGTACAAATAAAGACAAAGGAGAAGGAAGAGAAATGAAGTGAGTACAAAACAAGCAAAACAGATTCTGGCAATGGATGATTCAGGATATTTGGGGTGTTTGTTTTGGATAAAAGAAAAGTCACTTGGCCAATCTAACTTTTTAATACAACTATTCACCATAAGCCGCACAAAGTAGTTAAATCCAAAAATCACTCTCGCTGATGAAATTTCATTTCCATCGTTACCCTTTTCAAATATCAATCTAAAGCCACATCCCAAATCCACTCATTTCGATAAACTTAGACAAACTATTTACCATCCAATCAACTATTTTTCTATCACTAAAATATACCTCCTATCACACTAGCTCAACTTTTTCGAAGTCTCAACCAAACACAATTTTTTATCACTTCTACTAAAACCTGAAAATAATTTGGTTAAAAGCTGAAACAAACAAACCCATTATGGCCTGTAAAAGAAAGGTAAAGGTATTCACCTCAAGAACAGCACGTATGATTTTACCCTCATTCGCAATGCTGACAAGAGCAAAAACAGCATTCAGACGCTCTTCAACAGAGAGATGATAATAATCTCCCTCTGTAAGTCCTTGTACCCATGATTCACCAGACTTGCTTTCATCAATCTCAGGATTCTCTTCCTTCGTATAACTACCAACCCAGACATCCTCTTGGATAACAGACTGGTCCATGGTGGTCCCAGGAGTACTCAAGTCTCTGGAACCATTATTCAGAGGGAATGGTGAGAATTCATTCTCGGATTCAGTTTTCAAGAATAATGAAGGAGACCCAGCACGCGTATAAGCATCATTCCCAATTTCCAACAGAGCATTTTCTTGTCCATCATCAATCTCATTCCCCAAAAGAGTATTGATGACTCCATTAGCTTGCTCAACATGTCTGTTAGGGCTCAATGGTGTAATAGTCAGACCATCGACTTCAGGATCCTCATCAACTTCGCCCTCAGAGTCATCATCTCTTTCAACTTCATCAGCAACCTCGTCAGGGTCTTCTTCTCCGCCTAAGAACCCGTTTTCAAATACTTGGATTTTTTTTCTTGCTACAGCAATTATCTCCTCGCCATCTGCAGGATCCTTTCTGTAAGGAGTCCGCACACAATATGTGGAAGGAGCGACCCTTTCAAAAAGCTTCTGGTCCCTTGTCAAAGCAACGGATATGGATGCCTCGGGAGTCCTGCTTGTTGAAAGGTCCCGAAGCCCGGATTTCTGTAGCACAGGACATATATCAGGACAAATGCACAAACTGTAGAAGGCGACGACAGTAGAGAAACTCACCTGAATCTTATCTGCAAGTTCTAAAACATTTAGTCCCTCACTTCCTTCAAGTGAAAGAACATGAAAAGCAGCAAACTTGACAGTGCCAGGTGTAAGTCTGTGCCTAGATTTCCGTGGATTTAATAAACCCTTTTCTCGCATCAAGGCAAAAGCATTTTCAGCTGCCAATCCATTACGTAACGTTGAAACTGTTTCTTCACAACCTTTGATCTGTGAAGAAAGATATTCTTTGATCAATCTTTGAAAATTAAATCTCACAGTAGGATATCATTTCATAGCAACCATAACCAAACAACAGAATCATAAGAGCTTGCCCTAAGCTACAGCGTATTTTATCAGATTCAAGCTGCTTGAACTTCCCATAGTTCATGACATCCAAACTGCCTAAACTTAGTAATCAGTTGGAAAAAAAATAGCACAACTTTGTTTTCTATTCTTCCGCTCAGGAAAGATAATATCGGTCACATGTATTAGTTATTTTCCACACAGAACTTACTGAATATGATAGCTCTCAACACTTTCAAGACTGATTAAATTATGGTAAACTCTATATGGTAATGGTACCAAGAAAGCATTATTATTTTTATAATATCAAAGCCAAACCTCGTCCTTCGCATGTGGCCATGCTGCATTCGTTTTCTTCACCTGTGGCCCAAATCCTGCAGATAAGGCCAATTGCCGAAATATTTCAGGCCACGACAATGGATTCAAGAGTTGCTGCCACTTGCGTATGTCAAAGCCCCACATGTATGCCTACAAAAATCACACAGCCGTATCCAGGATCAACACAAGAATCTCAGACCCCATGATAAGAAAGAAATAAGTATATACGAGATTTTACCCCTTCAACGATCTGTGGGTGTCCACCTTCGGGATTAGATACAGAATACTGGTTCGTCCCTAATCCATTCGGAGTCCTTGCAACATCTTCTATATCTTTGATGATTAATTTCATAAGAGCAACATGTACCTCACCCAGCAATCTTGAATCCTGGGACCATAAAGGTATCAATATAAAATAAGAGAGGGCAGGAAAGGTTCAGATTTCAGTGAGGAGAAAGACAAGAGAAACATTATAAATCATTAGCAACTCACATAGTCATGAAATGCTTGAATAAATTCGTTAAGGGTAAATGGCCATAACCCAAGGACATCAGCAAAAGTAATGCAGAACTTCCAGACCTGAAAAATACAATTTGAGGTCAGATATCAGGATAAGAGTAGAGAGTCATTGAAATAAGGACCTCTAGTGATCTAGTGATAGTGAACATTCTCCAACATGGAGGCAAGCTTTATATTAAATAACAAAAACAACTAAACTAAGAGAAAAGTGATCCTAGTGAGTAAAGATCACCAAGCAAATAACAAAGTATAATATTTGGGATACATACCATCAGAAGGTTTCCAACATTATCTTCTGAATCTACCCAAGGCAGAAAGCCGAATGGCTTTTTCAACTGTACCGACTCTGGTGGGAATTTGCATAAGGAATCTAGAGAAGGAAATCAAGTTATGATAGGCCGGGGAAAAAATTGTAAGTCAAAATGGTACTTCAGAAATAAATGTACAAATGTGTAATAACATCAGTAGTAAGCATATTACTTCATTATGACTAATAAAGGATGCAATAACAAGCTCTGTAATGATAACAAATTTACATTATCATATTTATATGTTGCGAATGAAGCAGAGATGAACAATAACTAGGGTTAGATAAAAAAATTCAGACAGCACAGAAGACCTAAATTTGAAGAGCTATTAACATTCCTCGTCTATTTCCATCTTTGTTTATGTAAGAATATGAAAGGACTGGTTTCTCCAGGATTAACCAGCTATTGACATTAATTAATTCATCCAACTGCTTATCTTAAAGTGGTGTAAAACTATTCAACAATCAATAACAAACAATTTGACGTGAAATGTAAGCAATTGCACGAACAAAGATTTGACAGTCACATCTAGTAACATCTACTAACATCCATGTTAAACACTCTCTAAGGATGAAACATATTAATGTATAAAGCCCTGTAAAACAAAATTCACAATGTCTTGCTGCCAATAAATTGCCAAAATACGGAAAAGTAAGACTTTCGACAAATTCAACCATTCAAATGCTCCTGGCATACCTCTGTATACATCCAGGTTTTGCAAAGTATCATAGTCTAGTTGAACCACTGAGTGTAACCCTTTGTTTGCAGCAGCCAATTCCATGAGCTCCAACTGTTCATCCTCAACAAGATCCAAAGACTCTTTGGCAATCCTCCGTGCAGTTGCTTTCTCAATAGCAGCTTTACGTCTAACTTCCTCTCTCTCTTTCCTTAGCTCTTCTTTCTGCTTCTGCTTCTCAGCCTAACAGCATATATACTTTTTTAAGTTAATAGACAAATAGACTGATGACAATAAAAAAAAGCGACCACCAGAGTCCAGAGTAATGCATATTGAAGAAAGAATCAAAAGATCATATCAACATGCAGATAACCTACGAACCTTTAAATACTCTTTTTGCAACATCTTCTCCCTCCTTTCTAGTTCGCGTTTTTGTTCACGCAATGACTTTTCCTCCTCACGTTGTCTTTCGCGCATCAATCTCTCTTCTTCCTTCTTTCTTTCACGGTCTTGCCTCTCCATATCTTTCTTTATTCGCTCTTCATTCTATTTTGCATGGAAAATAAATTGAAAATGTCATTAGTACAACATAATGAATTTTCCTTGCATGGATCTCAAGAGCGGTACAGCTTTTAAAAGACTAAACCAGTACCTTGCGTCTCATAATTTCTTGTTTCTCGAGCTCTTTGCGCATCCGAATCTCATTCGCCTCAGCTTCCCTGGCAAGTCTAGCATCTTCACTCTGACAGAGTCGATCAAAGATAAGCACAGATGCGCAGCAGCAGCCAGCAAACAGCAACTGAGACAAAAAAATGTCAGTAACTAACCCTCATTTTGCGTTTCTTCTCTGTGCGCATATCTGCTTCACTCTGGAAGACATTGGCATCATGGAACATGTGTGTACTTTCTGGTGCTGCCATATGGTGACTGGAAGATTCAGCTTTTATTCTATGGTTCGGGAAAGGTTCTGATCTCAAAAGATAATCATCATCCCAATGAGTTGATGGAAGATGACCCTTGTTTTCTTGTGGAGATAAGAGACGTACACGTGACACTGGAGTGTGGACATCATGAATCCTGGGTAAATGCTCATCTCCACGTACAAATGGTGAAGTTCTTCCCCTAAGAGTATCAGCTGGCACATCATGGTAAGAATGCTGAGCAACTTGTCCATATGTGTCAGGTCTTATGCTGGACTGATCCGGGAGAAACTGATACTCGTGAAGAGCCCTTGCAGAGGCCTGAAATGGTCAACTAGGTAAGGACAGACAACAGAAACTGTTTGCGCACACTTACTATCTGTCCTTTTTCTTATGATTCTCATGTTACTATCTGTCAAGCAAGAAATGATTACATTAGACCGTAATGGCCAGGATTTCTATAATCTGAATTGCAGTGAAGCAGATGCAATGCAACAGAACCAAAACATAGTTTGGAGTGACAGATTACACAAGTCTATGACACATAGTATCCCTTATCATTTTCTTTTCCATCTTTTGAGATATTATAGACATTCTGGGCATGTTTAGTGGTGAAAGCCATAATTAGGAGGTAACAAAAAAAATGTCTTAAATAAGACTCATGGCCAAGATGGCAAGAATTGTGACACCTAAAGACAAGTAACTTGCTGGCTCTGGCACAGTTCGTCTGGTTATCAGCACTATCTAAATCGATCAGAGAAAGACTGCCCTGCTTATGACAACTTGTTCAATCATACAAAATTTAGCGGCTTGACTATAATCCAATCTTGTGCCTATTACACTGTCTACAACAAAAAGAATTAGCATAATTTGGAACAGGATGACAACAAAATGAATGAAAGGTAGTAGATATCATAACTCCACAGCTCCAAACAATGATCAAAACGCATTATCCATCCTGTCTCATATTAGTGTTATAACAACAAACCAGAGAAGTAAAATAAGATACATTCATGTGCAAGCCAAATAAATCGTGCGTAAGTACAAACTCATTGGAGGAATTGTGGAAAAAACCTTTTTTGATTTCCCCTCACGCCGTTGAAGTATTTTTCCATCATAAGGGTATCGCTTCTGCTGTTCCACCACAGCTGCTACACAGAAGAGCATAATGCCAATATGAAAGCGGTACAATGTGGACACATGTGTAAGACAATGAATTTGAGATCAGTTGAGAAATACGAGAACGACCACATATGACATATGGTGAAAAGATGAGTTCTCATGATATTTCAACAAGATAAGCAAAGAAGTCAGCAAATCCGTGAACTTTTAATAATGTGTAAACAATAAGCAAATACAACTAAACCTCCATTCTCAGCAAGAACTCTCTATTTCCTAAATCAATATATCGAGTAGACAAATTACAAACAGGTCGAACCAAACATCAGGTTGTATGTGCATTGTAATACAGCTATCTTTTGCTCATCGATTGAGGTTAATAATACGAACGATACTGAGTCCATTAAGAAGCATACCTATTGGGGCTCCAAATGCATCAGGTGGCAAAGCATCAAACTCCACTCCTACAATAGGACCATCCTCCCTCAAAGGCTCCCCCAATTGTGCCTCCACACATGCAATGGCTCTAAGCTCCATAGCTGACTGAGGAGATGGGTCGAAGTACCCCCTCGACATTGGCACATCATCCACAACCATTTTCCTTGAATCCATATACGGGCTGGAACCGGAACCCGAGCCAGATCCATAGTCACTCCCAGGATCAGGAACTGCAAGCTTGAGTTCCTCGACAGGTGAGTCCGGCAAGGGAGGTGGAGCTTTTCGTGGTTTCTTTGCCGGGGTGATGTCCTTTTTCTCTTCTTTCTTCTCCTCCCTTCTGTCTTTCAACCTCCTATGGCAAAACCACATCTGCAATTGCCTATCCGTCAGACCTAACTTCTGAGATAACTCTAACCTCGTCACCTCAGTTGGGTATGTTTCCGCTGCACAAAACATAAAGCAACAAGCTTCAATGAGCTAATATCCAACACTTACCACATTAAAACCAAAATATGAAGCACCACATTCACAAGGTATTGAATCAAAAGAATCAAACTGTAAGAGATCAAATCAAACATCCCACCAAGCCACCTGAAAGTTCAAACATGCCTTGTACAGTACAACAACAATGTTCTCAAGTTCAGATTTCTTCCACCAACAACTAAATCATATTCTCACGGTACCCAATTGTAAACAAAGGGGATCAAGATCAAAACCAAGGGCGAAAAAACCAACTCAAAACAAATAAACTGAATTCATGAACAAGAGACCAAGTGGGTAAGAGTACGAACAGGCATAAGCTTTCTCCAGCGTTTCGAGTTGGAAAGGAGTCTTCATCTGACGCTTCGGCTTGCTCTGCCCCTCCCCGCCGGAGCCCTTGTTGTTGGGCTTCCGATCTTCTCCGTCTGAATTCGAATCCATCTCGCACCCCCCAGATTCCAATTAGGGTTTCCCGGATCACGGAAACACCCAGAAACCAAAAGTTCAAAAAAAGGGGGAGAATTTCTGGGAATTAAACGATTAGCTCTCTTCTTCAACTCTGCCTATGAAACCCTCAAGAGATACGGTCTGGGTCGAGAGAAGAAGGGATTAACAGCAACCCACATAGGAATTGAAAGAAGAATGAACAATAAACCGAATGAAGAAGAATTGGGGATCGGTAGGAGAAGAAGATCCGGGACAAGAAGGGAAGAAAGAAAGAATGGTAATAATAATCCCAACCCAATACGAATAATAAGAATAATAATGAGTGAAAGAACTATAACAAATACGAACAACGATAAGTCAATAAACCACGATAAAAACAAACAATCGACAGATTGCAAGGAAGAAGAAAGCAGCATTATAATTCTTCTACTCCAATCCATCATTATAAATTCAACAAATTTTTTTTTCCTTTTATTATAAATTTTAATCTTAAGTTTTAAATGAAGTAGTAGTAGGCTCAAATCTCAATCAATCAAAAAGTTGTTCCTTTTTATTAAGTTCCCCTGCGTTTGTTTCATTGTTCTATCCACATCTACGCTACAATTGCTCTCATTTTTCTCTTCTTTCTTTCTTTTTTCTTTTTTCGTACTTTTTTTCTGCGTGGCGATCGTACGACGTAGATTGCTTTGATCCCGACCAAACTGCTGGTTACTTTGTGTTTAATGTTGGGTTTTTCTTTTGGGTAACGTTGTCGACGAGGTTGCTTGTTTGTGCTGTGAATGGCCTGGATTCTTTCTTGGTTACAAGGAAGGAGGTGGTGCAGCTGCAGGGAATTGGTGGAAAGGCTGTAACGTGATCTTGAGGTGGGGCAAAAAAGTTGAGTTTTCAGGTTTGTGTGCCAAAATGGCGGGGGCCTTCTTTCCGAACTCAACCTTTCCCGCCATCTTTTCTGGGCTGGACTCGGATGGGAATGGGCCTAATGGGCTATTAGCCCAGTGTCTCTACCAACATGAGCACATGGGTTGGTAGGAAAGGTATAGTAGATTAGTAGTGGATGGGTGGTACTCTCCAGCCCAATATGGTATACAACGGGATCGAATCATAATAGTAGGACAATAGGGTTGACAATCGGTTCAGTTCGGTATAACCAAAATTATTTAATCGATTTTTTATTAAGCGTTTAATCATCGACTATTATAATTGGTTAATTTTCTGTTAGTAATTAGCTAAATTTGACTACCGGGAACATATTATTTAATTGGTTATCTGTGTAACAGTTAACCACTGATTATCAGTTGCACCTTTAACAGGACAATTGTTTACTAGCACTAAGCAAGATGAGACCGGTACCATTCAGGTTGTTTATTTATTTATTTTCCAAATTAGAGTCGGAATCAAATTGAATTGTACTTGGTCGGATTCAATTGATCTGAAATCGGTTCGAACGGTTGCCCACCCTCAAGTATAGTTCCACAATTCTATCAAAGGTCTTTAGGAAGGTTGGTATATATATCAATGGTGCAATATCCCGAAATAGATTACAACATAAATTCACATGAAGAATCTCTCGTATCAACAATTCACATTCTCTAACGAATAAGGGGTTGGTTTAGTGGTAAACTGGTAATACCACTAACCCTAAATAAGGAGGTTTCATATTCAAATCTCTTAAGTAGTACCTAATCATAAAAACAATTCACATTCTCTAATAGGATGGAGTTAAAATACAATATACAATAAAAAATGGCACTTTATGTGAAAATGATATCTCTCAGACTTTCAAAAGCTCTATGATAAAAGATCGAGAATGACGAGGAGGTCTGTGATACTTACTGCCAAATTTTTTTCACTATGCATCTATGTAAAAATTACATTGTATATGTTGCCTATGTTGTCAAAACCTCTCTTTCTCATGCTTTGAGAGAATTATCTGGCTCTAAATGAACACGGTTTACTTTGTGTTTCTTCCTCGTATGTGTATCATCGTCGCCATCACGGAAGACTTTGGCATCTTGAAAGACATTGTTATATTTTTGCTTAATAATTGAGTTACATTTAGATTTTTCATTTCTTCTGTCATTCATAAATAATGCGGATTCTGGGGGTTGAAGGTAGTTGTGATCACTTGTGTTGGGTGAGGAAAGAAAATGATTTGATCCTTTACTTTGTGGAGACGTATATGACATCGATGGAGATTTTGTAGCAGTCAAAGCCCTTGGATAATGCAGATTAGTCTCGAGATACTTCGAGATTCTTCTTCCTCTGATTGTATCAATCGGCGAGCCATTGTAAGAAGGTTGAACAAGTTGTCCATGTTCATGAAGAGACCTTGTCGACCCCTGAGGTGAAGTTCATAATTTGGTAAGATCACTTTGAAAAAATGAAATGTACAACAACATGACAAGTAACTATAGTAGTTAACTTGTAAAAGAAAACACTAGATAGTCAATCGAGAACAAACTTTTCTTAGCTTTCCCTCATGCCTTCGAAATCTTTGGTTAGAATTTCTGTCATATTGTTCTGCCATGGTGCCTGCACATTAAAATCAAAGTTAGTTGATATGCAATATACAAAGAAATTAATCATTTAGCACACACCTATCGAAACTCCAAATGCATCAGGTGGCAATGGATCAAACTCAAACCCTAAAACCGGCCCATCTCCCCTAAATGGCCCATCCAATTGTGCTTCAACATAGGAAATTGCTTGGAGCTTCTTGCAAGAGAGCAATGGCGATGATTGATGGTATGGTTTGGACATGGACGTGTACTTATCCAAATTAGCCACATCGCTGGTGTCTGCAGCATCAACAAATGAGTTGAACCCTGAGCCACATTGAGATTCATAGTCACTTTCAGCAGCTGGATCGGGATCATTGTCATCTATAATATTGAGTTCTTGATCAACAGGGAACTCCAACAGAGGTGACTTCTTGAGCAAGGTTGGTTCTTTACGAGGTTTCTTGGTCGCGACGGCATCTCTTTTGTCCTCCTTTCTGTCCTTCAGCCTTCTATGGCAAAACCACATTTGCAGTTGCCTATCTGTGAGGTCTAGTTTTTTAGAAAGTTTTGTTCTTGTTGCCTCTGATGGGTATGTTTCCACTGAAATCGATCAAACCAATGTGTAAAGTTAGTCACACAATCATGATTAAACCAGCTAGCAGCATGCATGCAAATCGAGTGTTAGCACGAAAACATGTCGCATTAGAAAGATCGTGACATGGGATATCGGACTAGCCAAAAATTTAAAACTCGACAAGGGAAAAAAAGATAGAAGTAGGAGAAAAAAATATAAGATGAATTTAATTCGAGCACAATAAGTATTTCACAAAAATGAAGAGAGACAAGTATGATAGAGAAAAGGGAGCATGTATATGAACCTGCATAAGCCTTTTCCAAGGTTTCTAATTGGAAAGGTGTCTTCATCTGACGCTTAGGCTTGTTGTTATGCCCTTCTTGCTTGGAGCTAACGCTAACATTGATGTTCTTCATAGGGACATTGCAATTTCGATCTTCTGATTCGGAATTTGCATCCATACTTTTCAAGTAATAGATGAAAGAAGCGAGAATTCAAGAAATCGGAGATTAGAATTGAGAAATCACGAAAGAAAAAACGAAAATGGGATGGAGAAAGGGGGGAGAGCGAGGTATATTTTTTTTGGTATTTGACCACTTTCTCTTGCGTTTCTCTCTCGAGAGAGGAAAAAAACTAATCTTGATCATATAGCTTTCGTCGTAGATACTTGTCGAACAAGAAGGAGAAGAAGACAAATCATTTTGGAGAAAATGAATTTGATGGAGGAGGTGGAACAAATTCATGACCAACAGAAAGAATGAGAGTTCGGGGGAAAGGGAAAATGAATTGTTCTTATTCATGCTATTATTGTCTCTATTCATCATGGTAAAATTTTCTCACTTCTCCTCTTTTTCATACTAGTTCTTTTAATTGTTAATGACTTTTTTTTCTTCATTCCTTTCAAATAATTTTACTCGATTGTTTGTAATTATCTTATTTTTGGTTTTAATTGGGCTTGAGATCTTATGCGCTCATAAAATGGTGCATTTTCATCCCAATTTCTTATTTTTCTAGTGTAATTTTCATTTAATTGTCTTTTTATTTTTTGAGTTCTTTTATTTTATTCATTGATTTTGGTTATGTTTACAATCATGATGGTGCTTATACCAAGACTATCAAGATGAACTTGCTATAAACAAGGATGATTCCATTTCATTTGTGAATTGTGATATATCATGATTACAATTGTCAACCTGACAAAATACATCATTCTTGATTTTCAATATTTATCAACGATTGAAAAATCGCACTGTACCGGTGGTTCAACCAGGAAAACATCCTTCGCAAGCGAAACTAATAGGTGGTATTTAACAGTATGAAACGGCTGAACCACGGTTAAACCGCAGTTCAGCATCACATACCCTACCGCTGACTTTTCCAGCACAACCTTTAATGCGATTTTTCAATCCTTGATATTTTTATATCAATGTATCATGCCGTTTTTTTTTTACAAAAGGTAATCATATATTGATTGAAATAGAGATAGAACACATTACACCCTGGTATGGATCCAGGACCAAAAATCAAAGGAACGACACGAGGTCGGGTACAAAGAACTTTCTAACCACCAAATGGGTTACCCTATTGCTAATTTGACCTACAGATCGTGCAACGAAACCATTACTAAGTGCTGACAAACATAGGAATTCCTCAATGATGGACCCTGAGGAAATATCTCGTTTGTCTGCTAGGCTTATCTATCAATGGTCACCTAAGCATCTCCTTCAAAACGAACATGCGAGAGCCCAAGATCCAGTCACCACTAGATGGCCTCCCCGAAGGACCAGAAGCTCTACTAAGGTTGGATAATCAATATCCTCAACATACACCCCTCTAGCCAAAACAACGTATCCCCCAGGGTCTTTTAGTATCATCCCTCCCTCATAGAGTGGGACCCTCTCCTTGTTGCACCATCCTACATGCAAGGGAAGGAGCTAGATCATCCGAGCAGTGTTCTAAACTTGTGGATGGGGACGTGGGATCACTTTGTGTGTTGTCAGACTAATCCATTCCTGAACTTGTTTATAATACTGCCACATCAAGGTAGAAATTCAAAATTATTTACCCTCAAAGACAACTCAATTCCTAGATCTTCATATCCGCCAAAGGACTGCTGCCACAGCCATAACTTGATGGGGTTGATTGACCAGTATTATCAACTTCTTCAGAAATAATAGAAAGGTATGGCGCAAGAGCCCCTGACCTAGATACTCTAAACCATATTAGTCCCATAGTGCTCTTACCACTGAACAATCAAGAACCAAATGCTCCATTGTCTCTGAGTCTGCCAGCAGACCGGGCAACGGGGCATTACTTCGACATTCTTCTCAATAAGAGCCTCTGTAGTTGGGAGGATGCGGTGGAATGTCTACCTAAGGAAATTTTTTAGTTTGGGCGGGATAGGTAGCTCGCACATTCGAATCCAACTGGCTCTGTCCATCCAACTGACAGTTTGACGCCAAACACCTCATTGTCTGCTAGTCAGAACTGCTAAATGATAAGCAGTCTTCACAGTAACACCCTATCTCGAGTATTATGCCAGATCAGGGAGTCATCTACATCCCTACGAGACAGCGGGATCGCTTTAATGGCTCAGAAAACGTCTGGCAGGAACATATGTGTCAGTCGCTCATCACTCCATTGTCCTGCCTCTTGATCCATTAGTTCTACCTCCTTCGGGTCACTCACCTCCATTATCACTTGTTGGTGACAAAGCGGGGCATTCAGATGTAAACTAGGAATCCATATGGAATTCCGGATGGAGGCACTTCGTCCATTCCCAATCTGGCAACACAACCCTTGAAGAAGTAAATGGAGACCATGCAGAATACTCTGTTAGCCTCAAGAAGGTCAGGAATGCGCAGTAGGGATTGGGTTCGTCGAGGATTCACCACCTAATTTTGGGCCAAGAGGTCCTGATTAAATGTGTTCGAAATGACGAAACCCCAGCCCCCATCATGTTTACTTCGACCCAAGTTTCTCCAAGACATCCACCAGATACGGGAATGACACCCCCCCCCCCCCCACCAAAATCCGACCGCATGTTTAACCAAAATCTTACAGAGGGATAAACATAGACATTTTAGATTGCTCAATCATGGCGGGGAGACAAAGATATTTATGTTGCACCCCTACCGCCCCCACACCAAGAATATGGGCAATGATGTCTTGATTAGCTAAGTTGATCCTTTGGCCACTTAATTCCTCATATTCATTAAGGACCTCAATCAGATTCTCACATTCTTGCACCGATCCTCTGAGGAACATATATGAATCGTCTACGAAGAATACATGGAAGAATCCAAATGAGGTGCCATTCATAAGGACTGAGAAAGACAATTAAGTCAAACATTCCTTGATCCACCTTATCCATCTCGAATCGAAGACCATTTTTTCTAAAATCGCGAGTAGGAAGGGCGACTTTACTCTATCTTATGCCTTCTCCATATCAACCTTCAGAACCATATAACCCTTCTTGACCTTAGTTTCGTTAAAACCTAAGAAAATATAACATTTTCTATCACTGTTTATTATTTGTGTGAAATTAAGTGGTCACCTTAATTACCAACTCCATCATGGTTTGAGCAGGCCTTTCTGCCTTTAAATTTATGGACCCAACACGTCCGAGCTAACCAATAAGCTTACGCCACCGACTCCTCAAGTCTAGCGACTAGAAATGGCAATGTGGCAAGTCGGCTTGGGTATCTCAATACTCATACCCGCCCCGTGGTAGGTTGGGTACGTATATTGTCTTAGGGCGCGTATCGGATCAGGTCGACTTATACGAGTATGTATTGTAACGGTAAAACACTTGATACATTGTTTTTTTTTCATTAAACATTTCATAAACAAACTATAACATGATAAATGTCGTTAAATTATTCAAGAAATTGAGGTTCTCATCTACTTACACTTTATTATAGCTAAAATATTATATAATAAAAGTAAATTCGTAAATAATTTCTATAAAATTACAAATAATTTATACAATAACGGATCCAGAATGAGACGGGTCAGATCAAGAACAGTACACATACCTGCCCGCGCCAAACATGTCAGGTTGGACGGGTCAGGTCGACTCTTACTTGCTCCATGCAAATGGAAACTCCAACAAGTACGGCACTAGTGACATGATGTATATGTATATGCTCTGTTAACCAGAAAGGTACAAAGGAAAGTCACATTATTTCAAGTCAACAAGAACTTGAGAGTTTGCATATTTGCAAATTGTCGTCTACTCCGAATCAAAGAACAATGATGCATGAGGTGAAAAAAAAGGGCGAGAAGAAGGAAAAAATGAAGATGACAAAGAACATCTTGATCACAACAGGATACTTCGTTCTTCTCAAAGTTCTGTTCAGTACCCAGAATAATATATAGCAGCAGATAATATATCTGAAAGACTTTACACGCCGATGATCAGGCTTCCTCCCGCATCAACCGTAGCTTCCTTCTTCCTCATGCGGCTTTCTTTTGCTACAAGAAAAGACATGAGGAAATTGGTCAGGGAATGGATATCAACACTGGAATTGGTTAGGGATACTTTGAAGGCTTGGAAAAAAAAAAAAAAAAACTCAAACTCACCCGTTTCTCCTCCTCTATCTTGGCCTTGAGCAACGAGTAGATCGCCACTCCAGCAATGGCAATGCACGTTCCAATCCCAGTTTGTGTTGAGATTTTGTTGCCTGTTTGATCCAGACACAACCACAAGCACATTTCAGATACATGAAACACAGTCCCATCCAAACCAAAAACCAGAAAGAGTTCCAGCAACAGCTTGTTTACCGAAGACAATGATGGAGAAGCCAATGACGAACACACGTTTCAGCACATTGCCAACAGCATGTGTCAGCGGTGCAACCCTCTCCAGAGTATTAGTGGCCAGCTGCAGACAGCACAAGGAAAAAAAGGAATCATTTTCAGGGCAGGAAACTCTAGCTTGAGTATATATATGCAGTTTGTTGTATTCCGAGTCTCGAATCGAAGTATACATACCTGATTGTAGAGGTGATAGAAGAGTCCCACCCAGAAGAGGTCCGTCACGAACTTGGTCATTCCAACTTTGGCGATTGCGTCGTTGAAGCCATACTTCATTAGCTGAGGTCCCTCAACCTGCAATGCAAAAACAGAGCAATAATGTATGTGAAATTCTGCATCGGGTCGTCCAAAGATGAAACCAAAAAAGAAGCAAAGCAGTTGACACTGGAAAAATTATTCTCCATTTTGACTCACGAAAATGGCTGGTGGAATGCAGACAATCAGAGCAATTATGGAGATGTACGCATACACATTAGTGCTGTCCATATCCGTCTGCAGGAACATAAGTGCAAAACCATAGTTAATCACCCTCTCCATTTTCTTACTATAAGCAAATGTAAATGTCTAACCAAATTTTACCATAGCCTTCTTGGAGTAAAGGCTTCTGTAAGTGAAGGAAATGTTGGAGATCATGGCGCTGATGAACCCCAGCCAGTTGAATGAAAGCTCAGTCAGTGAAGCCATCGACACACCTTCATTTCAAGCAAAGCCATTGTCTTTCCTCATAAATAACAATCACACAAAAGAAAGCAAAGCAAAGCACGAAAAAGCGTATCAAATTTTTTTTGTTACCAAGGACAACAGGGGCAAGAGACAGCCACAGCGATATGGGGATCGACTGCCCGAGTATGAACTGTGAAGCAGCCGCATTGAAGAACGGTTCAAGAGCTGAACAAACAAACCAACCAACCAACATTCTCGCAGTCAGAAAACAATCATAATGACCGATTGTTTCGAAGGTACGAATTCGATCGAGTCGAACATTGCTACGGTACCTTTGATGGTGTGGGTGAAGGAGACAGCAACTGCTGCAAAGGAGACGTTGCTGGTCACATGTCCTAGAGCATGGCATAACGCTACTGGAATCAGCAGCTTCAGCAGGTTGCCGTCTATTGGCTGCCATCAAACCAACAATGAGAAAGAAAGACAAAAATAAATGAAAAAACATCTGAATATTGTAATTGTAATTGTAATTGTAATGGGCCTGAAAGAAGGTGAACTCACAGCTCGCTTAGGAAGGCCCACGGCCCAGCTGATCAGACAGTACACGACTCCCACCGCCAAGTGAATTACCGACACGAAGCTACATCACCGCCGAGTAAATTCCCCCGTTATTAAAACTTAACCAAAATTACCGGTTTAATTAGCGCCGGGTTGGGTAATTAAGGGACAGTGAAAAGGTAAAGCTTACTATGGGTAGGGGAAGTAATTGTAGATCTTCTTGTTCATGATGTTGAAAATGACGTTCAAGAAGTACCTAAATACAGGAAATTATAATTTAAATCAATCGGTAATCACGAAACCCGAAGAGTCCGATGGAGCGGGGAGTCGGGTCGGATCGGGCAGGAGCCGGTACGTACCACATGAAGAAGAAGAACCCGGTAATGAGGAACGGGTACTTGTCGAGGAAGCCAACCTTTGCCCTGCAGAGAGCAAAACGAATCAGTCCAAGACGGAATTGAAATTGGCACGATTCACCGGCGGGAAATTTTTTTTAGGGGAACGGACCTCACCCGGCGGAATCACTTCCCTCGGCCGGAGACGAGGATGCGGCGGCGAAAACAGGTTTCAGAGCCATATCGCGTTTGGCCTCGAGGAGCAGGAACGGCCGGAGCTGCCTCCCGCAGATGAGATTGGCGGCGCCGACTCCGCCGCTGATCGCCTTCATCGAGAGGAAGCCGGACGAAAAGGAGCCACTGCCGCCGCTCTCCCGCGGGAGCCTCCGGAGCTGAGGGAGAGCGGCTGTGCGTGATAGCACTCGCGACTCCATTGCCGTAATCGGAACTGGAGAATTTGCAGAGAGGAAATGTGCGTGTTAAGCATAAGCCATAAGCTCTCTTATGAGCTATGACGATGATGATACTGTTTTTAGTGGCTATCCTATACGTGAGGGCCCATGGTAACTACGATACAGATTTTCATCTCCACCCTAAAATCAGCGAGAATTCGTCTTTTACCGGTAGTGGACTAGACGTAGAAGAAGAACGTGGAATAGGGAAGTGGGCCCTGGAGTCTGCAGATATGCTGGAACGGGGAGTACCTGATCAGAATTTTGGGGAAACGAAACGGTGTGTGGATATTTTTTTGTTTTTGTTTTATTCTTTATTTTTGGAGGGAGGTGACGTAAGCGGGTAACGTATATTTGTAAGCATATGATTGGTTGGTGAAATAAGGAAAGAGGATTACGAGAGGATAGAGAGGTGGTGGCGATAGGGGCTTGTGGGCCCATCTCTTATCTTGAGCGAGAGGCCCATAAGCGACGGCACGTCCAGTCCACTGGATGGTGCCTCTCTTCTTGGGCCATGCCCTGCCTGCTAGCTGGCAACCTGTTCCTCCTCGCCCATGATTCACCTTATCGACGGTCGTTTTCTTTCCCGCCCGTTTCACTTTCTTGTGACGGTTAGGTCGCCGGTCACGAGACCATGCATATATCTCAAATACGGCTGGGCCTATGGAAGTGGGATGGGCTACTTTTCATGGGCTTTCAATGAGTCAGGTAATTGGAAGCCCAATAAATAATGGGTCTGTATCTGTGGACTCCGGCCCTTCTTAGTGAAATGAAATTCCACCCTTCCTTTTAGTCCTGCCTAGGGATGGCAATGGGTCGGGTCGGGGACGGATAGTGCATATCCGTTAACCTACCCAAAGTAGTTCGGGTTTTACCCATACCCATACCCACATATGAAACGGGTAGAAAATTAAAACCATGTCCATACCCGTTCGGGTTTCGGGTATCCACGGTTATCCATGGGTAATGATTTCTCTTCATAACTCCAACTAATATATTAACATTCACACGTATTCTCACATTACGCAAGAGGAAAAGTATGACAATAATTCACTAGAATGAAGAAAATTAATTAAAACAACACAATTTCATGAAAATATTATATTTATATGCTAAATATAAAATATGTTAGAGAAAAATAATGACTATTTCTAGACAAAATACATATGTATGTGTATAATCGGGCGGGTTCGTGTTGGATACTGAGAAACCCATGCCCACCCATTACCCGCAATATTCGGGTTCGGGTTTTACCCGTACCCACTAAATGTCCTTCGGGTTCGGGTTTTACCCTACCTGATTAGGCCGGGTTCGGGCGGATATCCACGATTACGGATATTTTTGCCATCCCTAGTCCTGCCCTGCTCTGTAGCGCCGGGGAGTCAATCTGCAAAACAAGCGAACCGTTCACACGGAAAAAGAGCGCCGTCGTCACAGAGCTGTCGCACAGGCGTCGCCGCCACACCTGGATAGATTGTGCAACGGAATCATTCTCCCTCCGGTTCTCAGAATCCGATGGACCGATTCGTTCTTACGCATTGCCGCTGGAAATATCTACCTGTGCCTTCCCGAGGCTAATATCTTGACGTTTTGGCGATTGCAGACCACCTGTTCGATAAAAGGCGCCACCCAGATCGAACGGATATGGCCGCGAAGACTCTGTTTAAATGGTCGAACAAAATCACTACATCGCAGGTCGAGCAACTGATACGGAACGAGAAGGACGTGCAGAAGGCACTGCGGATATTCGACTCCGCCACCGCCGAGTACAGCAATGGGTACAAGCACGACTGCTCCACTTTTCATGCAATGATCTCCAAGTTAGTATCCGCGAACCAATTCAAGGCGGCGGAGGATATGCTGAGCAGAATGAAGGTGGAGAAGTGTCGAATCACGGAAGACGTTTTTATGTCGATTTGCAGGGCGTATGGTCGGGTTCACATGCCAGAGGAAGCCATCAGGGTTTTCCGTGCGATGGACGGATTCGATTGCATACCGACGGAGAGGTCCTTCGTCACCGTGCTCTCGGTCCTCGTGGACGAGGGCCGGGTGAAGGAGGCCATTAGCTTTTATGGGCATATGCGGGGGATAGGCATTCCACCTAGCGTTGTTTCTCTCAACATTATTATTAAAGCTCTTTGCAAGAACATTGATACCGTCGACGCTGCTTTGAAGATATTCCGTGAGATGCCAGGTCGCGGTTGTGTTCCTGATTTGTATACTTATGGCACAATGATCAATGGGTTGTGTATGTTTGATCGGATATCTGAAGCAAAGGAATTGTTCCAAGAGATGGAGGGAAAGGGCTGTTCACCTTCTGTTATCACCTATACTTGTTTGATAAAGGGTTTGTGTCAGTCTGAGAAGGTAGATGAGGCCATGGGATTGTTTGAGAAGATGAAGACCAACGGTGTTGAGCCAAATGTGTTTACTTACAGTTCTCTAATGAATGGTCTTTGTAAGAATGGCCGATCAAAGCAAGCCTTGGAGTTACTGGACTTGATGTTTGGGAAACGTGTTAAGCCTAATACGATAATTTATACCACATTGATCACCGGGCTCTGCAAGGAAGGGAAGGTTTCAGAGGCTGTGGCGATTCTTGACAAAATGAAGATGCAGGACTTGAAACCAGATGCAGGACTTTATGGGAAGGTTATAATCGAGTTATGTGGTTTGGAAAGGTTTCAAGAGGCTGCAAACTTCCTCGATGAGATGGTCCTTGAAAGAATAACGCCAAGCCGGCTTACCTGGAGCCTTCACATCAAGATAAATAATATAGTAGTGAAAGGCCTTTGTGCAGATGGTGACCCAAATCGAGCATTTAGATTGTACTTAAGTATGAGGACTAGAGGCATATCGGTTGAAGTTGAGACTTCCCATGAGCTTCTCAAGTCTTTCTCCGAGAAAGGGGATTTGCAAAAAGCCGATCGCATTGTAGATGATATGGCAACTGATGGTTGTGCTCCTGATGAAGGATTGTGGAACACAATGGTGGGTGGATTCTGGGATCGGAGAAAGGCACGTGCAGCTTTAGAGTCGGTATTGAATGATTAGATGGGTTATTGTCGTGATTAGCTTTGAATAGGGCAGGTGAGTTCTTGATCTGTGTTGTCGTACACATTTGTAGTCTGTAGACCATTGATCAACCATATCCATGTCATTGCTTTAAATGATATTGCAATGAGATACGGATCAAGTACAAGGTTTTCCTCAGAATTTGATCATGCTGGCTTTGAATCAACTTCTTGCCTTATTCTTTTTACCTTTTTCTGGATCAAAATGATTATGTGGTATTCCCTTCTCATTTCCTTTACTAGTCATTATAAACTACTACCTGCCATTTTCTAATGCTTGGTTAGAATTTAGGACCTAATCAATGTATGCATAGGTGCTTTCCTCACTAGTTCTGTGCGAAACCCTTATTAGTGAAACTATCCTATGTGCATGCTATAGCATGGTCTCCTTGATCAATAAATGACCACAAAGTCGTCAACATTGATATTGCTACTATAATGATTAACTTGCAGGTGACATGCTATGTTTGATATATCCTCGAAAGAGAGCTAAGAAGAAAATCACAAAAAATATTTGATGGATCAAGTGGAAGATTTATTGTTATATCACATATTAGAGAGGGGATATCCAATCCCATGGCGTTTAGTGGGGAAAACTGCAAACAAAGAGCTGCAGATCCCACTAATTCCAATCGGCAATGCCGTGAGAAGCTTCTGGATTTGATCTGAGGGTGCTGGGCAGAAGCACTTTACCATGTTCTTATCAAATAGCACAACCACCGCAAACACAAGCACGGAAAGGAAACCATGCACAAAATCCGTCAACCGCATTCTGTACCTCTCCGCGAAACCCGGTGGGATGTCGGCAGAAGTGTCGATGGCCCGTATGCCCCGGAAGGTGACTATACCATGACAAACCTTCGCACTCTTGTCCCTGAAGCTGTCAGTAAAGCACAACAGAAAACACGATAGCCCACAGACTGCTACAAGGGTGGCGGTCAAGTACAGTCCAGTGGGGTCGCAGTTACCTTCTCTTGTGACGATGGGTGACAGGAGTTGGAATGCCAGAACTGTCCCTGTTGGTAAGTGCCTCGCCAGGTCGTGTGTTGTCTGACATGTCTTGTTTACGACTTTGTGTAGTAAGGTTTTCTGCAGCGCCTCTGGAGCAGATTCATGGTCGAAAGAGGGGAAGTTGATTGTCATTTTTGAGGTTGAGTGCTCTTCCCTTCGTATATGCCCCTCGTAAGTGAGAACTAATGAGATTGGTGCAGTCTCTGGGCCATGGTAACACCTCTTTATAGGCATACAAGCTGCAGAAGTGAAGGGGGAAACCATTAGGGACATAGAGATGAGGATGACTTGTGAGGAATAGACATTTTGATTAGGCGAAATTAGTACCTGAATTCTGCAGTCAGAATTTAGTATGCCAGATCATTTTTAGCTCTAATTAGAATAGTTTGGTAAGTGCTTCGGTTTTTGGGTGCCTACTTCCCATTACTTCTGGTTATTCATGTGCAGAGTTTAAAGTAGTTTTAGAGCAACCTTGTGATGAAAAGGAAATGTGCGGAGTTCTTCTGTTAATAAACTCTTGAAGTATTGGCGTGGAGTTCCATGATGTGAGCGCCATATCTGATCTTTAATAGTAGATTTGCTCTCGTCCCATTTTTTCCAGTTTAGGCAAGAGACCACTAACGTGCTACTTTTTTTTTTTATTTTTTTTTTTATCTCTCAGATGTTAGTAATGTGTATTCTTATTACAAGTGCTGGCTAGTCTAGAAGTTAGGCGAGTCTGTTAGAAAATAACGAGTTCTCTATTACACATCAATTTTTGTGTCGTCTCTTTTGCATGGAATGGTTTCTCCAAGCATGCTACTGTTACTTCAAGACTGTAGTTAACTCGAAATGGAGAAAGCTTGGAACTTGCTTTCTTTCTTCTCGTGAATTAATAAACTGTAGATGATTCATTGATACATACATGAATTGAATTTAAAGAACAGAGCTTCTCATGTTTTCACAGGTTATGCAATGGCGGAGGTAGGGAACCCAACCACATTTTCTCAGTTGGTGGAGATAGGGAACCCAATTCCATGGCGCTCAGTCGGAAACACAACAAACAGAAATACTGCAGACCGCCCCAAACCCAACGGGGAGAGCAGTGAGCACCTCCCAGCACTCCTTCGACGGCTCCTGGTAAAAGCAGCTCACCACATTCTCATCGAACAGAGCAATCGTAGCGAACACGAGCAACGACAACACCCCGTGCACGAAATCCATGCCCTTGAGCCTATACCTCGCTTCAGCTTCAGGAGGAAGGCTCGACGATCCATCGATAACCCACAAACCGTTCACCGTGGCCAACCCGTAGCAGACATTCCCATCCTTTTCCCTGAAGCTATCCGTGAAGCTCGACAAAATGCACGACAACCTGCAGAGCCCCACGAGCCCTGCTGTCATGGACCTTGTGTCTGGATCACAGCTCCCTTGGTTGGAGAATATGGGGGAGAGCAGCTGGAACGCGAGGACCGTCCCCGTTGGGAGGAGGTTGGCTAAGTGAGCAGTGCTCTGGAACGTCTGTGTGATGGCTCTCTGCACCAGATTCTTGATTCCCTCGTTGCAGGGCTCTCTGCACCAGATTCTTGGTTCCCTCGTTGCAGAGCTCTCGAGTTTCGAGGAGGGGATGGTGTTCTGAATCGGAGTCGGAGGAGCTGCTGTTGCCGTCATTGGAGGTAATTGGCTCTTTCTCTTCTACCTTGATCTCCATTTCTCTGTTCCTGCTGACTTCTTCTGGGGTGGGTTTATAACGGCAGAGTTTGGAACTTTGGAGTATAGGGAAAGGGATGGAAATGTGGGTGACGTTATTAGGGGTTTGAGATGCCTTGCAAGGAACTAGCTTGAACTTAACTTTGAGAGCTTGGTCCGTAATTTTGGGGGATGGAGAGAGTTTTAGGGAGTTTTAGGGGTTGATTGCAAAGTTGGCTGGCAAATGCTTAATTTGTTCGTTAAAGCAAAACCAAGCTTATGTCAGAATGGTTTTAGACTTTAGGGTTTGATTGTGTCATATGGTAAAGAACATATGTGTGGAATAGTTCGACGGAGGCTAACGGGAGAGTGACTAAATGTGGTCTGTTTTGGTAACTCGAGTGATCAAAATTGATATTAATTTTTTCTAGTGACTAAACATAATACGATTTAATAATTCCAGTGACCAAATGTGGCATTAATCCATTAAAAAAAAAAGAGAAGAGAACGAGTGAAGTACATGATCATGTGGATGTACAGTTTTCGGCAGATCATAAAATACAAAATTTTGTACATCATATTAGCGTCTGGTTCTTCCAACATAAGATATAACGGAATCCGGTTGTATATGACTTCACGTATTAGACAAAAATGCTACGAGAGCTATTGAGATCAACTACTTCTCAGCGTGGTACTGAAGTCTTTGACCAAGAAGTCTCGTGTTTAAATGTATTCTCTACAGGAAAACTCTTTACCATGTTTGTAATTGGATGCATCAGAAGTCAGAATTACACATAAATTTGGCGAATTGGCAATCTTGTGCTTTCTTCTTCTTCCTCTTGTCGGCTCAAGAATATAAAAGTCCACCGTATAGTCTTGTCGAGATGGATCGAGGGGAATCCGGAAGCCCACTATAAACCAAGCCCAATTGAAAATGAATGGGAGTGACGTAAATTAATATTTAATCTTTGAAAATCAGTCTGAAACAGACAAAAGAACAACACAATTAAAAACACAAATATATAGTTAGGGTTAATTGCATGGTTGGTCACTGAGATTACAATAAACGTTCAAGTTTGGTCACTCGAAATATTTAAATTCATTGGTGGTACTTCAGTTTACTGAAACCGTTCATGTTTGGTCACTCTCCGTCCAACTCCATTAATTTTTGTTGATGTGGCAGTCAACTCTAAAAGTTAACCGTTAACTTAATGACGTGGCAACTAAAAAATTATTAAAAATAAAAAAAAATAAACTTTTATATTTTCCACTTCATCATTACATTCATTAAAAAATAAAAAATAAACATATGTCGGAAATTGCCAATCACCAGTTTCGTGGTTCCTTTCATTTTTTGCAGATTAACACATTCATTTCCTTGGACTTGTATGTATGGGATAAGCGATCAAAGGTCTCCTCTTTTCCTCCGCCCTCTGTTTTTTTCTCTGTGTAAGAAACAGAGCATTAGTTCACAATGAAGTACATGAGAACAAACAGCTTGAAGTTGAAGAGGCTCTTCTCATTAGTCCGCTGAACCCTCGAAGAAGAAGACGAAGAGATAATCGGGAATGAAGATGGAAAGCCAATTCGCCAAACCAAAGAGAATATTGTCATCAAGTCCCCCAGACCACCCACCTGGAGATGCTTCTCTTACGACGAAATATCACTCGCCACTAATTCCTTCCACCCAGGTTCCTTCCCACTTTCTTCTCAAGTTGTTTCCTTCCGTTTCTAGCTCATCATTCCAATTCTCACGCGATTTTCGCGCCGGCGGCAGATAATTTGGCGGGAAAAAGAGGGTATGCGGAGGTTTGCAGGGGAACCATGCCGGGAACAGGGGAAGTTGCGGTGAAACGGCTGACGAAATCGTGTACCGACGAGAGGAAAGAGAGGGAGTTCCTGTCGGAGATTGGAACAATTGGCCATGCCAATCATCCAAACGTTCTTCCTTTAGTTGGCTGTTGCATCGACAATGGACTTTACCTCATTTTCCAATACTCCTCCACTGGCTCCCTAGCTTCTCTTCTCCATGGTAAAAATTCAAAGCCAAACTCACTCATTATGATGCTTGAATTGAAAATTCATCGACTCTGTTTTTGGGTTTCTTCCATTGCAGGGGAGAATTATGGAGAGTTGAATTGGAGAAGAAGGCACAAGATAGCGATCGGGACGGCGAAAGGGATTGAGTATCTCCACAAGGGATGCCAAAGAAGAATCATTCACCGGGACATCAAATCGTCTAATGTCCTATTGACGGAAGATTATGAGCCCATGGTATGTTCCTTTTATTTTTTCTTCTTCTTCTTCTTCCCTTCACAAATTTGTTGCTCTGTTTATCCGTCTCTCACCGGTTTCAATTCAAATTGCAGATATCGGATTTTGGGTTGGCGAAATGGCTGCCAACGCAATGGTCTCACCATTCAATCGGACCCATTGTAGGAAATAAAGAAATTAGGTTTTTTTATTTTCTAATGAATGTAATAATGAAGTGGAAAATATAAAAGTTTATTTTTTTATTTTTAATAATTTTTTAGTTGCCACGTCACTAAGTTAACGGTCAACTTTTAGAATTGACTGCCACATCAGCAAAAGTTAACGGAGTTGGACGGAGAGTGACCAAATATGAACGGTTTCAGTAAACTGAAGTACCACCGATGGATTTAAATATTTCGAGTGACCAAACTTGAACGTTTTTTGTAATCTCAGTGACCAACCATGCAATTAACCCGTTCTTTTTATATTTCCCTAATTACTAAAATTCTTGGTTTCTGGAAGGTTTAAAAACAAATAAATAATTAGCTTATGGGTAATGCGAAAGGGACAGCCTGCCTTGGTTGAACTGCAGATGAAGGTGAAAGAACCCTATGTAGAAGTTTGTGTGCAATTTTGGCGACCACACTTAACGATACTGTGTATTTAAGTATTTTAATCCAATAATTAATCACCTTGATAACGACAATAACATCTTTAGTATAGTGGGAATTTGGTTTTATAAAAATGGGTATGACACAACATACAAGGGACAAGTTGAAAGACCAGGAGTCCACTTTGGATGACAAACATGTCATACTATTTTAGTTCTATACTAATCTCAAAAAGGTATGAAAAGAATTACTTCGAATTCGACTATCATGTTTAAGCGAGGATGGTTAGAGTGTGACCGACAATTGACAATGTTGAATAAAAGATGATGTGAATAATGTTACCACATAATATTTTTTTTTTGAAAATACATGAAAAAGTAGGAATGAGCGAGAATCAGATTGCTTCACCGACATCCAGCAAATTGTGCACATAAATTCCCCCCTTCATTTCAAGGATGATTTTTTAGTTTTCAGTAATGTCACATATTTGCTAGTTGTATTTGGCTCCTCTTCTTCATAAATCACACACGGCGACATCATATCACTATATACAATTATACATCAGAGCTATTCGCCGTATGATTACCTTCGAAATAAAGATCTGGCCTTCACACAAATTTGATTAGAGGGAGAAATAAATATTGAAGTACAATATTGTACCTGCAATTAAAATAACCCCAGCAAATATATTTAGATACAACAACCTGAGGCCATATGCAGAGAATGTATAACATAAGGAACTAAACAAATTCAAATGCTACTTAATTGATTAGCTCAAGATTGATATCTATTTATTTATTTTTTTATGAAGTTTTTTGATCTTACTCAGTATGAATGATAAGCCCATTAAGCACCGATTTGGACCAATTTATTTTCATATGACATTTTCGTTATTTTTTGGGCGACGAAAGACCATTTTCTTTGGATATTGAAGGCTATAGATCTCGGATTCGGCCTTACGTTAATCTTCAACGATAATTAAGTCCATTAAGCACCGATTAGGGCAGATTTATTCTCGATCAATTTTTGGCAGATTCCAAGGGGGTACCATCAAAAATTTTGGGCGATTTTTTCGAAATCCCATTTTCTTTCGATTCTGGAGGCTATAGATCACGGAATCAGGCCGAGGCTATTCTCCACCGATAATGAAGTCTAATGATCCTATTCTCCACGGATGATAAGCCCATTAAGCACCAATTTGGGCCAATTTATTTTGGATGACATTTTCGTAATTTTTTGGGAGACGAAAGACAATTTTCTTTGGATATTGAAGCCTACAGATCACGGATTCGGTCTGAGGCTATTTTTCAACGATTAATAAATACATTAAGCATCGATTTGGTGAGATTTATTCTCGGCCAATTTTTGGCAGATGCCAAAGGGGTACAATCACAGATTTCGGTCGATTTTTCCGAAATGCCATTTTCTTTCGATTCTGGAGGCTATACATCACGGAATCAGGCCGAGGCTATTCTCCACCGATAATGAAGTCTGTTATTCATATTCTACACAGATGATAAGCACATTAAGCACCGATTTGGGCCAATTTATTTTCAGGTGACATTTTTCGTAATTTTTAGGGCAACGAAATGTCATTTTCTTTGGATATTGAAGGCTACAGATCAAGGAATCGGCCTGAGGCTATTCTTCGACGTAGATTAAGTCCATTAAATACCGATTTAGGCGGATTTATTCTGGGTCAATTTTTGGGAGATTCCAAAGGGGTACAATCAAAGATCACAAAATCAGGTCGAGACTAAAGACCATTTTCTTTGGATATTGAAGGCTACCGATCACGAAATCAGCCTCTGGCTATTCTTCAACGATGAGTAAGTCCATTAAGAACCGATTTGGGCGGATTTATTCTGGGTCAATTTTTGGCAGATTCCAATGGGGTACCATCACAGATTTCGGGCAATTTTTCCGAAATGCCATTTTTTCAATTCTGGAGGCTATAGAATTCGGATTCCGGCCGGACTATTCTCCACCGATAATGATTTCTATTGATCCTATTCAGCACGAATGATAAGCCCCATTACGCACCGATTTGGCCAATTTATTTTCAGATGGCAGTTTCGTTATTTTTTGGGCGACGAAATGCCATTTTCTTCCGATATTGTAAGCTATAAATCACGAATTCTACCTGAGGATATTCTTCAACGATGATTATGTCCATTAAGCACCGATTTGGGGGGATTTATTCTGGGTCAATTTTTGGCAGATTTCAAAGGTGTACCATCACAGATTTTGGGCGATTTTTCCGAAATGTCGTTTTCTTTCGATTCTTGAGGCTAAAGATCACATATCAGGCCGAGGCTATTTTCGAAATGCCATTTTCTTTCGATTCTGGTGGCTATAGATCATGGAATGAGGCCGAGGCTATTCTCCACCGATAATGAACTCTATTGATCCTATTCTCCATGGATGGTAAGCCAATTAAGCACCGACTTGGGCCAAATTATTTTTGGGTGGCATTTTCGTAATTTTTGGGCTACTAAAGGCCATTTTCTTTGGATATTGAACGTTAATGATCACGGATTAGACCTGAGACTATTCTTCAACGATGATTAAGTCCATTAATCATCGATTTGGGCGGATTTATTCTCGGTCAATTTTTAGCACATTCCAAAGGGGTCCATCATAGATTTCGGGTGATTTTTTCGAAATACCATTTTCATTCGATTCTGGATGCTAAAGATCACGGAATCAGGCCAAGGCTATTCTCCACCGATAAAGAAGTCTATTGATCCCATTCTCCACAGATAATAAGCCCATTAAGCACCGATTATTGCCAATTTCTTTTCTGATGACATTTTTCGTTATTTTTTGGGTGACGAAAGACCATTTTCATTGGATATTGAAGGCTACATATCACGGATTCAGCCTGAGGCTATTCTTCAACGATGATTGAGTCCATTAATCACCGATTTGGGCGGATTTATTCTGGGTCAATTTCTGGCCGATTCCAAAGGGGTACCATCACAGATTTCGGGTGATTTTTTCGAAATGTCATTTTCTTTCTATTCTGGAGGCTAAATATCACGGAATCAGAAAGAGGCTATTCTCCACCGATAATGAAGTCTATTGATCCTATTCTCCTCGTATGATAAGCCCATTAAGCACAGCTTTGGGCCAATTTATTTTTGGATGACATTTTCGTAATTTTTTGGGCGATGAAAGGCTATTTTCTTTGGATATTGAAGGCTATAGCTCACGGATTCGGCCTGAGGCTATTCTTTAAGGATGATTAAGCCCATTAAGCCTTGATTTGTGCGAATTTATTCCGGGTCAATTTTTGGCAGATTCCAAAGGGGTACCATCACAGATTTCCGGCGTTTTTTCTGAAATGCCATTTTCTTTTATATTAAGGCTACAGATCACGGATTCGGCCTGAGGCTATTCTTCAACGATGATTAAGTCCATTAAACACCGATTGGGGCGGATTTATTCTCGGTAAATGTTTGGCTGATTCCAAAGGGGTACCATCACAGATTTCAGACAATTTTTCTAAAATGCCATTTTCTTTCGATTCTCGAGGCTATAGATCACTGAATAAGGCCAATGCTATTTTCCACCGATCATGAAGTCTATTGATCATATTCTCCATGGATGATAAGCCAATTAAGCACCAATTTATTTTCGGATGGCATTTTCGTAATTTTTTGGGCGCCGAAAGGCAATTATCTTTGGATATTGAAGGCTATAGATCACAGATTTGGCCTGAGACTATTCTTCATAATGATTAAGTCCATTAAGCACTGATTTGGGCGGATTTATTCTGGGTAAATTTTTGTCAGATTCCAAAGGGGTACCATCACAGATTTCAGGCGATTTTTCCGAAATGCCATTTTCTTTCGATTTAGTAGGTTAAAGATCACGGAATCAGGCCGAGACTATTCTCTACCGATAATGAAGTCTATTGATCCTATTCTCCACGGATGATAAGCGCATTAAGCACCGATTTAGGCCAGTTTATTTTCGGATGACCTTTTCGTGATTTTTTTGGCGACGAAAGGCCATTTTCTTTGGATATTTAAGGCTACAGATCACAGATTCGGCCTGAGGCTATTCTTGAACGATGATTAAGTCCATTAAGCACCGATTTGGGATGATTTAATTTCAGTCAATTTTTGGCTAATTCCAAAGGGGTACTACCACAGATTTCGAAGGATTTTTCCGAAGTTACATATTCTTTCGATTTTGGATGCTAAAGATCACAGAATCAGGCCGAGACTATTCTCCACCCAAAATGAAATATATTGATCCTATTCTCCACGAATGATAAGCCCATTATGCATAGCTTTGGGCCAATTTATTTCCGGATGACATTTTCGTAAATTTTTGTTAACGAAAGGCCATTTTTTTTGGATATTGAAGGCTTTAGATCACGGATTCGCCCTGAGGGTATTCTTTAAGGATGATTAAGTCCATTAAGCCTTGATTTGGGCGAATTTATTCTGGGTCAATTTTTAGCAGATTCCAAAGGGGTACCATCACAGATTTCGTATGATTTTTCCGAAATTACATTTTCTTTTGATTCTGGAGGCTAAAGATCACAGAATCAGGCCGATGCTATTCTCCACTCAAAATGTAATCTATTGATCCTATTATCCATGGATGATAAGCCCATTATGATT